TTACAACATCTACCTTGCAAGCAAAAATCTTATCAACCAAACAACAGCAAGAGCAACCCTGACACAAATGCTGAATGTCATATTCACAAAGATGGAGAATCAAGCAATGGAGTCTGACCATCATCCTCCTGAAGCTCCACTCAAAATACCAAATGGCAATGTTGTCTCTGAAGATGGACATGCAAACCATGTTTATGAAGAAGAGAAAGACGCTACAACACCTGTGCAAGAAAAAGAGCCAGGAGATGATATATTTGAAGCAAAGATTATTGCTAAACAAATTGTAGATTCTGTCATAGATAATGCTATTAGTATTGCATCTAAGAAAAATGCTGAGGAATTGAATGAAAATGTACCTGACAATAATGAGAATCCTTCAGACTCCCATGATAGTGGAAGTGTGTCACAAGAGAGTAATGGTCAAGCTGGCACTGAACCCTCTATTACAAGAATACCCTCACAAGAAAGTGTTGATGTTGCATCAGAAAATGATAATTCAGTCACTGCTAAGTTTACCCATGTCCTTCAAAAAGATGCCTTCTTAGTTTTCAGAGCTCTCTGTAAATTATCAATGAAGCCTTTGCCTGAAGGCACCCCAGATCCTAAATCCCATGAATTGAGATCTAAGATTTTATCATTGCATTTACTTTTATCTATTCTACAAAATGCTGGCCCAGTTTTTAGGAACAATGAAATGTTCATCACAGCTATCAAACAATACCTCTGTGTAGCATTATCTAAGAATGGTGTCAGTTCAGTACCTGAGGTCTTTGAACTCTCTTTGGCTATTTTCTTAGCTCTCCTTCAAAATTTCAAAGTCCACCTCAAAAAGCAAATTGAGGTCTTTTTCAAAGAAATTTTCATGAACATCCTGGAAACATCTAGTTCTTCTTTTGAACATAAATGGATGGTGATCCAAGCTCTCACCAGGATCTGTGGTGATGCCCAGAGTGTGGTAGACATCTATGTAAACTATGATTGCGATTTGTCGGCGGCAAATCTTTTCCAGCGCTTGGTTAACGATGTGTCGAAAATCGCACAAGGTAGGCAGGCATTGGAGCTGGGCGCGACTCCAAATCAAGAAAAATCGATGCGTATACGAGGCCTAGAATGTCTCGTTTCAATCTTGAAATGCATGGTTGAGTGGAGCAAAGAACTTTACATCAACCCCAATTTGCAAACGACACTTGGCGAGAGAACTACGAAGGAAGATACTGATCACCATAGCATCAAATCTCATGGTGGATCAAGTCTAAGTTTAGTTTCAACTGGTTCCAGTAACATTGGCAATAGGGAAACTTTGGATTCCCCTGAACAATTTGAAGTATTAAAACAACAAAAAGAAGTTTGGGAGACAGGCATTGAACTATTCAACAGAAAACCTAAAAAGGGGGTTGCTTTCCTACAGGAACAAAGTTTATTGGGCACTTCAACAAAAGAAATTGCAGAGTGGTTACTGACTGATGAGAGACTTGATAAAACTTTCATTGGTGAATTCTTAGGCGAAAATGACGAACATTCCAAGGAAGTTATGTATGCCTACATTGATTCAATGAATTTTTCGGATATGGATATTGTTGCTGCACTGCGTCATTTCTTGGAAGGGTTCCGCCTACCCGGCGAGGCCCAAAAGATCGACAGATTGATGGAAAAATTCGCTTCTCGCTATTGCGAATGCAATCCAAACAACACCCTATTTTCCAGTGCTGACACTGTTTACGTATTGGCGTTTTCCATAATAATGCTAACAACTGACTTACACTCGCCACAAGTTAAGAATAAAATGACAAAAGAACAATACATCAAATTGAACAGTGGTATAAGTGACAATAGCGATCTGCCACGTGAATATCTATCTCAGATCTATGACGAAATCGCTGGTCACGAGATTAAAATGAAAAACGTATCGAAACCTGGCAAACACATGATTTCTAATGAGAAAAAACGCAAGTTTATATGGAACATGGAAATGGAGCAGATATCTACTGCTGCTAAAAATTTAATGGAGTCAGTATCGCACGTACAGACACCATTCACAACGGCAAAACACGTCGAACATGTGCGACCCATGTTCAAAATGGCTTGGACGCCATTTCTTGCTGCATTTTCTGTAGGACTACAAGATTGCGATGACCCAGAAATAGCTTCGCTCTGCTTGGATGGTATCCGATGCGCCATTCGTATCGCTTGCATTTTCCACATGTCTCTGGAAAGAGACGCCTACGTACAAGCACTGGCTCGATTCACACTTCTCACGGCCAATTCGCCCATAACAGAAATGAAGGCTAAGAATATCGACACAATTAAAACTTTGATTACTGTCGCTCATACTGATGGAAATTACTTGGGCTCAAGTTGGTTGGATGTGGTCAAATGCATTTCTCAGCTAGAACTAGCACAGCTAATCGGGACAGGCGTGCGGCCTCAATTTTTATCCGGCTCCGGCATCAAGCCACAGCCAGATTCCTTGAAATTCAGCCTGATGTCTTTAGATCCTAGTGTCAAAGAGCACATCGGAGAAACAAGCTCCCAAAGCGTGGTGGTAGCCGTCGATAGAATTTTCACTGGATCCACGAGACTCGACGGTGACGCTATCGTCGATTTCGTCAAAGCTCTTTGTCAAGTATCTCTCGATGAGTTGAGCCACCCATCGAATCCTCGAATGTTTTCTCTCCAGAAAATAGTCGAAATATCATATTACAATATGGGTCGTATTAGGTTGCAGTGGTCTCGAATATGGCAAGTTCTTGGTGATCATTTCAATAAAGTCGGATGTAGCAGCAACGAGGACATCGCATTCTTTGCTGTTGATTCCCTGAGGCAACTATCCATGAAATTCATAGAAAAGGGCGAATTTGCGAACTTTAAATTCCAGAAAGACTTCTTACGGCCTTTCGAACACATCATGAAGAAAAATAGTTCGCCAACAATAAGAGATATGGTCGTCAGATGTATTGCACAAATGGTTAATTCGCAAGCCCCGAATATCAAATCAGGATGGAAGAATATATTTTCAGTATTTCACTTAGCAGCGAGTGACCAAGACGAGGCAATCGTTGACTTAGCATTCCAGACAACAGGGAAAATCATTACAGAGCTCTACGAAAAGCAATTCCCTGCCATGATCGATTCATTCCAGGACGCCGTAAAATGTTTATCTGAATTCGCTTGTAATGCAAAATTCCCTGATACGTCCATGGAAGCTATAAGGCTGGTGAGATCTTGCGCGTCAGCCGTGGGCGCTTCCCCGCAGCTCTTCGCGGAGCACGCCGGCCTCGAAGGGGAACAGGGAGCTCCGGAAGAAGACAGAGTATGGCTCAGAGGATGGTTCCCCTTACTCTTCTCATTGTCTTGTGTCGTCAGTCGATGCAAACTAGACGTGCGCACTCGAGGCCTGACAGTCTTATTCGAGATTATAAAAACGCATGGTGATTCATTCCGTCCGCACTGGTGGAGAGATTTATTCAATATACTGTTCAGAATCTTTGACAATATGAAATTACCTGAGCACCAATTGGAGAAGAACGAGTGGATGACTACCACTTGCAACCACGCGTTGTACGCAATCGTGGACGTCTTCACGCAATACTTCGACATTCTTGGCTCTCTTCTGCTGGAGCAGCTGTACGCGCAGTTGCACTGGTGCGTGCAGCAGGACAACGAACAACTCGCGCGGTCCGGCACCAACTGCTTGGAAAATCTAGTCATTTCAAACGGAACAAAATTCAATGCAGACACTTGGAGCAAAACATGTCAGATAATGTTGGACATTTTCAACAGCACTTTACCTACTACGCTGTTGACGTGGAAGCCTGACGAAAACGAGGACGGCGAAACGCCGCATGTGCGTCACGGTATATTGAAGAAGCCGCAAGGTGGGGACGAAGCGAAGTCGTCTAATCGTGTATTCAACAGCCTCCTGATCAAATGCGTAGTCCAGCTGGAATTGATTCAGACGATTGACAACATCGTCTTCTACCCGGCTACGTCTAGAAAAGAAGATGCGGAGACGTTGGCTTTGGCTGCCGCGGAACTTACCGGAGGCACGCCGGGCACCGAGCAGGAGTGCCAGCGCGAGGAGCAGGGCATGTACCGGCTGCTAAGCTCGCCCCATCTGCTGCGCCTCGTCGAGTGCCTGATGTGCAGTCATCGCTTCGCAAAGACTTTCAACACGAACAATGCGCAAAGAAACGTACTTTGGAAGGCTAACTTCAAGGGGTCTGTCAAACCGAACATGCTGAAGCAGGAGACGCAGTCTCTTGCGTGCGTCCTGCGGATACTTTTCAAGATGTACAGCGACGAGGCGCGGAGAGACCACTGGCTCGCTGTGCAGAAGAGTCTGATAACGATTTGCTGCGAGGCCTTGGAATACTTCGCCGGAGTAACGAGCGAAGCACACAGGGACGCGTGGACGTCCATTCTGCTGTTGATTCTCACCAGAATACTGAAGATGCCTGACGAAAGAGTGAGTATTTGCTATCGAAAAGCCGATAATGTGTGGATTGTGGTGGGGATAGAGTTTGAAAGGTAGTTCATACTAATGCTTGGTTTGGTTGCAGTTTGCGGCACACGTGTCCAGCTACTACCCGCTGCTGTGTGAGATCACGTGCTTCGACCTGAAGCCGGAGCTGCGGTCGGTGCTGCGCCGCGTGTTCATCCGCATCGGGCCCGTCTTCAACATCGTCTCCAACACGCAATAGCACGCTGTTATATTTAATACAAAATGGCCTTATAACTAGTTTTGTAGGTTAAAGTATGACTTTTGATGTTAATGTTAAAATAAAATACATTTCGTTGATTTCTTAAATTTTAATGTAATATTTGACAGCGATCAGTACTTCAGTAGTATTAAAAGTGATCTATTATATAAATATAGGGTGTAGTAGTCTTATGTTTAATTTATATAACTTATTATTTTAATATCAACAGTTAAAAATTATAATTGTATAATAAATCATAGAAGTTGTATCATAAATTATAGTTTATTCTGTATATTTGAAAGTTTTTACTGTATGGGGAGCTGAATTCACTCGCCGCCGTGATTGCTTATTAATTTGATTTCAAGCTAGACTGATCAGACTGTGATTGCGACTATCATTTCCACAGCTTTTGTGTGTTACATTTCTATTCCATGGAGTGACTTCAGAACTCGCACGCAAACTGATTATATTATCCTTATTAAAATAAAAATTATAAATGATATTGTCAAGTTTTAAACAATCTTCAGCCCTTCAATTGATCTCTCCAGAGAATCCAAATCCCAGATAACCAGTTGGCCATCCAACCCAGAAGTGCTGAATTTTTTGGCATTAGCCTTTGAGCCTTTATAGAGGCTGATGAAAGAGATAGCATTTTGATGAATAGAGTCCAGCAGAGTATCATTGGTCTCAATGCGGGCTTGGCGATCCAGAGACTGGAACTTTTTCATAGCAGACAGTCCACCAGACTCCTTCCGCTGAGTATTATCCAATTTAGCAACAAACTTCAACTCATTGCCTTCCAGACAATACAGTAATGGAATGCAGCTATGTCCCGCCACAACTAAGGAGTTATTGGTAATCCAATTGCACCCCAAAAATGGCAGATATTCAGTCTTCAGTTTAATGACAGCTTTCCCTTGGGTAGCATCGGCTACATTGATGGAGCTGTCATGTCCCACCCATGCAACTTTGTTGCCATCCTCAGAGAATGAAACGCTGTGCACCCAGCCTCCACCAGATGGAGTATTGGGAAACTCGGCCAACAATTGGCCAAGGGGAAGCTTGGAACCCCAAACATTCGGTCCAGGTTGATCTTCAATATCCTTGATGTAAGCTGAGAAAACCCTCACTTTGAAGTCAGCAGAGCCAGCAACCAACAGCATATTGTTAGGGTGCCAGTCCAATGTGGTTACAGTGGACCGAATTGGCTTTTTGATGTGTTTTGAAACCCACCAATTATTTTCTTTCTCAAAGTAGCAAATTGAGATTAGTCTGGCTCCGGAGCCGACAGCAAACTTGTTTTCCATGGGGGACCATTTCACGCACGTGGCAGCACGGTTTATGCGCAACAGTACCAGAGTGGTGGTCCACTTGCCGTCCTCTCCTTGGGTCCAGACGTACGCGTTGCGGTCGACGGCGCAGGTGACGATGCGGTTGGTGTTCGGAGCCCAATCAATGCCCATGACACGGAGATCATGTTCGACCAGGTTGTTGGTTTGTTTCCACTCACTTCCTTCTTTTTGATAGATATGGACTTCATTGTTGTTAGGTGAGAATGCTATTTCTGGAAAGTGATAATAAACATTTTAGGGAATATAAACTATTTCTTATTTCAATAAAATAATATTAGTGTGAATGATGAGGGGAAAATACTTGTCCTAAAGAATTCAAATTAGATTATCTTCTGTACATTAGTAAATTCGGTTGGATGGATGTAAAGGTTTAGTTGAATCAGTAAATACTTACGAGTTCTATCCTTATTCCAAGCGTGACAAGTTATTGGGGCACATGAGTCACCAAAGGATAATGTTTGAGCCATGATACAGGTTCAATCTAAAACCCTGAAACAACAAATTATAAATAATCGCCTTATTATTTCTGATGTTTAAGAGATACTTAATCATTTTGAATGTGAAAAGAACTTTACCTGATGAATTTGAATGATTATTCACGAATGTAGTCACGCCCGGCTCGATAACAATACTGATAAGTAAAATTCGCGGACTCTGGGCAGTCTACGCGAATTTCTGTAACAGTTTATTTAATTAATTAGTATTACAGACATTTTAACACGTTTTAAACAATATTTTTAAACAATTTTAGTTCAAATTACAATTTTAGAGACCCCACCACAGCAAAATTGACACAAAAAACCATAGAGAAAAGTAATACATAATACATAGGAAATAGAGAACCCTCTCTGTCAAATTTTTGAGCCTACTAATTGACAGCCTGGTGTTAAATTCGCTGTACTTAACCTACGTACGTAACGCTCACATACACACATAGTACACGCACACATACATACATAAAGTCCACGTATACATACACACAGTTCACGCACACATAGGCCCTCATAACCTTCAAAGAATTATTGTTTTTTTGATGTACAATGTAGAATTTTTTCAAATACATTATTTTGAAAGTATTTATCTTTATGGTGTACGTATTGTATTATTTTCAAAACAATGGATTTGGAAAAATTCTNACTAGCCAATCTAAGGGGAAACATTACAAGCTCATTCAACCATCCATCCTTTGTAAACCATGGTTTGTTAAAATTAATCTTTCCAAAACAGTTACTACCATTTTAACTAGAATGCGACTTGGTCACGTGTGCACTCCAGCACACTTGGCTAAAATTCATGTACTTGATAATGATTCGTGCATTTGTGGTTCTGGCGTCGGAGACTTAAATCACATATTTTTTTACTGTTGCCTATATGATCGTTCCTCTTTTATTAGTTCTCTTTTAGCCATTAACCCTTAAGTAACACCGTGGGGTAATTTTTTACCCCAGGCGCATAAAAATTGACATATCTTTTTTTCTAGCGTAGCTAGTGCAATGTCGTTTTGTGTATTCTCAATCCAGAGTGTGCGCTTTGAGCTCGTAGATGCGGGATGTGAAAAAAATCATCCGTTTGGCTTGTACAGGTAGGTGGGGCAGAAATTTACCCCAGGGTGTTAGTTACGCATACTTTAATTTATCATCACCTAACATGTTATTAATAGGTTTTTACAACATTTAAACAAAATGAGTAAATATTTATATGGCGATTAAGTAGCACATTGTCTCTAGAACGCAGAGAGATAATTAGAGCCTATTTACATGATACTTATCGAACTTTGAAGACATCCCCTCAGAACAGAGCGTTCATAAATTCGACACAGAAATAGGGCTCAAAAGTGATAATTACGTAGTAATTCAGCGTGTCTGATGTGTTTTGAAAAAAATAATTACGAATAAAATAAATAAAAGATATTTTTAAATATTTTTTCATAATTTTATAAGAAAAAAGTTTTTTTATTTTGCTTTATTATAAAGCCAGAAATTTTCGTTTTATTTCATTTTGTGTTTAAAATATGCATGAAAAATCTATTCAATGTCCGATTAGTGTACATTTTTGGTTCCCACAATAACTTTCCAAGATTTTTCTAGAAGACCATTGTGGAGACTATTAGTTGCCAATGACAAATTATTTGTTTTTTGTTATGATTGATTTAAGGTGTTTCTTTACGCTAGATTGACGTTCTTTTAAAGCAATCGTATAATTCAGTGAGTCCATTAATACACTGTAAATCACAAATTTAATTTATTTTAAATATTTACTTAAAATTTTTCAATTTCCGTTTGGGGTACTTTTTTGCCCCAGGGTGTTCAAAGTGTAACCAAAAATAAGGATGTTACTTAAGGGTTAAAATTCCTTTTCCTACATCCATCACTTGCCTATTATATACCAATAACATTGATGTTTATAATATCCTAGCCGAATTTATTACCCATAATAATATAAAATTGTAAATAGTAATGTATATTGTACTTATGTAAATATTATTTTATTTTTATTATTTTGTAATTATATCACACCTAAATTGATCCTATGAAAACAATCCTTTGTTCCGTTTCCATCCGTAATTGATTCGTTTCCCTACCTTTTAACTTTAACCCAATCCCACCCTGTCTAAACCCAATGTCCGCAAAACTTATGGCAAAACTGAACGCAAAAATCAAGAACCCTGTCGTGGCTAAACGCAATCCGCGAGAGCCATAAAGAAAAAAAAAAAGTATTGGAATTTATCGACTGAAGTCGCTGTTTGGAAGCAAGTTTGATNTCTCAACGAAAAATTCGACTTGCGAAAGAAGTAAATGGGAACGATGAAATTCTCTTAGCGCGCACAAGTGACAACGACGTCTGCCCTCACGTGTCTGCCCGTTCGGGTCGACGCGGTTAGCTATCTTATCCCCGCTCCCGCGCGAGACCACGCCCCGCAACTCACGCGCTGCAGCGCAGCGAGCGACCGATCTTCTTGAATCGATGTAATAATAATCTATAGGATTAACGCGTTTTAAAAATATTGGTTCGATGGATATGTTTAACCTANAAAAAAAAGTATTGGAATTTATCGACTGAAGTCGCTGTTTGGAAGCAAGTTTGATCGTAGTATGGAAGTTTCCGTACCTGCAAAAAACTGAACTGACAGATTTGATTTCTCTTTTTTTTATCACAAATGACATGCTAAACCAATCGTAAGCAGTGTCGCGTCGCATAAAACAGGAAATATTCTTGGGCGTACTCTGTGGTCACAGCTGACCGGCTGTCATGTATGTCAATATCTGTGTCAATATCTTTCAGCGAAAGCGAAAAGCGAAACTTGCAGAAGTTTTTGAAAATAGTGCATTGAACTGCATTTGTTGATTTTGAAAAATAATAATACTTCTCTCTATCCTACCAATAAACCATGTCGGGTCGAGGTAAAAACGAAATTATACCTTAATAGACAGCGTAAATAATTTTGCAATATAATATTTACCTACTCAAGCACCACTTTCCTACTATTGATGAGTTAGCTATCGCCTATTTAATATTCTTGTTTGGTGATATTCAGGGAGAAATTACCGCGGCAATCGCCGCAACCAGACGCTGTCGTCCGTAGCGCGTGAGAATGCTCTCTCGCTGCCAGCAGACAGTCCCGTGCTGGCGATGTTCAAGAGCGCCGCGAGACAGCTCAACGACCGTCACGACCGCCACGAGAGGCTCGTCAAGCTGTCCCGCGACATCACCATCGAGAGCAAGCGCATCATATTCTTGTTGCATTCTGCCATTACGTGAGTTTGAAGTTTGCTGTGCCAAAAGGTGCTTAATACGTACTCTGTGCTTCAAGGGAATATTGTTTTTAGATAAATAAGGCTCTAATGTAGGCAAAAATGAAGCTTTTATTAATACAATATGTTTATACAAGCTTTAATTTTGAGAAATCATACTTTGACCATCTTCAGGTGAAATTCTTTCAATATTTCCATCGCCACTCTTGTGGCGGAGTTTTGGGCTGACACTGTGTAGGTTTGTTGTCGACACGAAAAGAAGAAGAATATTTCCATGTATTCTGTTCTGATATCTCCTAGCCATTTAATTTCTGTTGTCTGTTTCTGATATGTAACCATTTTCAAATTGCAGAAAAGAATCAAAAGAAAAAGCTGTCACTGAAGCCAACGAAAGACTGAACAAACTTGTCCAAGGTCCGATTAAGTACATTGGCTTGGAATTGGAAAAAAGCCCAGCGTATTTACATTCCCGTGCCGTAACCGCTGGCTTCCAGGAGTTCATTGAAGCAAAGACACTATGCTCTCTTGTGGACAAAGGTACACTCGTAACTTGGGAGGAAGTCAAGAAAGATATGGAATATACCATAACAGAAACAACTGATGATGGAGACTCAGAAAGGAAAGTAGTAACGATGCTCACCTATTTAGACTACATGCTGGGGGTGGCAGACCTCACCGGAGAATTGATGAGACGGGCTGTAAATAGTATTTCGAGTGGAGACAGTCAGGAATGTTTCCAGTCTTGTCAATATGTGAGGGATTTGTACACAGGATTTTTAGGTAAGTCTGCAGCAAAATAACTTGCTTCAATAATTGCTACCGGAAACTTTTTTTCTCAAATTCCACTTTAACGATTTGTAAATGTTTCAGGTCTGTTTGGTATGGGCAAAGAGCTGTCTCGTAAGATGAATACAACACGGAATAATGTGGCCAAGGTTGAGTTGGCTGTGTATGCTCTGAAAGTCCGAGGTGGTGAAGCCCCGCCCACTTTGCTCATACAGCAACCACCCATGAATGACTGGGAAGAATCTGCACACCATTCTGATGATGAAGGATATTATTAAGAATAAAACTATGTTAACATTACATTTTTATTACATTTACTTATATCAATAATACCCTTGCTCATATCTGACTATAATCTTGGGAGTACAACTGGCTGTCTGTTATATCACTAGGAGGTTGCCACTCATCGGATTCATCAGTGCCATAGGGATCCTCCTCATTTTCTGACTCTGATCCACTCCAGTTGCTCGGTCTGTTGATGGTCTTCCTAGTCCTCTTCCCTTGTACAATGTTGCTCTGCGTCTGGTCTTCATCATCTTCATCACTATCACTCTTTCTCTTAGGTTTTGTTTTCCTTTTCTTATTGCCTATAAATTAATTTGTTGGAATGAGTGTAGATTCTTTTAAGTATGTAATCAATAATGCGGTGAAAGTGTATAACTAATAAATATAACATAATCGTCTTCAAGATCGTAACAGATAAAATTAAAACTCATAATCAAAATCTACACTTTCTCCATCAGAGTCTAAAGCTTCCACGCGATCATCGTCATCGAAAAAGTTAACAGTGTGGGCGTTTATGTAGTAGATGTTGCCATTTCTTTGGACAACTCTCATGCCTGTGAACAATGGTAATATTGTAAATAGATCTATTGTGTTGTTTGTAACAGTTAAGGTCACAACAAAACCCGAGGACTTGAGTAATTAAACCAAAGAGCAAACCGCAAACCATTGTATCTGTTGAACACAAGGCCTCTAGGTCTACGGTCAAACTGCAGCACTATTTTACTGGGGGTAGAAGTATTATGAAGACGTTATGATACTGTGGGGTAGACTAGAAGATAAGGCTGTGTTTCCACCAGATTCTACACAGAAATGAACCGATTCTATTGGTTCTTTACTAACACATCCCTCGCTACGCATCCTCGCACATCTGGTGGAAACGCAGCCTGTGGGTCTAGAAAAAGTGCACATTATAATCACAAAGCAGTCGAAAAGTGGTCGAAAAGCCTTTTTTGTGTACGGAGATTCCATCAAAAAGTGCAACTTGTCTAGAGGGGCTAATGGGTTAATGAATGATAGTAGGGAAGCGCTGGACGCAGGCCGCTACCAATCGATAAACATAGAAAGCATTAGGGGAGGCCTATGTTCAGCAGTGGACGTCCTATGGCTGAAATGATGATGATGATGACTGATAGTAACTAAACTAAATTGCGAGCGTCAGGTGATTTTTGCAGTTCGCTCCTTTATTAATTAGTTGATGATTTTTCTTTTGTCACTTTGTTTACTTTTTTTATGTAAATTTATATTTTTCACAACAAAATATTCATAATGGTTTGCCCAACTTTATGTGTATATTTTACTGTGGAAACTTAATTGGTTTATGTGTTGTTTTACTGCACTAAGTTAAATTATATTGTAACTGTATGTTTCCCAAAAAATAAATAAATAAATAGTAACCTGGATTAGGCTGGAACGGCAGCGGGCGCGGCTGTGGCGCCTGCGGAGCGCCGGGCGGGTGGGAGTGGTCGCGCAAATGCCGCGGGTCGGTCTTGCAGCAGGAGGCGCCGCGCGGGCACGGCACCTGAGCGCCGGAGCCCCAGTCCGGATCCGTGGGGTGGCTGAACTGAGCTTTGTGCTGGGGATTCTTTCTGCAGGTGAGTTTGTTACTTATTAACTGATTCGTTATGGCACGAGGCGTGTCATATTTTTTTAACGTTCGGAGTAGAATTCTATAGGCGTGCTATAATAATTATTCACCGCAACACCAAGAAATTAGACGCAATAGGGATGTTTCCTGGGTAAAAAAGCAAGAGTTTTAATTAGTCCGTCAGTTAGCTTATCAAAAAATACTCGACACGTATTTTTCACTTTTTCAAACTAATGAAAATGTAAAGAGATCAAGCGTGTCAAAGTTCTAAAGAAAAGGTTCGTGACGTCAATGAGTGCTTAACCCTTAAGTAACACCGTGGGGTAATTTTTTACCCCAGGCGTATAAAAATTGGCATATCTTTTTTTCTAGTGAAGCTAGAACAATTTCGTTTTGTGTATTCTCAATGCAGAGCGTGCGCTTTAAGCTCGTAGACGTGGGATGTGAAAAAAATCATCCGTTTGGCTTTTACAGGTAGGTGGGGTAGAAATTTACCCCAGGGTGTTAGTTACGCATGTTTTAATTTATCATCACCTAACATGTAATTAATAGGTTTTTATGATATTTAAACAAAATGAATAAAAACTTATATGACGATCAAGTAGCACATTGTCTCGAGAATGCAGAGAGATAAAAAGAGCTAGATTTACATGATACTTTTCGAACTTTGAAGACATCCCCTCAGAACAGAGCGTTTATAAATTTGACACAGAAATAGAACTCGAAGGTGATAATTACGTAATAATTCAGTGTGTTTGATGTGTTCTGAAAATAATAATTAGGAATAAAATAATATAAAAATTAATTTCTCACAATTTTATAAAAAACATTTTTTTTTATTTTGCTTTGTTATAAGTCTAGAAATTTTCGTTTTATTTAATTTTGAGTTCAAAATGTGTATAAAGCAGCTATTCGATGTCCGATTAGTGCAAGTTTTTGGTTCCCACAATAACTTTCCAAGATTTTTCTAGAAGACCATTGTCGACACTATTAGTTGCAAATGGAAAATTCTTTGTTTTCTGTTATGGTTGATTTAAGATGTTTCTTTACGCTAGATAGACGATTTTTTAAGGCAATCGTATAATGTAGTGAGCCCGCTAATACATATAAATCACAAATTGAATTTATTTTCAATATATATTTAAAAATTTACAATTTCCGTTTGGGGTATTTTTTTTACCCCAGGGTGTTCAATGTGTAACCAAAAATAAGGATGTTACTTAAGGGTTAAAAGTGCAGCACTTTGTGACGTCGCGCGGAACTTCAACACACTATAACATTGTAATTATTTGTTTGATTGACAATTAATAATAAAATATATGTGTCCAATTTTTTTTCTATTAAAATTGACGGACTAAAAATTTTTTTTTAGGAAACTAGCCTATTGGACGCCGCTGTGTGATTGCCTTTGGTAACGTTTAGGCGTTGAGGAAGCGTTGCGTTGAAAATTGCCAAACATTGTTGTAAGTCTAATAAAAATGAAATAGGAACATACCTGTAGCAGTTAGCTCCATACATGCACCTCTCTCTGAGAATTTGGTTTTGTGGTGGTGATTTTGAGCCACCATCATTTGCATTTGAGGAGGATGCCTGGAAGATGAGAAAAAACGCGTAAATTAATTAAAGTTAACATGTAAAATTATACTCAATTTATTCTTGAAAAATTTTAAGATTTGCTTGAACTTGGCTGGACTTCATTGTGTTAGAGAAAAGGTAATATAAATTTTATGTATTAGTACTTCTTCTTCTTCTTCTCCTCTATGGCTACTGTGTTTCCACGTTTGCCAATGCCTAAGAATAGCTGGTAGAAAATGCCACATGGCATTAAGTTCGCCTTTTGGACCGTTTTTTTTGTGTGAAATAAAGATTTTAAATAAATAAATAAAAATATATGGAAAATGTTCTTACAGCTTGATTATTACTGGGTCCAGCCGCATCTAAACCAGGCTCAGACTTTACTTCTAGTTTCTGTTCTTCGACAGGTTCAGTTTTGATTTTCTTTACTGTGCTCTCATCATCTTGGCTGTGACTTCCCTGACTGCGACATCTCTTGGCTGGTGAGCTTGGTGCTTCATTAAGATTTGGTTCTTCATTAGATGTTTGCCTTGTTGCAGTACTGGGACTTTCTGAAATTTGGTTTTCTGGAGCTGAAATGAATAAATTGATGACATTTAGTTTCATAGTTAGCGTTTGTTATGATCCTCCAGGTTTATACAAAAACACAACTAACAAATGAAAAGTTAATTAGTGTTCTTACGTAATAATGATGGAGACCCGACTGGATTCTCTTCCACTGTGTCATTTAAGTGAAAATCCACTACTTCATCCACATCATGTCTTGTGCTATCACCACAGTCCATTGGTTCTGTTGCTATGCTATTGTAATCATCTTCATAGACTTGTGATTGGATTTGTTCATCATCTTTGTCACCATCGGTGAACGCACAGTGTAATAACTCATACCAGTAAGTGTTAGGGAGCAAACCAAACCTGTCACCGTTATCGAGGTTGACTGTACAGTCCTTCTTTATTATTTGAACTTCTTCGGTTCCTTTCCTTATCATGAAACATGGGTTTTGGTGTAACTGGAATTAGATTAGGGGAGATGAATAAGTCATATGTCTTATAAATCTATAGTAAATAACATTTTTGAAGCAGAGAAATTGTACTAAGCAAGGGAAGTTAAGTTCTCACCGCCTTAATAACTACTGTATCACCAAAAACTTCCAACTCGCCATGGTTTCTTGAAACTCTTTTGTCCTCACACTAAAAACATGTTATAAAATACATTACACCCTGTGATTACACCACCATAAAATTTGTCATATCAGAGAAAAATGAGAAAATCTTATCTTTGGGATAGCTATGGCACAATAATAACAGTGAAGGTCTATTGATTATTATGATAGATAGATTTATGGTTAATGTAAGTATCAGTAAGGATATAGTAAAACAAAATTGCTTACATCAAGAAACTTCCCTCTACCAATCAAATGTTTACCGACTGGTAGTTTTATTTTGCAAGGTTCATTGGAGTCAGTCCGCAGTAATTTGAAAACCATTGTTAAAGTTTCACTTATAACTGATGTTTAGAAACACATAACTAAAAGTAGCTAATTTCAATATACTAGCGAAAATCTAAAATCCCAACCCAACAACAAACAAACAACACAACAAGTACAACAACAACTGACCATAGAGAAAAGTAATACATATGAAACTGACAACAACCAGCCATTGCTTGCGCAGGTCCATCCATAGACGGACGTCAAAACAAAAAATATTAAGGCGGATTTCTACTTGTATGACGCGTTATGGTCGTGAATCCATAGCCGTAAAAAACCCCTCTTAAAAAAAAATTGACAGTCAGTCTGTCAGTTTCAGTTGTCACTTTTGTTTTCGTGATTGCCTGAGGTTCCGTCTCGCGAGTGTCAGTGGCTACACGTGTGTCGGATATTTTCGTTTATTTTGAAAATTTTAGTGTGGTTTTCTACAGGAATCTTATTCTAAGCTTATTTATTAATAAAACTAAGGTGGTGGTATATTAACNGGGTCTAGTCAAAACGCACTTTAAAATCGCAAACCCATCGCAAACCAGTCGCAAACAAATAAACAAATCGCAAAAGAGGTCGATAACAAAAAAGGCTTAGTCAAACGGCAAAAAATCGAATCGCAAAGCCCTACCTATCGATAATCGAAAGACTGGATTGAAATTTCCCATACAAAGGCTTAGCCAACATGCATTTAAGACTCAATCAAAATCGAATCGAATCGCAACACCCGCCATTTTCATTGCGAATCGCCGCGTCGTTGGTGGTTCAATGTGCATTTTGGCTGCCATTTTCCGATCGAATCGAATCACTGGAGACGCGGCGACTGACATTAGTGAAAACTTCACATTGGTTTGCGATGGCATTTTGACTAGACTAACGGTGACAACTATAAAAAAAAACTGGCCAAAAAGGTTTAGTCCAAGTCTGTACGAAAATTATAGTAAAAAAAAGTAAAGTCACAACAAAAAAAAAGTAAACTATAAAACTATAAATTTTAATTGGTTGGGATTCCGTCTCGCGAGTGTCAGTGGCTACACGTGTGTCGGATATTTTCGTTTATTTTGAAAATTTTAGTGTGGTTTTCTACAGGAATCTTATTCTAAGCTTATTTATTAATAATATACCACCAGNTTTAGTGTGGTTTTCTACAGGAATCTTATTCTAAGCTTATTTATTAATAAAACTAAGGTGGTGGTATATTAACTTTCGTGTATTTTTGGTAAGTAAAGTAAATTAACATGGATGTCATACCTCCCGACCCGCCTGATCCCCCAGACCAGGCCGCCCCAATGGAATTATCCCAGCCATTATTTTCACAATCGGCTACCAAACGCCGTCTTGACACGACAGGCGATTCCGAGCCAGCTAAAAGAACCAACACCGATGGTTCCTTACCTCAAATCAATCAACAGGTGTACACTCACCCCTCGCTAGTCATTGCCCCCAAAACATATAGTGACCAAGACAAAGGCCCGTTCCTAGTTCACGTGTCTCATATGGAAACTGATCCCTCTTCCCCCGTATTCATCCAACCAATGAGATTTGGTAAGTTTCTGGTTACCAACAGAATCCAGGGTATAGTTTTGGACGGAGTTAAAAAAATCGGAAGAAACAGAATTTCAGTCGAATTTGTTTCACCCAGCGCAGCTAATAATTTCCTGAATAACGAAATTCTTCCATTGTACAAATACGTTGCCTCGATACCGACTTATAACGTGACCCGCATGGGTCTCATCAGGAACATCCCCACTGACTGGACCATGGAGGAGCTCGCAGAAACTTTGACAACACCAGACGGTTGCGGCATTCTTTTGAAGGCCCGCCGCCTCAACAGGAAGCAGGTTAGAGACGGTCAGTCATCCTGGGTCCCCACACAAACTGTTGTGGTGACTTTCAAGGGTCAAGTTCTTCCTCAAAGAATCTTCTGTTGCCACAATTCGATTCCAGTTGAGACGTACCAGCTTCCAACAATTCAATGCCTCAACTGTTGCCGATTTGGCCATGTTAAGGCACAATGTAGGTCGAAACCCAGATGCTATCGGTGCACCCAACCCCACCCAGCAGAAGAATGCGACGTCTCGGAAGGTAAAGCAACTTGTGTCAATTGCTTAGGCCCACATTTTGCGGTCAACAAGTCCTGTCCAGAGCATTCCCGCCAAAAGGCAATTAAAATAACTATGTCTCAGGACAATATCTCTTACTCTGAGGCCTCCTCCCAATTCCAACCAGTCCGCAAGTCCTACGCAGATGCCACTAAATCTCCGTCCTCACAAAGCATCAGCCCCACTTTCCAACTATCCCAGCCCCTCTCTCCATCCTCAAGCCAAACCATCTCTTACAGAAAGTCCATCCCTCGCACTCCCCGCTCTCACGCGCCGTTAGATAAGGGTTATGACAAGCAGGCACACCAAGCCATTATTGGCAATTGTGCTTCTTCCCTTCCTAATGGTTGCGCTCTGAATAGTGGATCTTCCCCTTCCTCTTCCCCTGGTGATGAGGGCCTCCTGGAGATGGTCCTCTCCCTCATCATCAGTATTATTTCCAGTCGTAAAATCGCCCTACCGTCCAACGTTGCACAAATGCTTTCCCAAATCTCACAAATAACCGATATTAATAATGGACAAAAAGGTAGTTCAATGGAACTGCCAAAGCATTAGACGCAAAAAGCATGAATTAACCTTTTTAATAAACAAATACTCCCCATCTGTTCTAGCCGTCTCGGAGACATGGCTCGTACCTGGATCACACTTCCGTGTGTCTGGCTACGCATGCCTCCGGGATGATAGAAGTGATGGTTACGCGGGAAGTGCCTTACTTGTAAGGCGCTTTCTCCGCTATAGTCAACTTCCCCTCCCCTCGCATAGTCAGGACATTAATGTCGTGGCCGTGCGAGTTTTTGACATATCCTTCCTATCTGTTTATATCCCCCGTCCTAACTCTTCCTCCATTAATGAATTACGCTCTGCCATTTTATCCCTTCCTCCTCCAGTCCTCATTATGGGCGACCTTAATGCTCACCATGTCTCATGGGGCTCTTATCACTCCGACTCTTCTGGATCATTACTCTTGGACCTTTTGGATGAGTTAGATCTATGTATTTTGAACAATGGCTGTCCAACCAGAAGGTGTGCTCCTACTCAAAATCCTGCTTCTGCCGTTGATGTTTCTCTTTGCTCTCCAAATTTATCCTCGCTTCTCTCGTGGAGCGTCCTTAATAGCACGTTCGGGAGCGATCACTATCCTATTTTAATTTCGTTACTTGATAATAATACTCCAACTAACCGCCTCCCCCCTCTTCTAAAATTCAAATTAAATAAAGCTGACTGGCTAAATTTTTATGGGTCAGTTAATGAAAAATTAAAAGATCTTCCCAACGTTTCTAATGAAAATGCCCTTTCTATCTACCCTGACTTTGTTAACATCCTACAATCATCAGCAGAAGAACACATCCCTTTAAAAAACCCTTCCTATAAGATATCACCCCCTTGGTGGGACGCTGAGTGTACTGCCATTGTCAAAAAACGAAAAGAAGCTGAAAAAAGGTACAACCGGTCAATGACCATGGAGAACTACATTTGTTATCAAAAAACGGCTGCCCAAACCAGGAAATTCTTAGCCAAAAAGAAGAGAAAAGGGTGGATTGGGTTCTGTGAGAGCATGTCCCCAAGGACCCCTTCCTCTATAGTATGGAAGCAAATTAAACGTTACCGTACGTCTTTAATCCCATTAAATTCTCCATCAAACGATCCTTCTACTTGGCTTAATGATTTCGCTGATAAATTGGCTCCTCCCTTTGTCCCATTTATAGATAGTTTCCCATCCCCCAGTAATTTCCTTCCCCATGTCAATTATTTAGATAGGCCCTTTTCCTTTGAAGAGCTTTTGTCAGCCTTGGACGGTTTAAAGGATTCATCGCCAGGGATTGATGGTGTCCCTTACTCCTTTATAATTAAATCCCCAGAAAGAGCTAAGTCGTACTTCCTCAAAATTATTAACTCGTTTTTAGATCAAGGTTCTCTTCCGGAAGCTTGGAAACAACAGATTGTCATTCCAATTCCCAAACCGGGAAAAGATCCTTCAGATCACAATTCTTACCGCCCTATAGCTCTTTCTTCCGTCCTTCTTAAAATAGTAGAACACATGATTAGAAATCGTCTTGAATGGCATTTAGAATCCAACCATATCCTTCCCTTATCCCAATTTGGTTTTCGCAAAGGCTTAAGCACTCTTGATAGTTTAAGTATATTGACAACAGATATCCGAGTAGCCTTTAAAAATAAAGAATATCTCGTTGGGGTTTTTCTGGACATTGCCTCTGCGTACGACAATGTTTTGCTCCCATTACTCAGGCAAAAACTGCTTCATCTGAGTATCCCGGAGAAACTGGTGCGTCTCATCTGTAATTCATTGATGTCTAGGTCAATTGCAGTGAGATTCCAAGATTCCATTGTTCCTCGTTTAATCTGGAAAGGCCTCCCGCAAGGCTCTGTGCTTAGTCCCCTGCTTTATAACATATATACATATGACCTCAACAGGACAGTGGATTCTTTTTGCAGCATTCTGCAGTACGCGGACGACATTGNGCTATCAGGGCCACTGGAATGCACACATGATGGCTGACTGCTGTTGAATCATTCAGAAGAGCTGTCTGCCTTCAGCATCAGCAAGAAAGTCAAATAAAAGAAAGTTTTTTCAACTTAACAACTTCATAAAATAGGATCATCTCTAAAAAAAGAGTGTTTTTTTACAAAAAGACCCAAGTGTCATATTTTTTTAACCAGAGCTGATACAGATATTTCAATCACAGATTTGAAATCGTCATTAAACATTGGACTAATATCATGTAACCTAACCCAATCATCAGAAATGCTGTTGTGCAGTGTAATCTATAGGATTAACGCGTTTTAAAAATATTGGTTCGATGGATATGTTTAACCTATTATTACTCAACAATCACATTTGTAATATTAAACTTTATCAAATGCACAATGTATTTAAGGTACATTACTGGATAAGGATTAATGGCGTATTGCTTGAATAAGCTAATATTTCTCGTAAAAAGTACCTACATTATAAAGATTTTATATCATCGCGGATTTTAAAAGGTGTACAATACTGTAGTATATTTTTTGATCTATCTTATAAGGTTCAGCCATCGTTTTCAGTGTAAGCACAATAACTTAACCAAAATTACAGTTAAATCAACCTATCTCAAAAACTATAAGAGATACTTTGATCAAACCAAAAATCGTTGAAAGAGTTAATTAGCATGCATCATTAATATTGTCTCCGAGCACTGGCAAGGCTGGATCAAGATATTTACTGATGCCTCCAAGCTGGACGAAGGTGGCTGCACTGGCGCAGCTGTCTGGATACCTGCGTACAAAATAGCATTAAGTTTTAAATGTCCCCCAGTAACATCAGTTTTCACCGGAGAATCGGTTGCAATATTAGAGGCTATCCGATACTCTATCTCCCATCGTCTTAACAACTCTTTGATTTTCACCGATTCTCTAAGCTGTCTTCAAGCCATTTTAGCTAACCCCTTTAAATCAAAAACCAAATTTCCCATTATCTTTAAAATCAGAGAAGCTCTCTTTAAATGCAAACTAGAGGGATTAAATATCGTCTTGACTTGGATCCCAAGCCATCGAGGTATCCCAGGCAACGAAACAGTTGATTCATGCGCTAAACTTGCTACATCTTCTGGCTCGCTGGATCACTATAGGCTATTTGCCCATGATGCCTCCGCTCTCCCTCGAAATCACTTATACTCATCGTGGAATACTCATTGGGAAAATTCCAAAAGAATGGTTGGTAAATATTACGCTGATATACAAAAGGATATCCCTTCAAAACCTTGGTTTTTTAGACATAAGAACTTACCAAAAAGAACGGTCTCCATCATCTGTCGCCTGCGCCTTGGTCATGCGTGCACCCCTGTCCACCTCGCGAAAATACACATTAGAGATAGCTCCATTTGCGAGTGCGGCCTGGATGAAGGAACAACCAACCATATCTTTTTTAATTGTCCTAAAATTGGATCCTCTTTGTACGATTTTCTCCCTAAAACTTTCCCCCGTCCCTCTAATATTAAATGTGTACTTAACACCATTAGCTGTCCTATTTTAAATTCACTTGCAAAATTCATTAAAATTAACAAAATTAATTTGTAGGTAAGGAAAAAATTGGCCTTGCGAAATTTATTATAACAACCCCCGCGTCATTTTTTTTATTTTTCTTTTTTATTCTCTGTTACATAAAACCACCCCCAACCCTTTCCCCAACCCCTGCTGTACAAAATTTTTGTGTGTTTTGTCTTTTTTGTGTTGTCTTATTCGTGATTGTGATTTGTGATGTCTTTTTTGTTTTAGGTCGATAAGTTCGCTTAGTCTTGTAGAAAAAAATCTTTTTTTTTTATTTTATTTTATTTGATTCTATCACTGTGTAAAAGCTGCGCACGTGACATTGGCGGAACAGTGGCGAAAAAGCACAAGTTCATCGCCATCAATAAAAGAAGAAGAAGAAGAAGAAGTTTTCGTGATTTTCCGATTGATTTCCTCCAAATTTTCAATTTTGCTTGAATTAATTTGCATATAATGATGAAAGCCACCGGTTTAGGATCCCACAGGCCTCTCTCGGGACAGTTGTACAAATACACGAACGTGGTGAAGGGCTGGCAGCAGCGGTGGTTCGCCGTCGACCCTGAGACCGGAGTGTTGTCCTATTACTTGTTTGATGGACCTGGAGACACTATACAGCCTGGCCAGCCAGCGCGAGGCGAGGTACCTTATGCAGTAACTCATGTATTTGTTGTGAAGGGTCATATCTATGATGAATAGTAAGATTCGCCTCTGTTGATGTTAACAGGCGCACTTAGCAGCAGCTGTGATCTGTCCGAGCGATGAGGACTCGCGAACATTCACGATCAACTGCGCGTCCGGGGACATGCTCAAACTGCGCGCTACCGACGCCCGCGCGCGTCAAGAATGGGTCAACGGGCTAAGGGCCATAGCTGAGATACACACCAAAGTAAGATTTTATTTTATACTAGCTTTCCGCCCGCGGCTTCGCCCGCGTGGAATTTTGTCTGTCACAGAAAAACTTTATCGCGCGCGTCCCTGTTTCAAAAACTGGGATAAAAACTATCCTATGTTCTTTCCCGGGACTCAAACTATCTCTATGCCAAATTTCATCAAAATCGGTTGCGAGGTTTAAGCGGGAAAGCGTAACAGACAGACAGAGTTACTTTCGCATTTATAATATTAGTTGGGATTTTTTTTATTTACTGCCAGGCAGTGGGAAGGTTACTATGTCTGTGAACAAGAATACCCCAGACCTGGCCCTAAACAAAAGAAAAAGGCAAGGCAGGTATGAGATGTGGTTGGATTCTTGTCCCTGTGATGGATTTTAAATTGGATGTCATTACACAGGATCCAAGGTACATTTCCTGGATGATATAGCTTAAACCAATCACTGTGAAAATTTTAAGTTCTTGAATGAAGTCGATGTTCACATTGTTAATAATACCTAATCATGTTTTTTTTCAGGCAATGGGGGCAAATCCTCCTCTTCAACCGCGAGAGCAACTAGCCGTACATGATGCTATGGCGTCAGCCCGCCAACAGTTGCAGTCAACTGAGCTCAGGTGATATTAACATGATTAACTTAATCATTATCCCATTGAATGAGATGCAGACAATTTTTGTATTATATCTAAAAAAAACTGTGATCTTCTTCCAAAAGCTTCTACTACTTAAACTAGCTTAAATTCTACTACTTAAACTAGATGACTTAACAAACAAGGCAAGGAAAAATTGGATGCACGTAGCCAGCGACAGGGAAAGATGGAAAATGATGGAGGAGGCTTTTACCCAAGTGGGGCCACAATCAAGGGAAATACTTACAAATTAATTAAATAAAACTGTTTAATTGTGGATTGTAAAGCTATAACAATTTTTTTATAATAAAAAAATGGTCTTTTCAATTTCTAAGTTTCTATAAAACTAGTAAAGATACCTCCTAACATAATAATTATTTTACTGTTTCCAGTGATGCTGCCCTAGCAAGGTGTATAGAATCTTCAGACTCTCCATTCCCGCATACAGACCCAGACTTGCTATTACTCAAGGTAATCAAAATCACAAAATTTAAAACTTTGTCTATTTCAACCATTTTTTGAAAACAACAAATTTTTAACAGTGCGCTGCAGTGGAATTAAAACAAACCTTGATCTAGCCTAATAAAAAGCTTCTCTATAAAAGGTCATCAACCTGAGCTGCCACATTTATATGTCGAATTTTGTTAACCATTAAACTGCACTTGCAGGCGACGTCCGCAGCGAGTATGCAGTGCCTGCTGCAATGCCTCGGCATCCTGCACCGTCAACAGCAGTACGCCACCGTCAGCCTCTCCAAAAGTTCCGACGACCACTAGCCGACCAGCACGGAACTGGTTAAAACTCTTTGGCACGAACTGTGATGTGGCAGTTACGTCACAATTTAAGGACTATACAATATTAGGACGATATGTAGGATTTACGGACGTACCGTGATACGTCATAGTATAGTCTAGTCATTGTCCCTATCTTATGGAGTGGAAAATTTTTACTTGCTGTTAAAACGTGAAAATCTCGATATGATTTAGCTTGTAATCAGTAAGTTTTCTTTATCATTGTTTTTAAAAGCTTTTTCTGACCAACAACCACTTTACTTTATTAGGGGTTAAAGAAATCCGCGCTTATTACCATATTGATTAGATGCTGACAACCTTTTGGAATCAACTGGCTTGACCTCGTGCTACATTTTATGAAGGTGCGGCATTCCTGTAAAATTTTATATTTTCCTAAAATTAAGTAATATGCTATGTTGGTTTTGTGTTATGGTCATCAGCAGTCTTCCAACTGGCAGCTTAAAAAGACCTATGCGATCTATGAATTTATTATTTTAGTTATATTTACTATCTTATGTTTTAGAATCATGTATGTGATAAATATAAATTATAGAGATTCAAGACTAGAATACAATCCGTGATAGGGGTCCTTACCATCATTATAGTAAGAGTAGGCGCACACCGTTGATATTTAGTTGGCCGATAGTTGTGCCCGATTTTAATTTGTATGAAGAATCGGCCAAATCGAATCGGCGTAGTGTGCGCACTCCCATACTGATCAACTGCCCGACTAAACAATCGGCCGACGAAAAATCAACGGTGTGCGCCTACTCTAAAGCTATTTTTTTGTGCATTTGTAAATGTTTCTACATTTTAAAAGACAAAATAAGTACTTCTTTATTTAATATTTTATCATTATTGTAATTTACTGCCGGTAAATGTTGAAGTTATTTAGTTTGAAAATAAGCTGATAGGGTTTACCTACGTTATGTTTATTAAAAAACTATAAAATTATTTTAATGTTTGTGCATAAAAATATCAAATCAATTATCTTAAAAAGTTTGTCTATTGATGATAATAGATTTTTAAAGAAAATAATGTGTTTTGTTTTATTAACCGTCAGTCAAATTGACAACCATGCTCGCGATTGGCGTGCGATTTTTATAGAATTTATTTTAAAACGTGGCTTATTTTCTGACAATTCAACCAACCTGAAATTTTAAAACTGATTCAAAATGTGCGACCAAGAGTTCAGAACGCTCCGCGTCGATCCTCGATACCCTTTTCAAAACAAAACAAAGTAAGTAACCCATGAAGTTATTTTAACCTATTGTATTTATTGCAAACTTAGTAATAACTAATAACTCCCCTGCAGACTAGCAGGACTTGCGACTTTACTGTACTCTCCTCATCATGTCCCAATTGAGTTTTACATCATTTGATTTTTGTTCGATAGGGTACACTTCTGTTCTGATGTCCCAATGGTCCTATTTGTCACCAAGTCATCGTTTTTGTGATATTTTTCATCGGGAAATGCTTTGCGCATATGTAGGTTTTTTTTGGGTCTCCCCCCGCTAGAAGGGCGGGGCCTACCCACCCACTAAAACCCGACGGTGTTCTACGGGGCCAAATGGAGCCGAGTTATTGTCCTTTAAATTGCACATAATAATTTATTTATTGATCCAGAGCGTGCTACGACAACTACTGCGACTACTACAAGTGCACGCGGCTGCTAGGCGAGGTGGACGACTGCAAGCTGTTCAAGCGGTACTTCGAGACCATCTGCCCCAATGCCTGGATCTCGCATTGGGACGAGTTGCGCGAAAAGGGCGCCTTCCCCGGCCCGATATAGCGGCGATGGCAATATACTGATCGTTTGATATTTTGGCTTTCATTTACGAGTTTACCCTGCCCCTCACACTGAGCACACTCACTGTAAAAGCTTATTTCGTACAAACGATCAATAAACTACACCACACTGATCAGTAAGTTCTTCTAGGGCTGACACAGGTCATCAACCCAATCGGTTAGTGAGGAAACGGAATTAGATTTTTTAGGGCATACGAAATAGATAAAGGAAATTGTGAACGTGTGCAAGGACTGAGGGACACAGCACACCACACACGGGAATTAATTTAAGAAATAATAAATGTAGGCACAGGATCAAAATGGGGCAGTGCTGCTGATGCACTTCCTCACGCCGCTAATTTAAAGGGACTTGGAATAAAAACAGTGTATGGAATCAACTCATTCGCATTTATTTGACTAATCGGTGCTTTACCTAGGTAAACTTAAATCGCATTAAATTAACAATTCACAGCTAGCGGTGGGTCGCTTAGATCCTGCCGGGGAAGGTGCCTTCGGAGCGCTGGGTGTCCCACTTGTCTACCCATTCATTGGGGCACAGGGACCTGAAACAATACAAAAACTGTTTGAAACAAAATGGCGACTCAAAACTAATTACCGACCGACCCAAATGTTCGGCGAGGGACCTTTGAAGCTACTTTTAATACAAAATAAAAACTTTACTTTGAAGGCGACTCAAAACTAATCAAGTCGGTCAATCCATTGACCCAAATATTTAGCAAGACTTGAAGCTACTTCGTAACTTTCGCAAAAACGAATGCATCCAACCAAACGTTACATCTTCAAGTAGAAAGTCCTTCAACTTGAGTGCCATATCTAGGTCAAAGTAACACCAGTAACACCTTCAATCAATCGATTTATTGGGTGACGTTCTAAAACGGCCATGTCGTAAGAATAGAAGAAACAATTTTATCCTATTCCTTCCCTTCCTCTCAAGTGCTCGTTTGACGCACCGCGATAAATATGCAGCCTCGCTATGTCGATAGTCGATACAGCCTTTAGTGCTGAAACTTTAAAAATATATCTAGACAAAATAAGAGTAGTGTGCTCACCTGTACACCCTCTTGAAGTAGTTGCATGGCTCGTACTTCTCGCCGCGGACCTTCTGGCACCGGTGGAAGTCCAGGTAGCTCTGGTAGCAGTGCCTGTAAGTGCCAGGGAGAAACATGTTAGAATTGTGCTGAGGATTTTAAACTAAGTCACAAAATAAAAATAACATCTAGTCCAGTGTGTTATGTGAGTAATATTAAGTAGTAAGTTCTCAATATTTACAGAGTAACAAAGCAGACATCTCCCAATACTTGATTTACGCTAACGCAACGTAAGGCCCAGTCCACCAAGGCAGAAGACATGAGGAAATAATAAAATCTGATTAGATTCAAAACACTTTTCAGCTCCGCTCTGCTCCGTCTTGGTGGAAACCGGGCCTTGATGACTACACAAGCTTAAAATGTATGTTTTAAGCGTCAAATGACGTGATCTACCGTGCGCATGTGCTTGAAATTATACGACAGGCAAATATTTTTTCATCAATTACGCCAAACAATCCCAACACCCACGGCATAAATATCTATCTAATTCATGACCGCGTTACACATACACAAGGTTGAACGACGTTATGAATGAAATGAAAAAGAAATCATCTTCATGATCGGCCCATGTTGCATGAGGTGACTCCATAAGCTGCCAGTGTCTTCACTTGCGGCGACTAGAAATAACTCCGAAGTGTTACCTGGTCTGGTTCTGATTAGGGAACCGCGGGTCGAAAGGTGCAGTTTTGATGTCAGCGGCAGTTTTGATCATCTCAGGCATTTTACTGCAAACAACACAAAATGATACTCATTCTCGAATTCCTTTATTTGGAAGTGTTAACAAGTAAACAAAGGGAGAGCCTAGGTGCTGATTACAATAAACACAGTTTACAATAGAAAATAAAAGTTGTTAATAATAACTCGTAATTATACATTTTAGAGGTCATAATAAAAATCTTACAATAAGACAATGAAAACTAAATACTATTATGTATCATTTCACAAGAGGTCTAGTTTTGCGCTCTTCCTCACAAGAGGTCTCGCGGTATTTCTTGACTTCTTGCATGTACAGGGACCACGCGTCTTTGGGAGCGTTGTCGATGGTCTGTTCGTCAATGGCCTTGGCTTTCTTAACCAAACCGGTCTTCAACACGCGACCTCCACGTCTTTTACCAATAAATGGCAGTGTCGGCTTTTTGATCTCTGGCTTCTTTTCCTCCTCTTTTTTAGTGGCTTCTTGCATCTTTTTGAACATTTCTAAAAAGCTACCATCATTTCTAATAATCGGTATTGGAATGCTTTTAGATTTGGACGATGATGCGCCGGCGATCACTTGGTCCGTCGGGGTCAGCAGTTCGGCGAAGTTCGGGCCTTCGACTTCAGGCGGGTCTCCGTACTCGATGTCGTCCACGTGGGCGGCTTCCACGGCGCCCGGGGGCGGCTTCACCTCTTTGGGAGGGCTCCTGTCTTTATCTCTCTCCTGCCTACTTTTATGCAGCTTCCAGAAGCGCTTTCTGTCAGCCACTGTGAACTGCCCGCGTCGCTGTTCGTCATCGCTGGGCGTTCGCGTCTGGCTTCTGCTGGGCGAGTGCGATCCTCTAGACCGCGACCGAGATTTAGATTTGCTCAGACTGGGAGTACGATTTCCTCGAGATTTGGAGCGTTTTCGCGATTTAGACTTGCTCACAGACCGACGTTTCGATCTACTCTTGGACCGTGATCGCGATTTATGTTTTGACACTGAACCCCGTTTGGTTCGACGCTTGGATTTCTTCCCCGAGCGTCCCGACGAGATCGATGATCCGCTCGATGACGAGGACGAACGTGATCGCGAGGAGTGCCGCGATTTGGGCGTTCGCGATCGTTTGCGTTTGTCATGTCTCGGAGTCAATGACCTCGAACGAGACTTCGAGCTCGATGAAGATCGGCTGCGAGCGTAACTCTTCGGTGGAGTCAGAGAACTATCTCGCCCTTTACGAGGTGGTGTATCTGCCTTGCGATCTTTATTTTTGTATTTTTTGGGTGGAGTGACCGATCTATTGGATCTCTTGTAGGTTTTGGGAGGAGTAAGGGAAGATCTATCATATTTGCTCTGCTCTTTAGGTGGAGGAGTTCCATCATTACGCTTTCTAGGTGGTGTGTTAGAATCCCTCTTTTTCGTTTTTTCTGCTTTATCCTTTGGCTCTTTACTGGAACCACTTTTTGATTTACTCTGTTCCTTATCCACTCTAAGCCTTGGTGATTTGCTACTAGATCTCTTAGGGCTTGGTGTTCTGGAAACTTTTCTGGAACGAGACCGGCTCTTACTTTTCAACTTAGGTGTCACAGACCTCTTCCGTCCACGATCCTTTTTCTTATAAGATATGTCAGATCCAGATGAATCCGATGATACAGATCTTTTCTTCTTATCTTTACGAGCAGCCGATCGACTGTATGAGTGTGACCGAGAACTTGATCGATCACTAGAACTGTATTTCCTTTTGGATCGTACAGATCTGCTTCTGGATCTCGGACGTCTCTTTTCCTCTTCGTAGCTGCTGTCTCTCTTTCTGGAATAAGCTCGTTCTCTCTTCTCATAAGGTGATGCACTCCTCGAGTTGGATCGATACGATCGACTGCGGTTATAGCTGCGCGCATCCACGGGAGACCGGGTTCTTTCGCGCGGCCGCGGCGGATAGTCATAGCTGGCTTGCGGCGCGGGGGGATAGGGAGGCTGGGCCTCCGGATACTTTCCGTAGTAGCTTCCGTCTGGCCTCTGGTAGTAGTTAGAGTCGTAACCGTAACCATAGTTCGCACCGTACGCTTGGTAGTCGTAGGCGGAGGGCGCGGCGTAGTGACTGTAGCTGACGCCGGTCCAGGGGTCGGTGCTGGGCAGCGGCTGCGCGGGCGGCGCCGCGTACGGCGGCGGCGGCGCGTACTCCGCCTCGGCGCCCGGCGGGCCGCCGTCCCATGCGCCACCCGCGCCGCGATACGAGGACATACTTAAATCAGCCTCCTCGCATAACCTGCGGCAGTATGTAGGTACGCACACACCTACGAACAGAACAACTTTTCGGTGTAGACAGCAACTCTACGCTCCGAGCTCGTGAAACGTACTCTGATATATATTTTTTTCATGTTTCGTTGTAAATAATTGTATGACGAGGAACAACAAATTACGTAATCCGTAGCCTAATCGCGAAAAATACGATTATAGAGCATGCGTAACGAATAAAGCATTGGACAGTGATCAACATTTCTAGATAATACCTTTCTACTCATGCTCACCTTTTTTCAAATTACTTTTTTCTCAAACAAATTATTTCAATAGAAAATGGCAGCGAACACATTCGCTTCTTTCACAAAATGCATAGACAATCCAGACTAAAAAATAACATGGCCGATTCAGATTTTTTTTCTTGTCTATGTATGTTCCATAAACTCAATTGGCTTTGGATTGATTGTAGAGCTCAAGGATGAGCTCAAAATTTTTAGCGGGACTTAGCGGGTTACAAAAAGAAAAAACAAACAAAAAAAATCAGTCTATGGTTGGTCAGCCGGTTGAAAGAGCGGGTAAAATCTTAATTTCGTCGTTTTTTCCGTGATTTATTTCCTATAACAAGTAGAATTGTCATATAAAATACATTCTACAATCCCATGAGTAAGTCAAAGGTATCAGCAGAATGGAAGAAGCGCGTAAAATCCGAATACATGAGACTCCGCCAAGTGAAGGTAATGTCAATCGAGCCAATCGCCTTTGTTTTGTAACAATTTGCTCTCGAATTGTTAGATACTTATTATGTTGAATGTTTTTTAGCGTTTCAAACGAGCCGACGAAGTGAAAGTGGCATGGGCTCGCAATTTACGGTTGATGTCGGAGGCGGTAGAGAATCGTGATACTGAAAGTGCTGCAAGAGGTCGAAGACCTTTCTGGCCGCCCCCAGCTGCTAACTGCAACCATGAGAGCCTTATGAAACGAGCTGAAGTCTCCTATACTGACTGTAATGTTTATAAACAATGTTTTTTGATGATAACTTAAACACTGTAAAAAGTCTAAAACTTAAAAAAATCTAATTTTCCTCACTTGCTAAGTCAAACCACTTCTAAGCACCAAACATTGTAAAAAAGTCTAAAAGTTAAAAATGCTAATTTTCCTCACTTGCTAAGTCAAACCACTTTGAAGCACCAAGCACTTGGCCAGATTAAGGCAATTAGTAATTCCAAATTAAAAATTTTTCGCCTGGTAATATCCCTTAATTTATCATCTTTTATTTCCAGCATCTGGTGTAGTAACAACCCAGCAAATACCCATCCGTATCATCAACTCAGTCAACCCAATCCCCACGATGTACACATGGGCTCCCACTCAGAAGAATTTCATGGTTGAGGATGAGACGGTACTACACAATATCCCGTACATGGGCGACGAAGTGCTGGACCAGGACGGTACATTCATCGAGGAGCTCATAAAGAACTACGACGGGAAAGTGCATGGTACATCGGCTTACTCATCATATCTAGTTTTACTTGTGGACAAAGATTATTTTATAGACAATACCTTGGAATTTGAGTTATAGAAAATTATTTGAAATTGGTCTCTGTTCACAAGTCCTACACAAAAATAATACACATTGGTGTGTGGTGCACACATCTATGCTTGTAATATGTGAATAGAATGTTGTCATTTGAAAAATAATTATGTGTAATAGACTAAGTGCCTAAATAAACCCTGAAACTTCTTCATCATCATTGCCAAGTTGGAAACAATTTTTATGAGTTTCACTGCACTCATGTTAAACTTTGTGAATCATGAATTCAAAATCTTGTTTAAATCCAACAAGTACAGTCAAATGTGACTTTAAGCTGCAATAGTTTTTAGTGCTATTTTCAATAAACAATTTCATATTTTGCTGCAAGTAATTGTTTCCAGTTTGGTAATAATCACAGATCTAAGCACTTCATAGGCTTAGCCCTCATTTTATCATGCTTTAACTTCAAGTGATTAAGCGTTTCACTCACGCAAACTCTTCTATCAGATTCTTATTCAGTCTAAACTTTTTTGCTGTAAAATAGCACCTATTGTAAATATAAGATGCTTACATTATAAGTATGCCACAATATTTAGCTTGAAGTCCCTTGAATTTAAATTAATAGTTCTCAAGAACTAGGTAGGCTCTTGTAATATAACAAATAGCTGGTCTCCATTGATTTATTTTTCTTTACTTCATTAGTCCTTGAAGAGTTTTCTTTATAGATCAAAAATACATAAGTCTGTGCCTGTTCAAATTCTCCATGGAACTGCATTTTTAGTCTTCATTAAGTAGCAGTAGCAGATCCATCACATTTAATTTCCTGCATTTAAGTTTTTCTTTGTGTGGTTCAGGTATTGGTCAAGTCAATTTCTAAACAGTCAGCTAAATGTTACTCATCAATGTTTCTCCACACGGTCTTAGACTTTTCCCCAAGGGTCTTCAGAATGATTATCGAGAACATATCAACAACATAAAATATCCTGTTCTGTCCGCAGGTGACAAGGAAGGCGGCTTCATAGACGACCAGCTGTTTGTGGACTTAGTGCACGCGCTCATGGCGCACCAGACTAAAGACGAGGTGGCCGAGGAGCGCCGGGATCGGGAGGCGCGTCTCTCTAAAGATGAGAGGGAGGTGAGTCATCAGACCACTTCTAAAAGGCGACAGCGAACTAGACTATATTACAATTGCTGGCCATAGAACGCCGCGGGGAACATGAGAGTAATCTAAGCTAGATTACTCTCGTATACCTCACTCGGTGACGAACTGTGTTAAAGGATCGCCGCAAAAAAGTTGAACTAGGCAGTTACAGATTATAGAACGTCTTAAGTTTAGCCATTAGAGCAAACTGTGTGGACATGCATTGGATGTCCATTGTCCACACAGTTTACTTTACTGGCTAAACTTAGGATCATGCAGGAACGCCGTCAATAGCGAATCGCCACATAATTTTTCATCGTATGGTTGCATACAGGACTAGTCGGGTATACCACCTCATTTCATTCATATGAAAGCTCAAATTTTTCGGATTTCCAAAATTTTTACTTTGAATCTATTTACATTTTAGAAAGAAGCACATAAAGACGCAAAGGACAAAGAGAGCAAAGAAAAAGAAAGTAAAGAAGAAAACAAAGATGGCGACAAGAAGTTGATCCACGAGAAACAGTTTCCAATCTTCACCATATTCCAGGCCATCAGCACTCAGTTCCCAGACAAAGGGACTGCCCAGGAGTTGAGAGAAAAGTAAGTTAATCAAGGGCACTGGTGGCACATCCGCGTGACACTAAAACCAGCCTTAGAGTCGCGTTTTGATAACTCATAAAAGTACTCCGATTGACTAGGGAGTTCACTGGATATTGCGCAAATTTAGGTCTCCCCCACACTAGCATCATTCGAACGTCGTTTTACTAGCGCCTGCGCAGCGTCGATGCGCCAACGTTGCTTGTCCGAAACAAAAGTTGACTCGACGCCAGCATTGAGTAGCCAAGTTAACGTTGGCGGCCGCTAGTAAGGTTAAGACGCTCGAAAGACGCTACGGGACTATTCCCACCTTCACCAGTACCTCTCGTTCCCACCGCTGCAACTCCTGTGTAGCCAGGATCTACAGCTTGACCGCCACAAAAACTCAACCAATGAAGAAAGACGCTAGTGTTTATTGCGCTGTACACATTCGTTCGTTCGTTTCAGCCGAACATGACAACGACAAAGGCCTCCCCCAAGGATTTCCACTAAGACCGGTCCTACGCCGCTCGCATCCAGGCACCTCCCGCGACCTTCACCAGTACCTGTAGCATGAATGACTTTCGTCTTCGAATCGTTTGCGTATTCGACAAAATTCGATACTCAACCTTCGAATTGTACGATAACGTGAAAATTTAGACTCTCAATATAAGTTTCGTGCAACCATTTCTCATACTAAGTATATTTTATGCAGTATAGGTTAGTGTCCGTGACTCCCACTCGGCATGGGGCACACTAAAAACCAGGGTCGTGGCCTTCCTCACCGGGGGCCACGGCATATGCTGAGTGGGGTCCCATTGCGATGGGCATCGCTGTGCGACAGGGTGGCACTGTTCAGTTTACTATCTCTTCAATTGTATGTTTTATGTGCTACCTCTGTCTTGTTTGCTTTTTATTTATTTTCCGCTTTTGTCTTTTGTGATGTGCATAGCAATAAATGTTTCTTTCTTTCTTTAAGTTCACTTTACAACACGTTTCATTTACGCTGTTGTAGTTTTCGTACTAAATCTATTGATGGCGATTCGAACTCGAAAGTTTTTCGTGCTAGCCGTACAGATCGTGTCGGTCCACCTAGTGGGAGAATACACTGTACGCTGTATACTTTCCATCGGATGAATTGCTGTCAAGAGCCCGTCGTTAACATTTAATATTGTTTCGTGCTTCATAGATACGTGGAGTTAACGTCCCGGCGCGACCCGGACGCATTACCGCCCGAGTGCACGCCCAACTTGGACGGGCCGCTGGCCGAGTCGGTGCCGCGCGAGCAGACCATGCACTCCTTCCACACGCTGTTCTGCCGCCGCTGCTTCAAGTACGACTGCTTCCTGCACCGTGAGTATGCCACCTGCATCTTGACTAGTGATGCAACTAATACGAATATTAAATCTACTATTCGGCGAATACGAATACGAATATCTCTACATAGTCATGAATAAATTTAACTCTTTTTATTATGGTTAATGTTTTAGTAATTAAAATTTACAAATGGCATTTTTTTTGTTATTGTATCTTGTACTTTACTCTGTAACTAATCGAAAAACAAAATAATATTTGTACAATCGACCTGCTATTGACTGTCAAATTCCGGAAGAGAAAATACTTACTACTTTGTTACATACGGACCAGGGGTTTCCCGTCGTGTCGTTGTGGCTATAGTGAGTTGTGACAAAATTTACAAAAAGTAGGTATTCGTAATTAATCATTTCACCGAATACGAATATTCGGCAAATGTCTACTATTCGGCAAATAAGAATATTCGTATCCGTTGCATCACTAATCTTGACAAAAATCTTCAGTGTCAAGACGCGACTATTCTCCTTCCCACACTGATGGACATCTAAAAAAAAATTGGTACCTATATTAGTGGGCGACAAATTGTCGCTGACAATATTACCGATTTCCCAGTTTCTTTGTCTCTCAATAGTGAATATCGAAACCGAAAGTTTCGTTGTCCCTCTCTAATTATTTTACTAGCGCTTAGAGTCTTAGATGATGCGGGCAACGTAGGAACGATCGTTGTAGAAACCCTCGGGGAAGGCCTTAGTTAAAACATCCATCTGTTGGTTATTAGGAAACTATTATGTGTAAATAGCTTATGAGAGTATTGTCACTACACAGTTAGTACTTTATTTAGATTATTTAAATAACACTAATTTTAAGTAGATTTTTGTTTAAAACAATATAAAAGTATATAATATACGCTTTATACTAGTATTTAAGTATGTGTTATAGTACTATTTGTACCAATTTGACTTGTGTTGTCTGTTGGGCCGACAGGAAGCCAGACGGCAGGTAAGGCGTAGCGACCATCGCAAGCCGCCACCGTTCTGTTTATTTTGCTATTTATTCGACGTTTCTTTTGGAAAACATTATTATATTTATTATGCCAGTGGATGCCTACGATTTTGCACAAAATATTTACAGTTTTGTAACGGCACAACGCAAAATCATGTGATTGCTGGTTTATTATATTTATACATATGTATTTCATGAATTATTACATTATTTCCTATTTCGTATCATCTCTGTTTATTATTGTTTTGTCTGATTATTCATATTATTTTACGACATATAACATCTAAATCAGTGTATGTTCCCTACCTTCTGTTAAGAAATTAAACAAAGCTGTTTTAAAATGTATTGTCCCCGAGTATTGCATCTGTCGTAGTTGAAACGAGAGCAAATAGAAACGTTCAGAACGAAAGTTCAACTCAATTATAATTTTAAACTACAATCATTGAATCGTCCTGTCATCGTCACTGTTTTATTTTGTCACGCATTCTTCGAATCATGTCCTCATATCCAAGCCGTGATAATTTTGCTTATAAATGTTCTTTCTTTGAAATATACATTGATTCCTTGAAAAAGAGTATTTTTAATTTTTATCTGCAATAGGAATCAAGCTATATTTTATTTATAGATGTTATAGCATGCAACTTGGCTACGGTTCATGACTTATATCCAGTCAGTTTATGGTGATAATAAGCTGGAATTAATTTGAGGTGACAATATCATAAAGGGTTATTTCTATCTTTATGTGGTGAGCACGGAAGTGCAATATTTGCATGAGACCGCAAAGAGGTCCGACTTGGGTCTTATTAAATTATCACACCACCGTAGTTTCCCGTGTCGGTTTATGGCATCTAATAAATTGAAGATACTTTTGCTTAATCAGACCTGACGACTACAGTCGCATGTTTTAATCATCTCTATTCAATTCAGTTCATTCTTCTGTAACAAAGCTGTTTGAGTATCCTAATACTGACTGGATGAAAGGTCATGGGTCGTGACCAGGGGGCGTGGCATGATCACGTCACGCCCCCGGCCCGTATACGAGGTAGAGTCGGCAGGGCTGCAGGCGTGCCACCCGGGGCCCAACCTCACCAAGCGCAAGGGGCCCGACCTCAAGCCCTTCAGCGATCCCTGCGGCACCAGCTGCTATATGCTACTGGTGAGTTCTTACTGTTTATCATTAGCTTTTTTGCCTATAGTTAAACTAGTCAATCGATCACATTGTATGGGACTGTATCTCACGCATATGACACTATTCACTGCGAGGAGGCATTTAATTCACCGTTCAGGTCTACGTAAATCGTAATTGAGAGTGGTTTGCAGCCAATATGACTCGCATAATTTTAACCGTTAGTCAAGCATTGAACAACTTCATTGGGCGTAAAATGTAAACGCCCAATTGGCTCCGTGCACGATTACAGCGCCAACTAGCGTCCACAACTTTGTGGGCTCTGTCACATTGACATTTAGGTCGTATATTTGTGAAAAAATATCGAAATGAAAAAATAACAAATATTTTCAACTAATAAATTGTTGTGATACCACGATTTGGGTGGAAAAAAGGTTTTGAAATCATTTTGGTCATTCAAATCAAATGAGGTAAGTCCAAAAAGTGTGTTTAATTTTGATTGTGTCAGGGTTTGTTTACTTCATTTATAGTTGTAGTTTTACAGTAAAACAAAAAGAAAAAGCTACTTTAACGGTTTCATTATATAACAGTAAATATATTTAAATGTTTCTGTATCGCTAGTAATAAATTAAATATCGTTTTCAGATCGAAATGAGTATCGTTTTGAAGACCGGGTTTGTGAGAGTTATATCAAATTCCAACCACAAACCGTATTTAAAGGAAAGTTGTTGGTATTGGCTGGACAAGTCCGAGATGTAGAAGAATTAAGAACAAAACAAGGGCAGAGTTCAATAATTCACGCTCTCATCATAAGGCAAACATCTGTGCACAACAACTACTGTGACTCATTTTTGTACTACCACGTTGTATAGTTTAGTTATTTCCAAATTGTAAACGGCTATTAAAACAGCCCTATCGAAATACAGTCCACTCTTTTATTTAAGTTCCCAGTAGGACCCTTTTCATGCGATTAATTAATGATATTAAAATGTATTATGTAGAATCGCTTTGCCATTGACAGATACATCTGATGACAGAGCTTACATTATTTCTACTTTTGACCACCATGAGCGCTGCGATAGATTATGTCCCCCCCACCTAGTACTTCGCACCCAGCGAATAGGCGCGAAGGAGCAACGCAGTGAGTTTTCATGCTCTCGCGGACAGAACGCGCTACACATTTTAGTTCTTCCTATTGTGTTGTGATGTCATTGTTTCTTGAAGTCACTTCAAATATTGAGTATTTAATTGATAGTTTATAATAATTCTGGTGTTTGCAGGAGGGCATGCGTGAGAAGCTAGCGCGTGAGAAGGCAGCGGGCGAAGAAGACAAGAGCAAGTCGCACGCCATGGACTCGCCCAACGACGCATCCTCCGAAGACTCTAACGACTCCAACCGCTTCCAGAAAGGTAAAATATACATCATACTTAGCTTAATTAAATTAGTCTAAAGCCCGGTCCGTGAGCACGTAGAATTTTGTCCAATGACCCCTAGCTACCTGTGCGACGGGCGCCCGCTGTGAGTGTGCGAGTGCGATAGCAACATAATTACGCGCGAGCGATAAGGATGGGTAGCTTGGGGTCATTGGACATAATTCTACGTGCTCACGGACCAGACTATATCTAAGGAGCTTTTGCTCCGCCAGCTTAGCTCAAATCCTTCATTTGCTTACCAAAGGCGTAGAGAGATAGGATCATACTCTTGCAGTAGCAGAGTAGTGTCTAGAAGAGTGTAGGCCAAATCTTCCCCTGCTCAATTACAGAGGCATCTTACTTATCACAGCAGTCTCGTACATACTGTATTTGCGCTCAAAATTGGACGAGTTAGGCCCAGAACAGACGGTGAAACGCAACTGCAACGAAACTGCAACTGCTAGTTACTTTTGAGTTGCATCTAAGTTTCTACCATAGCGTCCGTTGAGAGACCACACATGACGCGACCAGTTTGAAACTTTCAGTTTCAGTTTCATTCATCAGAATCATCAGAAAGTTGCAGTTTCGTTGCAGTTGCGTTTCACCGTCTGTTCTGGGTCTTACAGTACCTTAACTGGTAAGTGCAAATGCGCTCATCAGCTGTCGCCATTTTATTAGCCATTAGCAAGCGACATGACCTTGCTCTACAGTGGCAATTTGGCAATGATTGGTGAATACTACGGGATTACTCCGAAAAACGTTATCCGAAGTTTCGAATGTTACCATCCCTCTCACGCAAAGCGAGATGCCAGCATGAGCAACTGTGACAGATAGAGCCTAAACTACGTAAACAGCGTTTCGGAGTAGATCTGCTAGTCTATTCTACGAACGTCTTAGCCTCGGCTACCCTACCCCATTTATAACTTATGTAGAACTGAAATAAAAGTTAAAAATAAAAGTAGGCCCCCTTAATTGATATTTATTGTCCGTGGTGCATAATCTTTTCTTAAAGGTTTTAAACCTTTGTTTGTCACCTGTCATCCGCTTTACAATGGAGGGAAGTCGAACCTAATTTCGAACTCCTATGTTCTTCTGATTAATTTCGTTGCGGGTCCAATGACAGTTTAACTTTCCCCCGGGATAAACTTGACCTTCATTGGTTGGGTTTTTATGGCGGTCAAGCTGTAGATCCTGGCTACACAGGAGTTGCAGTGGTGGGAACGAGAGGTGGGAATAGTCCCGTATTTATTGTGATGAAAATGTTGTTCTCTAATCAGAAATCCAGAACTTCGTCTATCCTCAAAAACTAAAAATAATAAAACTTTTCCAAATGTTGTAATAGTGACGCGTGGTGTTGCAGGCAGCAACAGCAACTCAAGTAACAGCAACTGGAGCTCCAACGGCCTCAACAAACAGCCGCCCGACGCGCTGCAGGAACCGGCTTACAACGCTTTAGGTATGTATTGCATAGTGTTATCTTGGCGTTTTAGTTTTAACCAAACAGTCAATAAATGTATGTATTTAATGGTGGCGCACCCAACTTTTGGCCCACTCATAAATCATTGGGTAATTCATAAAAAAAAACTCATTTATTTTTGCAAGTAGGCTTTTAAAAAGCGCTTTAACGTTAGTCACATCACGGTATTTGACAGTACGTAAATGACTTTTTTTTTGTATCCCACAAAACAATGCATCCACAAGCGCGGACGGAGACCTTTTTTAATTTCTTGCAAATAATTTATAAATCTATATTATTGTACTAAAACTTTAATTTCTCTATTTTGTAAATTAATATGATAAAGATTTAGGCTGGGTTGCACCATCTTACTTTAACTTTGACAAACGTCTAAAGTCTGTCAATCTCCATACAAAAAACACTGGTCATCATCGTTAAAAGTTAGGTGGTGCAACTCAGCCTAAGAAGTCAAGTCATAAAAGTCCAATGTAGCGGTAAGCCAAACTCTTTACTCCTTGACGTCTTAGTGACATAACAAGATAACCGGTTACCATAGGAACCGCCGCAGACTATACTCGGCGCAAAAAGTTTGGCTTACCGCTACATCCAATCCAATATAATAAAAACGGCTAAGTTGTTAATGAGGGCTATCGTTTTTATACTTAACAGTTGGCACCCCTGGCGATTGACAGGACCTCACTCTACAGTGGCGCCATCTTGATGAGTGCAAATGCGATAGTTCTCCTACCACTTTAGCGCTCACCAGTTGGTGCCACTGTCTTCGCTACTAGCAAGTGACAGGACCTTACTCTACAGTGGCGCTAACTGGTGAGCGCTAAAACGATAGCCCTAATTTCCAGGGCTGACCGTGGGCGACATCGAATCGGAGTGGACGGGGTCGGACCAGTCGCTGTTTAGGGCTCTGCACAAGGTGTTCCCCTCCAACTACTGCGCCATCGCGCAGGTCATGCTCTCCAAGACTTGCCAGCAGGTACGGTTCATATTAAATACAATAATAATTATGTAAGCGAGTATTCGGAGAGGCCAGCAGAAGACGCCTACCTAACGCTCCCCGCTTCGCCCGCGTGGAATTTTTAAACTATGACACTCAGCAAAAATGTGGCTTTCTATTGGTGGAAGAATTTTTAAAATCGGTTCAGTAGATCCCGAGATTACCCCTTACAATTTAGACAATATGCAAACACACAAACTTTACCTCTTTATAATATTAGTATAGATTTACATTGTCTATCCCGAAACTGCACGCGATGCGAAACGTGTCAAACTTCGAGCCGTTACATTCTTATTGGTTGGTGCAGAAAAGGCCTCTGATTGGAAGACGTGTTGTAAGCAGGTCAACGACCGACGAACTGATGAAGGTCGTGGAAGAGCCTGGATGCGGGCAGCGCAGAACTAGTGATTGTAAAATTCCTTGACATAGGCTTTGGTCCAGCAGGGTACATATTTTAGCTGAAACTTTGACGAATCATTTCTGCATTCAAAAGGTTTCCAACAACCTTTAAGACACGCGACATAACCGTGCATTGGCGAAGCACTGAAGCGATAACCATGCAATTATGCTTTGTTGCAAATGCACGAGAGCTGCCCAGCAACCGCGCGATTATCGCTATGTCTGAACTAGAAGGTTAAACCTGTTATTTACCTTTTTTTAGGTGTACACTACTGGATCAACACGGGCCAAGAGGAGTGCCGCGTGGAAGCAGAACTGACTCCGCCCCGCAAGAAGAAGAAGAAGCACCGCCTGTGGTCCGTGCACTGCCGCAAGATACAGCTCAAGAAGGACTCCGCCTCGCACCACGTGTGAGTGACGTCATACCCAGGTACACTACTGGATCAACACGGGCCAAGAGGAGTGCCGCGTGGAAGCAGAACTGACTCCGCCCCGCAAGAAGAAGAAGAAGCACCGCCTGTGGTCCGTGCACTGCCGCAAGATACAGCTCAAGAAGGACTCCGCCTCGCACCACGTGTGAGTCACCATGTTATGTTGCAGAGACATGGACAAAGATGCCATCTTAAACCGGCTTCAATCAACTTCTGCTAAAAAAACATTACTACAGCTTTATTAAAGATACACTAAAGTACTTACAAAATGCTTGTCATATTTTAGGGACCACTCTAAAGGATAACGTGATACTTATTTAGTAAGTAAGTAAATATTTATTTGCTGCGCACAAAGTCAAATACATTGTTCAACAAGATTACATAATTCAATATTTAACATGCACATTCAAAATAAATAAAAAAACAATTAGGTAGAAATGAAATAGTGTGAGCAGAGTTGCGGCAGCAAAAGGTCTCCGTCTCAGCATGTGTCACAAGGTAATGCTTGGACGCTGATTTTCAGACGGCGGGCTACAAAAGTGGAGAGCGGCGGTAATCGCCGCAGCAATTCGCAAGGGCTTAAAAACACAAATATAAAGGAATATTTGAATAATATTCAATGGTATGAGTCTGTTCAGTGACTGAATCTTACTTACCAGTAGCACTAAGAACTCCTATCGTATTTTCGCTCACCAGTTGGCGCCACTGTCATCGCCCCTTGTGAGATGACCTTACTCGCCAACGTTGTCGGTTGAGCGTAATCACGATAGCCCTTATATCATTATCGGTGGACTGAGAACCGGCAACGCACCTGTAACGCCCCTGGGTCTGCGGGTGTCTATGGGCGACGGTAATCACTTACCATCAGGTGATCCGTCTGCTCGTTTGCCTTCTGTCACATAAAAAAACGTATGAAAAAAAAGCGTATGTAAATCTTGGCATAATGGCAAATCTCGCCGTTTTTTGTTACCTAATCTTTGGCGGCTTTTTAAACATGTTGTTTCGATTCAGGTACAACTACACGCCGTGCGACCACCCCAACCAGCCGTGCGACAGCATGTGCCCGTGCCTCCAGTCGCAGAACTTCTGCGAGAAGTTCTGCCAGTGCAGCAGCGACTGTGAGTATATCAACAGTTCTATTATTTTATTACATAAAGTGTATATTAACAAAAAATATTCTTCAGCAAGCGGGAATAAAACAGTTGTTCTTAAAGAGAGCAGTCTATGGGTATACGTGATAAATGTGCTGACACTGTGAACGTGATCAAGATAAGATATGAAGAGATTAAGTATTGTGCATACCGGCACAATTTCACCTTCTTCATACACCAGCTGGCACCACTTTTTATGGAAATTGGTGATCTGTCAACTTGATAGTAACTGTGCAAAATGCTATTAAACAACGCTATCTGTACTTCCACATAATGTTTATATGTATAAAAAAAGAAGATTCTTTAGCACATAATATGAATAATAAGCACATAAAGAAATGTGCTCGTATCAGTAACGTAAATTCTTTTTTATCCAGTGGCTTACTTAAGTTTTATCCACTCCAACGCGCGCAGATCGTTATCGCCGGCGTGATCATAGGCCAATGACAGGTCGCGCGAACTGTCATGGGTCTTTGGCCCATGATCGCGCCGGCGACGGCGATCTGCATGCGTTGGTGTGTCTGAAGCATTAGTCTAGTCGTGCTGCGCGCATAACGCTTGCCTGTTTTGAGGCCGTAAGGTTATGAGTATAACGCATGTTTTATTGTAATATTGCAGGCCAGAACCGCTTCCCCGGCTGCCGCTGCAAGGCGCAGTGCAACACGAAGCAGTGCCCGTGCTACCTCGGCGTGCGCGAGTGCGACCCCGACCTGTGCTCGGCCTGCGGCGCCGACGCGCCCGCGCTGCCCAAGCACACGCCCGTCTACTGCCGCAACGTGTCTGTGCAGCGGTCAGTATGCGGCACTGTGCGCTCGCCGGGCTCGTGTGCGAGCACTGTGCGACCCCGACCTGTGCTCGGCCTGCGGCGCCGACGCGCCCGCGCTGCCCAAGCACACGCCCGTCTACTGCCGCAACGTGTCTGTGCAGCGGTCAGTATGCGGCACTGTGCGCTCGCCGGGCTCGTGTGCGAGCACTGTGCGACCCCACCTGTGCTCGGCCCAGAAAACGCTTGCAATCCGCCAGTGTGGCAAGGCCCTAAGTGTAACAGTTTCATAGAGTCAAAAAATCAAAATCAAAAATATTTATTCAGTTTAGACCACAAGTGGCACTTATGAACGTCAATAGAAAATAATAAAAAAAGAAAAGGTAGCCCTTATGGGGCACTTTACATGTCTCCTTATCTTTTGGGCCCTACCAGCGCTTCGAGAGAAACATATGGCAAGTGCTGAGAAGAAACGCCGGAACAAACAGCACACACTATCCAGCTTTCACAAGCCGCTCTGCACAAATGGGCTACCGACAGTACCGACCACAGCCACCAGTGGCTGGCAACAAGCTACGGGACTTCCCACCTCTCGTTCCCACTGTTGCAACTCCTGTGTAGCCAGGATCTACAGCTTGACCGCCAATAATAACACAACCAGTAAATGTCAAGTTTGTCCCGGGGGAAAGTTAAACTGTCATTGGACCCGCAACGAAATTAATCAGAAGGACATGAGGAGGAGTTCGAAGTTCAGGCTGACTCCCTCCAGTGCAAAGTGGACGTCACCGGTGGCGGTTAAATTGTAGTCGTCACTGACTACTCGGCAATTTCCTTTCTTTATAAAAATAATCGTTATTTACTTGTAACAAAGTCCGTATTCCTTTACAGGGGTCTCCACAAGCACTTACTACTAGCACCAAGCGACGTGGCCGGTTGGGGCATCTTCCTGAAGGAAGCGGCGCACAAGAACGAATTCATCTCGGAGTACTGCGGCGAGATCATCTCGCAGGACGAGGCCGACCGCCGCGGGAAGGTCTACGACAAGTACATGTGCTCGTTCCTGTTCAACCTCAACAACGGTACGTGGAGTTGAAAACAATTTGGGTTTATTTAGTCCTAGTAGAAGCTTAGGATATGTCGACCCCAGAAGACTCACCCAAGGCTTCCACAGACCAAACGCGGGTCATAAGCAATGCGGTTCAGTTGCAGCGCGGCTGTGGCACACTGAAAGCAGCTCAGTTTCAAAGTTGTCAAAAATTTAAATATTCGAAAACCGCTTAAAACGCGCTGCTACCGCCCTGCGTCCGGTGAGTCATGCTAATATGGCCGCCATAGTAATACAACAGCGCGGGCCCGCGCTCGCGCCGCTTCTGTCCCGCTCCCGCGCCGCCTCGTTTGTCGTTCGGCAGTTGCAGTGCGGTGCGGTTGGAGCGCGGGCCCGCGTTCAAATTTGGTGTGACACACTTCGAAGAGTTTCTTGTATTACAACTTGCGCGGGCCCGCATTCAAACTGCGCTGCTACTGCCCCGTGTTTGGTCTGTGGAAGCCTTTAGTTATAATTAACTTAAAGTTAATTTAGATAACTTAGAAGTACTAAAACTGACTGTCAGTTGCTTTATGTTAGTCACCTATAGTGGCTCACGCGCTTGTGTTCACACGCGCCTATAGAGAAGAACAGGAGAGATACTACTCATCCATTTCATATTAATACCCCCAAAAAAGTTACACGACACTTTAAAATACTGCAGGCACCCCTTACTCGGACCAACTATCGCAAAAATTCGTTTGTAATTAGAGTTCCTGATCGATTTAATTCTTTTTGTGATGACATGGAACTGGACTTGTTCAATACCCCTATCAACCAATTTAAAACAAAATTTAATAATCTCTTCTTTGTTAAATAGTAGTTTGAACTTCATAAATTAACATCGTTTTCTGTCCGCAATAAAATTAATTAATTGTATAACTATAGGTGGGAACTTTTAATTGGCCTTACTTTAATTATAAACATTACTTAATGTAACACTTAGCTGTAAGTTTTCCAAAAAATTGTAAAATAAAAATAAATAAATTCCCCTGAGCTCGATTCTCGGTCGCTTGCTCGGACAGAGCGAGCCATAGTCTGGGGTGAAACCGCGAAAGAATATTTAGACCGTTTAGGTCGGACAAAAACTCGCAGTTCCGTCCCAAAGACTTTGGAAAAGAACCGCCAGGCTTTAGTGAGTTTTGGTCGTCATCATCTGTGACCTCAGTGTTGCAAGTCCCCAACAAACTAAAAAAATCCTCGATAAATATTTTCTTATTTCCAGACTTCGTGGTTGACGCGACGCGCAAAGGCAACAAGATCCGGTTCGCGAACCACTCCATCAACCCCAACTGCTACGCCAAGGTCATGATGGTCAACGGCGACCACCGCATCGGCATCTTCGCCAAGCGCGCCATACAGCCCGGCGAGGAGCTGTTCTTCGATTACAGGTATGGCACTAAAGCCTGGTCCGTGAGCACGTAGAATTTTGTCCAATGACCCCAAGCTACCCGCGCGTAATTATATTGCTGTCGGAGCACGTAGAATTTTGTCCAATGACCCCAAGCTACCCATCCTTATCGCTCGCGCGTAATTATATTGCTGTCGCGACTGTGCGACGCGCGCCCGCAGTGAGTGTGCCACCCAATCTACCCATCCTTATCGCTCGCGCTCGCACACTCACTGCGGGCGCGCGTCGCACAGTCGCGACAGCAATATAATTACGCGCGAGCGATAAGGATGGGTAGCTTGGGGTCATTGGACAAAATTCTACGTGCTCACGGACCAGGCTTTAGTTTGTAGATGTTATCGAGCTCAGGCTCGCCGTATACGGAGAGCTTGAAGCAATTAGTAACGACAGCTTCAAGCTGAGACTGCATAGCAAACTTCAGGAATTGCTCGAGCACTTGTGAACAGGCCAGTCTATGCAGCTGACGGGACTATTCCCACCTCTCGTTTCCACCACTGCAACTCCTGTGTAGCCAGGATCTACAGCTTGACCGCCATAAAAACCCAACCAATGAAGGTCAAGTTTGTGGGGAAAGTTAAGCTGTCATTGGACCCGCAACGAAATTAATTAGAAGAACATAGGAGGAGTTCGAAATCAGGGTCTATGCAGCTTGAAGCTCTCGATACTAGCTGTTTCAAGCTGTCCGTTTATAGCGGGCCTTGGGAGATACATTTATTTACAGTTTCGCACTACATCCGATTAGAGACTGTCAAAATATGGATCTAAAATCGGAGAAATAGGATGACTAAAATCAAATAATTCAAAGACTAATTTTCACGCATTCTAGTCCGGAACCGCTCTGAGAGATTTGTTTATTTGCTGGGTCGACTTGACCCCATTGACTCGTCAAAGTAGTCCGTTATTATTATTTTGCATGGCGGCGCTCCAGCAAGGGTCGTTGCATAATAAGTAAGGGTGTTTTCTATGTATAATAAGTACGTATTTAAAAAAAAAGTATTTAAGTATGTTTATATCCGTTGTCTAGTACCCATAGTACAAGCTTTGCTTAGTTTGGGACTAGAAGCGCGGTGTAAAATGTCTAAGGATATTTATTTATTATTATTATTTATTTAAGTAACGTGCAACACTGGCCACGCCTCACCCCTAAAAAGCGTTCCGACTTCTAACGTTTATTTATCAAATTGTCAAAACGCTATTCTATTATCTTTATTCTTGAAAATTTCTTACAGATATGGGCCAACCGAGCAACTGAAGTTCGTGGGTATAGAGCGCGAAATGGAATTCTTATGAGAGCAACCCAAGCAGTGATCGGTGCCGATTCGCACGCCACTGCCACCGTACATGTGGTACTAATTGGACTGCCCATTGTGAAGTCTAACTTCAGATACTGTTGAGACTTCTAAAGCTATTGCTAGTTATGTTAAACATAAGAACATAATGTTATGGTTATGTTAATGTTGATTTGATTGTAATAAGTATGTTGTTTGTGCCTGTGCTATTCAAGGCTGTATAGTGTAAGAAATAGTCTGATTTGTATTGTAAAGCAATAAGTTAGAAGGTAAATCCCCCCAGCTCAACAGAATAGACATTTAAAATTATGGATGATGATTTATTAAAAAACAACAAAATCAAAAAATCTGCACAAGATAATTTTGTTTTGCTGAAATTGACAATATTTTTGTAGTACTTATTATAAATGTAACTTCATCCTCTTGCAAAAAACGTGCTAATTGTTTTTTTTTTCTCATGCTGCATATTTTATTATTCAAAAATATGAAATGTTGTCAATCCAATGCTGAACTGCATTTACTGCATAGAGCAAAACTGCCGCACAATTTATAAACGCAGTAAGTACCACTTACTGCATTTATGATTGTTTTGAATATTCTGAATCCTGACATCGCGATCTATAAGAATCAAAGACCCGTTTTTTTCTATCTATCTTAGAACGGAAGATACATGTTATCATAAACGCAGTAAAGAGCAGATTGTAGGTTTCTTCACATACTATGTTAGCAGTAAGAGCACATAATAACTTAATATTACGTGAATACTCGCGCTTACTTAATTTGCTACACAGTAATAGTGCAGTATGTGCCAATTACATCATTCTTATTATGTTTATACAATTGTTAAGTTCACCTTGCACATAGTATATGTGCAGTAATTCCACTTAAACACACACTGATATTATGTTTCCATAGGAAAAACAGACGACTTGTACTTAATATTAATGCAGTAATTACAATTATACTGCGTACATACTAAGGATTGTCAGAGTGCTGCCTAGGTGTTAACATGTTATGAACGCAGTGGCTGACTCTTACGTTATTGGAAGAAGTTGAAAACCTGTCCAAATGACAAATCTAGCCGAAGACCCAAGAGCTAGATTGACCCGACACTATACCGAAGATATCCCGGACGTGTCTGTACGAGATTAGAATGGCTCTCAAACAGCTGAAAAACAACAAGGCACCGGGCGATGATGGAATCACGGCTGAGCTTCTGAAATCAGGCGGAACGCCGGTACTAAAGGCTCTTTAGAAGCTATTCGATTCCGTCATCCTTGAGGGAAAAACGCCTACGGCATGGCACAGAAGTGTGGTGATACTCTTCTTCAAAAAAGGCAACAAAACCTTGTTGAAGAATTTATTTTATACCCATCTCACTTCTGATTCTGTTTTTGAGAGTCATCATGAATGGTTTCACGCGACATCTAGCCTCCCGAACAAATCGGTTTCCGATAAGGCTTTAGTATGATAGACCACATACTTATCTATGGCAGAAAACTGAGGAGAATAATCAGCAACTTTGTCTGGCATTTGTGGTCTATGAGAAAGACTTCTCTCTTCAAGCTACAGTCTCTCCAACGGTGCCAAATTTACTATAGATATAATCGTTGAAGGGCTTGTACGAATAGGCCACAATGTCAGTCCGTCTCCGGGATCAGGACTTCAGTTGCAGCGAGGGGTCAGACAGGGAGATGTCATATTTCTAAAACTGTTCACTACCACTCTGGAAGATGTTTTCAAGCTTCTGGACTGGAGCGGATTGGGCATAAATATCATCAGCGAGTACATCACCCATCTTTGATTCGCGGACGATATCGTAGTCATGGCTGAGAACGTGGAGGATCTAAGCTCAATCCTCGATTGCCTCAATAGAGCCTCTCAACAAATGGGTCTTTAATGGACAAGACAAAAATCATGTCAAATGCCGTGCTGTACCCACTCCTCTGAAGGTTGGAGACACTATAAGTTGTCTGATGGCCGCTGGGGCAGGAAAGTTCTTGAGTGGCGACCATGAGCTGGAAGACGCAGCTTGGGCAAGCCTCACACTAGGTGGACCGATGATCTGGTGAAGGTCGCGTCAGGTGCCTGTATGCGAGCGGCACAGGACCGGTCTTTGTGGAAATCCTTGGGGGAGGCCGTTGTCCAGCAGTGGACGTCTTTCGGCTGAAACGAACGACCGAGTCTTTATTTTATTAGATTGGTATATTTAAGATCTAAAAGTGGGTGCCATATCTTAATTTTTGATTGAATAACAAGCGATCTCAGCAATTATTTTGTAATACTTGTTTCATTTACCCCTTGGTCATTTGGGAAAGTTCAACATGAAAGCGTTATTGGCTTATGATAAGCGCAGTATAATTGTATTATTACTGCGCATTTAAAGTTTTGATAAATTATTTTGATTCACACTCCCACTCATAAATGCAGTAAGTTGTAAAGATACGGCGCATATATTAAGTTGTAAGAACTAAAATTTAAATCAATCATTTAACACATGTACCGTAAGTAACGTAAACTACTGATAAACGCAGTAAGGAACAATCATACTGCATTCATGGGTAGTAAGTATCGAACGAAAACTTAGTTAATCCATAACATAAACAGTTTTTTAATAATTTTAAATACAAAATATTAATTAAAATACAAAAACCTCATATCAAAATAAACTTTGAGTTTAGCTCTATAAGCCCATATATTTTTTTTTACAAATATTTGCGTAACTAATTGTAGACACCCCAAAATAAAATTTCAACTTTGATCGCGTTTTTCTCGAAACTGTTCACGTGTTACTTACTGCGTTTATAAATTGTGCGGCAGAAAAGGAAGTTATCCTTAGGGTAATATACTTTTAATGCCTATTAAGTAATGTAATTTGAAATGTAATCAAAACTGTATCAGTGTTTTTTTAACAATTTATACAATTAAAATTTTGGCTATACACAATAATTTCATTTTACTAAGTTTATACAGATTGTTATTTTTATACTTGAATAAAGAAAAAGGATTGATTGTACTGCTGAAATGCAACAACTTTCCCCAAGGAGCGAAGTTGTAAATATTTAAAAAAAATCCTTTCCATACAAATTGTCATCAGCAAACAGTCATTTAGTATGGGCATGGAATTGGGAATATATTTTTTTTAAGACTGATATTGGTCCTGTGGGAAAAGTAGTTGTATTTGAGTAGTAGAATCAACCCTTTTTGTTTGATCAACTTTAAAAATAATACAAACAACAAAAATGTTGAAACAAATGTGATCTGTATAGCCATCATTTACATCACAATTATTATTGTATTCATTAGGTTATTCATAAAGATTATTTAAAAAAACAACAAGTAACTCAATAGAGAAATAACATTTATTAAAACTTTCACAAATTCAAATGTACACTTTGATAATACATCTTATACACAGAATATACAAAATACATTAAAAACATTGACATGGCAACTACTTTTCAAACACTGCTGCTGTCATAAAAATTGGCCCTTCACAGTATGTTGTACACACTACTCGAACATAACATTACTTAACTTGAACTAAACAGGCACAAAACTAAATAAAATACACTAAAAATACTCTCACAGTCATAAATGCTTATCAGCATTATCACTAGTTATCAGGAACCATCATATTTGTGAAAAATTTTGTATTTAGCTTGTATAAAAGTAATAACACAATAGAAATGCAGAATTGCAATACATAATTCTATGACAACTGAACAGCATTTATACTGTGAAGGTACCTTTGTTAATCACAGGAGCCGTCCAACCAACCATCTCGCCACCGTTCGTGCACTTTACTGCAGTCAAATATTGGTTTGTCAAGCTTGATGTTGACGGTGTTGTGTCGGTCGCAGAGCCATCTGGCCAGGTGGTCTCGTGACTCTGTCTGTGGTGGGTGCTTTCGAATGCTGTGGAAAAAATAATTCAATTAAAAAAAAACTAGACCCCCACGGTTTTCACAAGGTAGATTTTACTTGATAAAAGGTCTTTGTATACCTAAAAACTACTTATCTGTCAGAAAACGTATGATGTAAAAGTGTAATTTTTGGTAATAGAATATTGAGATAGTAAGTTAGCAGCAAGAATTCAATTTATGTGAAAATGTAGATGCATAAAATACTCACTCTTCCTGGAAGTCTATTGCACAAGGTTCACAAGGGTAGAACTGTGCAAAAATGTTGAAAAATTTTGCCATGTCATCCGATTGTTTTCTTGTAGGTTTCTCTGGGAAGTATGAAGCCATAGAGTGAAGAAACCCCCATGTGGATCTACCCAGCTCATCTTTGTCTAATGGACAGTCCGTTGGTTTTGAAGTACTCTGCAAGTGAAACATAGGACATGTATTGTGCAATGAATATGAAAGGCTCACAAAATAATGTGTGAATGTCAGATACATTCAAAATTTCAAGGAAAGCTAATAAATAGACTTCTAAATGGCAAGTTAGCACATACATATTACAAGATATAGTAATAATGATGTAACTATTGCTAGAACCTTCACCTGATAACATACAACATAACCTCACCGGTTTGGTTGACGCAGACAAGCTACTCTTGCTCTGCATCTTGGCCCACGATTTAAAGTCTGAACACGCTCTGCAGGGCTTGTCCTCTTCCTCTGAGCGATGCGACGGCGGCATTTTCGGGCGTACTCTCGCGACAGGGACAACGAAATAACCAAAATCTATGTTGCAACATTCACTCGGATTACAATAACTTCATGACTTGAAACTCAGTCAGACAATTACGAACGAACTGTATGTAATGAAGTTTCATAAAAAAGTATTCGAAAAGTTATTTGTGCTTTATTTGCCGGTCTTGCGAAATTCGAAATAAAATTATTTTGTGCTCCTACAGCTGTCAAATAAATTTATCGTGACACAGTGACATTGACATTTCAATGTTGCCACTTCGAAAATAAAAATCTTGTTTATGGTTTACATTGTCAACTTTTATTTCTGGTGAGATAGCGGATAGCGCTCATCGAGGAGTAGGCATAAGGCATCTTTTTTTCTCGAGTTTCGTGATAAACCCACTCTACACGACATGTGTAAACTGGTAACATTATAGCGTAACGTAATAAATAACTCAAACATATTTTTAAAAATATATTTAATGGGCATCAATAAATTCTCCTAAGGATAAGGCATTTAAAATTGACTAGTTATAATAAAATATATTCGTCATGTTGATACAATCATGATCACTGATAAACCATACAATATAGTACGGATAAAACTATTCACAAGTAACTTATGATAAGTACAAGATGGAATAACACCCACGGCTGAGCCATTTTGTGACAAAGTGATATAAACAACATAGCTCTTTTTACATAAACATTGTAACATTGATTGATTATAAAGGCAGCTGCATCTTCATTTTTTCAACTTGTTGTCCCCTCACAATTTTTCACGATTTCTGCAAAAAATAAAGAGCGAAATTGTATTATTAAGACAAGTGAAAGAAGAAACCAAAGGAACGATGCGCCAACGCAAAGGCAGGGGAGTGAAAATGATTTCATGGTCAAAATCTGGAGATACCTAACCATAAAGGATTATGAAAATAATCGGGGCTATTCCCACCCCTCGTTCCCACTGCTCCAACTCCTTTGAAGCCAGGATCTACAGCTCGACCGCCAATAAAACCCAACCAGTGATGGTCAAGTTTGTCCCGGGGGATAGTTAAACTATCATTGGACCCGCAACCAAATTAATCAGAAGAACATAGAAGTTCCAATTATGAAAATAAATAAGGAATATAGTCTGGTCTGTGAGCACGTAGAATTTTGTCCAATGACCCTAACCTACCCATCCTTATCGCTCGCACGTAATTATGTTGCTGTCGCGCTCGCACACACTCACTGCGGGCGCCCGTCGCACAGTCGCGACAGCAATATAATTACGCGCGAGCGATAAGGATGGGTAGCTTGTGGTCATTGGACAAAATTCTACGTGCTCACGGACCGGGCTTTAGGAGTAATAACTCACTCTGCACAATGTCCTTGAGAGCGGTAACGGCGGGCGAGTTGGGCAGCTCCTGTATGAAGTCGCGGCCGTCGTCGCAGCAGCGCGCCAGGATCGGATCCAGCGGCAGGGAACCCAGGAAAGGCACGGCGAGGTCCGAGCACATTTGCGGCGCACCACCGGTCGTAGCTGGGAAGATCTCGCTGCGGGACTGGGAATTGAAATTTAATATTCATTTGAATTTGGCCATGAAGTAGTAAAGCAAATGTTTTGGAGTACCAAATTAAGGCTTAAGGAACTCAATGTATAACTAAATAGTCGGCCGTTTGGTGTAGTGGTTCAGTACGGACTACTATGCCGAGAGGTCCCGGGTTCGATTCCCGGCCGGGCAGAAATTGAAATGATGAATTTTAATTTCTGTGACGGGTCTGGGTGTTTTCTATGTATAATATGTAGGTATTTACAGAAAAAAAAGTATTTGAGTATGTTTATATCCGTTGTCTAGTACCCATAGTACAAGCTTTGCTTAGTTTGGGACTAGAGGCGCAGTGTAAAATGTCCAAGGATATTTATATTTATAAATAGCGAACGTTTCAAACAGGCGAATAATCTTACGGCCAGCTGGATTAACTTACTAAAAAAAAGAAAACAGTCAATAACAAGATCCAAAAATACGCTCGGAGCACGGATCTTTAGCGGTAAGGGAATCACGCGCAGACTGTTTCGGTGGGTTCAAGTAACTTTTTATGAGTCATTCACACAAAACATATTACCTTTTTGGCTGAGAGAGTTAAAAAATCCAATACTCACGCTGCAGTTGGGGCAGACGAACAACGCCATGTTTTCCACCACCCCGAGCACAGGCACGTTGACCTTACGGCAAAACTGCAGCTCCTTGCGCACGTCTAGTAAGGCCACCTCCTGCGGTGACGTCACCACCACCGCCCCGGACAAACCCGCCTCGCTTAGATATTGTACGGCTGATAGGTGCTCGTCCGATGTCCCTGGAGGCAGATAACATGGAAATTAAAGCTCGCTTATCAAAACATTACTTACACAAAGCTCTGATAATGCGATGGTTGCATAATCAGGGACAAGTGCTTATTCATCCGATGTGATTAGATCGATACGATGGAAAATTGGAAATTACGTTGCTCAGTGCCGGATTAAGCCAGCGCGGGGCCTGTAGCAAATTTCTATCAAGGGGCCCTTGGTTTGCTTTAGGTTCTCAAGTTTAGGGTATTAAATGAAACAAAACTGTTACAAATTAACTTTTCTTGATTTAATGTGGGAAAATTTAGAGATAACACTTTCAATATCAACTTCTTTAAGCAAATCATGCTCTATATTCAACAAAGTAAGATGATTAAGACGTTCTTGTCCCATCGTGTTCCTTAATTCATTTTTAATACGTTTTAATGTTGAAAAAGAACGTTCGCCACTGCAGTTAGTGATCATGAGAGACATGTAAATGCGCAAGGCAATTTCTAAGTTTGGAAAACACGATTCTAAAGAATTATTTATTAAAAGTTTCTTAAAATGATTAGTTTTTCAAACGTTGTTTGTAAAAATGATCTTTTGTCATACGTTTTTTGTTAAATAATAGTAAACCTCATTTTTTAATCATCCGCTTTTTTACTTGAGACTCTAAAACACCTTGCTCTTAATCTACCGTCACTAGCTTTCAATAATCTCGAAACATAATCGATATGATAATCGATTAAAAAGGTTAGCTATATTCACTCATAAAATGAATCTATATTTTATATCAAATCAACCAACTATAGTAGATTGGATCGTGACTGAATTAATAAATTTTAAAGAGTTCGCCTGTTTTCTCGAAATATTGATAATCGATATTATATTAAAATCGATTAAAAAAGTATAATCTCGGCTACCTACGTAAACTCATAAAATAAATGTATACCTATAGAAAAAAAATCTGGCCGCTTGAAGGGTAGAAATGTGGTATCTATAGATGTTAGTCTAAATACATATTATATCGATTTATAATTAAACATTATAGGCCAGTAGAATTACATTTTAAATCGGAAATAAGTCCTACAAAAGATTTTATCGCTTTAATGGCTTCAAAGACTCTCCTAGGTTTTCGACTTCGACGGAGTTGTGCTTAAGTGGTGGGGGGGCCCCGAAAGGGGCGCTTTTTATGTTTTCCGGTTATATCGCGTAAAGGACTTACCCTATCGAAAAGTGGTCTTCCTGACGGTTGAAGGGCATTTAATCCTGCATTAAATAAGACCAAATTCATATGTTTCGGACAAACCGTTCTCGTGCAAATGTTCGGCAAAGTAGGAAAAATCGTAACTCGTAAGCCTTGATAGAGTTACACTGGTTGAGGCGCTCCTTTTCAAGACTTGGAAGCCTGCGGGTAGCGCCATTGGACGTGGAGAGGGTTATACACACATTTTCTAACATTCACGTTAAAAAGTTCGTAAAATACCTACCTACTTATTTTTATGATTTAACGTGATGAAATCGAGTTTTAGATTTTTAAAAGCATAGCCTAATGCAAGATATTTTACGCTCCTATCTAAATTAATCTTTTTTTATTTCGGTCAGACAGGCTTTGGAGCGCGGGGCCCCCAAATTCGCGGGGCCCGTAGCATTTGCTACTCTTGCTACGTGGCTAATCCGGCACTGACGTTGCTTGTACTCACCTGGCGGTGTATCAATAAGCAGGTAATCCAGGTCTCCCCAGTCCACTTCGCTAAGGAACTGTTTGATCATGCCTGTAAGAAAACTTGTTATTAACTCATCGCAATTATTCTGAAACATCGTAGTAGTTATTGTGTATTTTATCTTACCATTTTTCTTAGGTCCTCGCCAAATGACCGCGTCGTCTGGACTCCCCAAAAGAAATCCAATCGACATTAGTGATAGATTGTCTGTAACATACTGAAAGACAATATTTTATTGAGATTAATTATTCATGACGCCAGTTTCATATTGATTTAAAGAGGAGCAATTTGCACGCAACAGAAATCATGTCGAAACGAGACAAGTCTCAGATTCAAAGCTGGCTAGGCCTAGAGGACTTTCAACAACAAAATAGTAAACACAAAGCAATCAGAACATAGCTCGCTACAGAAGTAGCGGCTCGACATGGTCAGATTTTACATCGAGTGCAGTTTCTGGAAACACGATGTACTGCTTCGTTGTTTCGTGCTATCGTCCAGTGTGGACCTAGCCAATGGGGAAGCTAATGATGAATGAATATATGCTCACCACTGGCGACCAGCCCGAACCAGAATTGTGCACTTGTTCGCCGCGCACGCCCAGCAGTCGCGGCTGGCTCGGCCCGCAGATGTCCGCGTCCAATACGCCCACCTGTGGATAAGGCATTGTTCTTTGTCACAAAGAAAACGGACTTTAGAAAGACTAATATGATGCCTGAGTAAAAAACGAAAAGATAGTAGTCAAATGAAGAACGGGTCCACCCACCTCTCGTTTCCACCGCTGCCGCGCTGAAATTCCTATGTAGCCAGGATATAGCCTATAGCTTGACCGATAAAAACCCTGAACCAACTTAATTGACGTCAAAGGCTTACATAGAGGGGGAGCCTCCTAATTACGGTTTAATCAATATAGAGTGCAAGGACGTTACAATAACAGACAACAGAATACAGTGTGTGATTCGCGAAGCACACTCATCCAAAAAAGGCGTCAATAGTGTCGACAATGTTTGTTGACGTTTTATCGGATTTCCCGATAATCCAATACGTTCGTACATGCATGTAGATAATTTAGGGCGCGTGTTTAAAGCCTCCTTCAGTACCAATACATCAGCATAAAACCTGACCTATATACCGCAAGGCAGCGGGGTCGTACCACGGCGCGCCGGGACGGCTTCGTCGCGGACGTTTGCGAATCTTTGCCGCTACGCCGCCGGAATCAATAGACGTGAAATAGTTCTGTTTGTTGTTGCAATGGAGTTCGGAAACACTTACGAGAGGCGCTCGAGATATAATAGGGTATGTTTTATAAACATGATATGCCACACAGACAATCGGGAAGGGATAAGGACGCGCCAAATTGAAAAATAATTCACTACCAATTTGCACTCTTAAAGGATGGTATCCCAACTGTAAAAGATGATATAGCTTTCTATTTTTCCCCCATAAATTGATTGAAAGGACAGATCATTGGTTGCTAAACTGGTCAATTTTTAATAACAAGAAATGATAGAAGAAATGCTAAAATTAATTAAGATTGGAACATTGCCTGTGTAATAGTTCTTTTCCCTGACAAGAATTAATATTTGTATTTTTCTTATCATCTTATTGAATGCTCATACATAATATAACATTAAAGATAAGGAGGCAATGACAGTACCATTAAAGCCTGTGTTATCTACAACCCTTCAAGGGTCACTGGACTACATATCTTGGATGGAAGACTTTTTAATGCTAAATGACAAAGTTTGCCATCAAATAGTTATGTCTCCATTTCTAACTCCTTTTATCAATCTTCTAAATTAAGTACAGTCGACACTCGACAGCACGTCAACGTAAACACTGTGGTATCTTACATAGTTGCGATAAGGGCGACTGCAACGAAAATGTATAGTCTGATGTGCTGTCCTCTGTACATAGACAGATAGTATTTAAACAACTACCATCTACCTACATACTTTACTAATTTTAGCAAACCTAATTAATTTATGTAAGTCATTGGTGTAGCTAGTTGTGAAAAAAGTGCTGAGTTGAAGCCATAATGCTTTCGGCTAATCAATTACTGATTGTTTTTGAGAAACAATGAGAATTGTTTTTTCATTGATTTAATACAGCAATCAACTACTTTGTACACAAGTAGTTTAGAACAGCAATAGTAGTTTAGCATTTACTTACATTGATGTCAGGATTTAACCCAGCTAGGGCATGTCCTAAGAGAGAAGTGACAGTACTCTTGCCCACTCCTCCCTTTCCTGACAGTATGAGAATCTTGTGTTTCACGTTTGACAGTCTGTTCTTGATGATGTCAATAGCTGGATCTCGGACTGATGCGGCACCTGCAAATTTGTATTATTTTAGCACAACTATATCAATTACAAATTTTAATAATACTTCCTTGCCTATGTTATTGTGGAACTTTAGGTAGATCTAATGTTAAACCTAAAATATTTTATAAGCTTCATAACCTTCAGCAAGATACGCAACCCTGTTGCCAGGCCAAACAAATTAGCAAAAAAGGGTATCAAAATTACTACTAACCAGAGGCACAAATATTCTGATTGGGGCAACCAGCACACGCTGAAGCCTTGCCAGCATCCTCGCTCTCCGTTCCAGGGCAATCTATAAACATTTCAGAGAGTAAAATACAAAAATCTCCACATTACAACTAACATTGTGCAATTCATATTTGTGGGTTATTATGACATACGTTGCGGTGCGTTTTCAGGATAGTCGCTCATCCTGATGATATATTGTTGAAAACACTTCGCTTATGCTCAATTCGATGTAAAATAATCACACAACAAGACGGACTGAAATCCAACAACCAATGGTGATTGTAAACGTCAATGTCAACTTGACTTGTGATAAGAGCTGTCATTGTCATTTTTTTCTGTATGTTGGTATTTAAACCGGATATTGAACGTTTTTCTTGTTTCTGGGTTGTTTATGACCGGATATTCACTATTGTCATGACTGAAAATCAAACGAGAAAATCATTTTTGAATTTCATTTTTTAATCAATTTTAAATTTTTCTAAATTTCTATGGTCTGAGACCATTTAATACATATAAAATGGCTAAGGAAGTTTCTATGTGCACGGTAAATATACTGATAAGTTAAATATTTTCTCCATCATGATTCAGTTAAATTTACCCGGCTGCAAAAAGAAGGGTACAGGTTGTAAAGCTCTACTAACTCTACTGGTGGTCGAGATCGAAATGTTCTATTGCATATAACATTTTATTTTTACAGCAACTCCAGCAATGGAGCCCCGTAAAGGACACTGCGGGGTCCCCGAGCGTGCCTCCTCAGGTGGGCTACTGCTTCCACTCGCCAAAAAAGCATCCTTGGCGGCCTATCATGGGCTACGAGGAGATCGAAGTCACACCTATGTGAGAACCATGTTTACTGTCTAGTACCTAGTGCCTAGCCCATGAACTATACTTAACATAAACCTTGAATTCTTATCTTAATACTTATATCAGTCTAAGATTTTAAACTTTCGCGTTCCATTTCGACTTGTCTTTTCGGATATGCAGTCACGGCTTGACTTTTCGGCTGCTATGCTGCAGCCGTGATCACGAGCAGACTAGCAGCCGCTCGCGGCGTTGACCGTTCACTAATAAATGTCGCGTTAAGACTCGTCTCTTTCTACTTATATCAGTAGGTACCTACTCCACGTTAGCCCATTTATCGAGGAAGGCTATAGGCTATACGACATCACGTTACGATCAATAGGAGCAGAGCAACAATGAAAAATGTTGCGAAAACGGGTTTTCACGCGTACGAAGTCGCGGGCACAGCTAGTATTATAGCGATTTTGGAGTTACCTACCGATTCGAAGATTGAAAGACAATCGCATCATGGACATAGACCGCAGATTTGCCATGCACATGTGCCAGTGAGTACTAATCTGCGCGACTTGTGTCACCCCCTGATGCTTGGCACCCGGGGCGGACCGCCCCCACCGCCCCCCCTCCCTTACGCCGCTACTGGGTACATGATCCATCTCCATAAGCCGCAATTTTTCCCATCAATGCCTTTCATCTTCTCTTTCAGGCCAGCTCAACCCATAACCAACACAATGGTGGACCCGTGCTACACCCCCGCCGGCATGGCCGCTGAACCGCTCCGCTTTCCCAACCTGGTGACCGGCTTCGACCGGAGCCCCGAGCACGCGGCCCGCGCCGCCCTCTATACACGCTACACCCAGTATGAGTGGAATCAGAACAGCATCAAGAACTATAACGAGTCTGATGCCAAGAGAAACTTCTCGGAGCGAGTCAGAAACGATATCATGCGAATGCTCAGGTATGAATTCGCGCAACCGCTAATACCTAGTTTTCTCATCACATTCCTATCACTGATAACTTTGAGATTTTCAGGGAAACTGATGAGATTGGAACACAAGGCCAGAGAGATTCAGGTCGAAGGATCGGTGAGCGAATCACCGATACGACCTTCTGGCGTAATGAGGTAAGGAAATGAAAGAATTCTAGATCGGGGTCATTTATCTTTTCTCCAATGCCAGGATTTGCAGCTTAACCGGCAAATTCAATCAGGTTTGGCACCCAGAAGAAAATAGAAGTTGGGGATTTCTTGGATTTCAATTAACCGTACATTTAAATACAAAATTGTACCCTACTGCTTAGGTGTCGATAGAAATGGAGCGTCTAGTAGCAACTTGTGAGAAGCTCAACGACACTCGAAGGCAACTGGAGCGTGCCATCGCCGGTATCGAAGGACCACTTCACATCGTGCAAGAATGCTTGTATCACCGAGAGAAAAGGCAGGGTAAGGAGAAACGAACTAGGACTTGTAATGCCTCATTTGATTTTGAGGAATGGGTGAAGAGTTATTAACGTGTTCCAGGTCTGGAGCAAGTACACGATGCTGTGGAACAATCTTTGTTGAAAGAAGTTGCTATATTGCGCGAGTGCCAGGACAAGTTTAGGAGTATGCTAGAAAAGGTGACCTCATCTTCATTTATACCATCATAGTTTATACTGAAATAACTGTTACTCATACTATCATGTTACCAGGTGCGAGCTCAATCGAAGAACTGCAGAGCAACGCAGCATGAGCTGGAGACAGACATGCGGAACAAGGAGTACGCGTTGGGTATCGATTCCATGTGTCATCAGCTCAACAACTTCTCAAAGGTTAATCTTACAATAATAAGACGCAAGTTGATCAAAGGATTCTATCAGCTAAGGTATACAAGATGAGGAGTACAGTACACAGTTTTCAGATGTTTTTCTGGTATTATTATTGTATAGGGCCTGCAATTTTACGCGGGCATCGAGCGCTACGACCCGACGGTGTGCGATACGGCGCGCTGGGCCGCCGCCTCCGCCGCCACGCTGCAGCGATCGCAGTCTGAACGAGCCAAGGCTGTACAGATGCTCTCTGGTAATGATTTTATCCAATACAGTCATTCTGAAACCTCCATCGTACTAAGACTGCATAAAAATTAATTCGCGTAATCTAATCGAGTAGACAGACAGAAGCATCAATCTTCTGTTTGAATGTAACGAGCCATCAATAGACTCTTGTCCATAAATCAATAATTTATGATTCCTTATTGATCAACAGACACTGAGAACCTGATCAACGTATCAGCGACACAGATCTGGGACCAATGGAGCAACACAAACAGTGCGTTCACGCGCCGCATCGCCGAGACCATCGAGATCAAGAACAAACTGCAACTGCATCTGCACAAGGTAAAATCCTGCTCCATGTGAATCCGGCTCGAAGGACCATTTTCATTATCAGAAAATCGAGTTTTTGTGTGTTTTACGCATAATATTCGCATCTCGCTGAACCACCGTTCCCTTCGTTACAGATTCAGCAGGAGATCTTCGACGTGGAGAAGACGCTGGAGCTACTGAACAAAGCCATCGAGGACAAGCTGCAACCCATGAAGGTGGCTCACACGCGGCTGCAGGCGCGCACCAACCGCCCGCACCTCGAGAAGTGCCGCGACGAGGCGCAGAACAGGTCCCGTACTCTATAACTCCTATTTTGTTCCCCCTGCTGCAACTTCTGTGTAGGATCTACAGCTTGACATAACTAGCCTTTTGTACGCCAGGTGCAAACTTCTGCCCTTGTTAGCTGTCAGTCAGGTCTTTTTTTGCGCACCCCCGTGAACTGCTCTATACGCCTGCATCGTTTGCACCGTCCAGTAACGAACTGAACAGGTTCGTGCCACAAAGAGTACCTTGTTGTCGTATAGCTGTATCTGGCACATACCTACTAGTAATAGGATATCCCATCAAAAACAATACTTGTCAAAAAAACCAAGTCTCGCAACTCAGTTGTTCTACGGTAAAAAGTTGTGAGATCCATGTAATACCAAGTCCAGGCCAGGAAATCTTTAACGTTTTACATAAATATATTGACTTGGCCATCGCACAGTCAGTGAGTGACAAAATTAAGTAACTTTGACCCGTTATAATTCTTAAACTACTGGTTCAAATTGAATGAAATTTTAAATATACCGTGTCTTTACAATGCCTGCATAGATAATGAAAATTCAGCCTTCTAGTTTTATCCACAACGAAGTTACAGGCGGTCGAAAATGGCCTGAATTGCTTCGAGAAAAGGATGGTACGGCCGTGCTCGACTTGGTGGGGGCACTGCCGTGCCCCCAGATGTGTCTAAATACGAAATAGAAATATGAGGGTGGTCTGTTATGTTCAGGAGGTGTAGATATGTGATGGAGTGAACCTGTTCAAGAAATGTTACACACTTCTTATTTTCATCTTTTACAATTTCTATCTTGCTTTCAGACTGGTGAAAGAAGTCTGCGACCTGCAAGAGACGATGGAGACTCTCCGCTCCAAGATTGCGACAGCCGAGGGTACGCACCAGACCCTCCTCGGAGTCCGAGCAGGCCTGGAAGCAGACCTCCGCAACAAGACCACCACGCTGTTCATCGACCGCGACCAGTGCATGGGGCTCCGCCGCGGGTACCCCGTCACGGCTGCCATCAAGGCTTAGATAACTTTTACTTGTACTGTACACACAGTGATGAAATAGATCTTTTATTAAAATTCAGATATGTTTTTTATTTGAAATACCATCATCATCATCATCATCATCATTTCAGCCACAGGACGTCCACTGCTGAACATTGTTGATCGATTGGTAGCGGCCTGCGTCCAGCGCTTCCCTGCTACCTTTACGATGTCGTCGGTCCACCTTGTAGGTGGACGTCCCACGCTGCGTTTTCCGGTACGCGGCCTCCATTCCAGAACCTTTCTGCCCCATCGGCCGTCAGTTCTGCGTACTATGTGCCCTGCCCATTGCCACTTCAGCTTGCTAATACGTCGGGCTATGTCAGCGACTTTGGTTCGTTTACGGATCTCCTTAAATACCATAATTTATTTGAAATCAGGCTGTCAGCATAGATCAGTCTAGTGGCTGTCCAATGAGGGCTATCGTTTTAATACTTAACAGTTGGCACCCCTGTCGATCGACAGGACCTTACTCTACAGTGGCGCCATCTTGACGAGTGCAAATGCGATAGTCCTCCTACCACTTTCGCGCTCACCAGTTAGTGCCACTGTCTTCGCTACTAGCAAGTGACAGGACCTTACTCTACAGTGGCGCTAACTGGTGAGCGCTAAAACGATAGCACTCATTCCAAAATCCTTTCTACATTTATTATTTTCCTTTCAACTCAACATCGTCATCATTTTATATTGAGTAAAACAACTCTTGTCATAAAATATTTTTTATAATAATTGAAAACTTAACAAAATATCAACCCATCACAAGAAATGATGCAATGACACACATCTAGTACTTTCTAATAAAAGCATTGTACCATCATTTCTGATACTTGATTTGATCAAATACTACCAGGTTATCATACATTTACTTTACGTACGAAGGTACAGGGAGTTTCATTCCCTCTTTAGCCTCAAAGAATGTGTATGAAAGCACAATCTCATCTACAAATTCCATTCTAGGGTCTTCGGTAAACTCTGGGTCGATGTAGAAGAACACAGGCATGTCAACCTGTAAAAAATAATATTCATAGGTAGTTTATGAAACAGATCTCAGATCAGATAGTTAAACAATATTCTATTCTATCACTCAAAATCTATGTAAAATGAGCTATCCTAAAGATAGTGTTATTACTTTTGCTCAATTATCTTAAACCATGACCACAGCAAAGGCCTATAGATAGATATTATATTAGACCATAGGTCAAATTACCTGCTCATGTGGATTCAGCTGTTGCTCCTCGAAACAGAAGCACTGAATCTTGTTGAAGTACTGTCCGGCCTCAAATGGGATCACATTGTATGTGCTGATGCCAGTGACTGGCTTATTAGTTGGATTACGGGCCGTGTAAAACGCAAGAGCAGTCTCTCCTGGAACTACCTGCAAAGAAAGACAGATACTGCAATTATGAATATTGATATAATAACTAAAAGTTTCAGCAACCAGGTTTTAAAAAAACCTTTTATGCATATTCTGTGAGTGTAGAAAGTTCTTACGTAACGTCAAAACTTACAGTAATGTCAATTTGCTGGGGCTTGAAGTTCCACTGCATGGACGATGCAACGTCAGCGTTAAACCGTATCTTGATGGGCCTGCTCTTGACGGCCTTCATGTTGCCGACCACCTCTGCGGACTCCACTTGAGCTGTAGTCCCACCATAACTGTAAGCCTAAAAAGTTTTGATGCTTATTATAGATACCTTAAGCGATTTGTTAACTTGAAAAGATCTTACTTTTCATTACTACTATGTAATGCTTAGAATATTTTTCTAATTAACAACCAAGAAGTAATTGTTTTTAGATATCCAAATCGATTTAATTATCAGCATTTCACGCAAGAACTGTTTACCTGATATGAATTCTAAGGTTACCTCAACTCACCTGACAGAAAATCCTGTATAAAGGTACTGCAGCATAACTTAACCCTACAGTCATTACACCTAAGGCCACCATATAATTAAGCGTTGACCTGATATTCTTCTTCTGTTCGTGAGCGCCTCGATTTAATACATTTTGTACAATTTGTTTTGGAACCAGCAAAGTGGCCGGCGAACTTACGGTAAAATTATTCCTAAAAGTATTTATGTAACATCTGTTCATACGGACTAGATAATTCATTTTTCTATTGTAATTTGTTACTCGTATTTATAAAATTACAGAAAATCGGAATTTGAATGAAAACATTTTCTGTAAATTTCATGAACTGAAACGTCAAAATCCGAGAGATTTTGACAAATGACAAGTACAGGTTTTTTGTTTCTTACATAAAAAGGCATGACCGAGGTAAAGCTTGGTCATTTTGGAACTTAATCAAAACTTTCCTGATTATTAATTTCAAATAAATTACCGAAAGTAGGTATTTAAATATTGGATATGCGATTGTTTTAATTATGTATGTATTTTTATACCGACCAAATTTACAGGAAGAAAATGATGAAGCTGTTTACGTTGATAACCTTTGCTTTAAAAAACCAACATGTTTTCCTAAAGATGGCGTTGTACACCAAGTTCCGGGCAGATTTTCTGTTGTTTAGTTAGTTTGGGCGCGAATATTTTGAGTGTGAAATTGTGAGTGTTCCAAGGATTATTCTACGTCCAGCTATCCAGGTGAGTCATTTAATTCACTATAAATAAAACAGGTTACGTTTAATAATATAAGTATTTAACTTTAATATCACAATTTCATATAATACTCTTTTTTCCTAACATCATCGTTTATATTCTAAGGCCATTAATTTGTGTTTCGTCTTTATGTGAGCATCCGTGTGGGTTTTCTGGTAGGCCTTGTATGTGCAATCGAGGAATGGGCACCTGAACATGGGCTCCTTGCCGCATTCGTACGTAACGTGGCGTCTGTACGTGCTCTTATGTCTGTACTTCCTCTTGCACTTCTCGCACTCGTACGACATGTCGTAATGTGACCAGAAGTTCTTGGTCTTCATGGGCACTACCGGCAACATGTTTTGCATCATAGTTTTAAAGAAATCCACTTCACCTGTAACAAGGAGATTAGTAATTCTATAAAACTTTGCGCGAGTGCCTATTTAGCTACTTTCTGTATCCGTTCTAAATAATTTTTAAATTGAGTTTTACTTTAAACAATTTTCAAATACTGATGATCGTTGGAAATAATAATTAACAAATAATAAGAGATAAAGTTGGTCTAGTATTCCTCAAACAGACGCAAATATGACTTTCTAAAAATTAAATTCTTTTACGTTTATGCATTTGAAGCGCTCTCAACTTTCACCATGGATAGGAATGTTTCACAGACAAAACGAACTTTGTATCAAATTGAGAACATTTATTCGCATGCATAATCCTGTTTAAAAGAACAAACCAAACACACTCCATATCACTGAAAAACAAAAATACATCAATCAAGTATTAAACATTGTGCTATTTATTTACTAATTAATAATGACCAGAACACATGTTTTGGCATTTCATAAAATGTTAAAGTAACATTAGTTTTATTGATTTTTAAATTGCTACTCGAATAATTTATATCAGGTAGGTAAAATGTAAGATTTATAATAATTATTGTTTGTTTGTATAAAGTTACAAAACAACTTTTCAATACTTTACGTTTAACAATAATAAACATTTGGTCTGTGTATATCAAAAATATTACGCATTCTACGGTGAATTTAGTTAGTATACATTTTTTTTCCACCACTAAATTGGTGGAATCCCTTCTTTTCATTGCAAGCTACAGCTGCCTCAGAAATTTCTTTACACACACCTTTTAGGTCACACACAAATACTTGCAACTATTAAAACTAAGTTAGATAGCTACAACCATTTTAAAACGGGTCAAAATGAAAAAGGTAACCAAATACAATTTCTAAAAAATTTAGTTCTTAATACGTAAAGTTTAAGGCACATTAGCTGTGCTGATATGAAGATATTAGTTAATTTAATCTACCAACAATGTAGAACCTTAACTATGTTGGTGGGTCTATAAGTTTTAGTTAACAATATTTACTAAAAAATATATAAATATTTATACAGGATGATACATTTAATCTCCCTTCAGTAATTTAAATCATAAGATAATGCTCTCAAATACACCACCTCCACTAGAAGACCATCTATTCTATTTTTATAAAAAAAAAACTGTTTACGTTTTATTTATGTCAGGAAGAGCAAGAGCAAGTCATACAATATTGCTTTTAAAATGTAAATTAAACTAATAACTCTGTAAAATTATCCAACAAAATTTAGAAATCGTACTGCTCTTATATAAAAGTTGGTGTATTTGATCATTACGATGGTAATTTCAATTTAAACTGTCACCTGCATTACACACGCAAACAGAATGAATTTTTAGAGGTCCCAACTTCTCGTAATATTGCTTAAAAATCATAATAACATTTATTATTAGTTATAATTTACTTAACAGTATGTATACTTTATATTAATGTTAAGGCACTAACAGTTTATGGCTAAGAATCGAATGGAAGATTCTTTGGTTCAATTATTATTTTAAATATTGCAAGATTAAAATTTGAACTTTATAGGTAACTTAAATAACAGTAACAAATGCAAAAAATATACATTTTAACAGGAATACTGAGTCCATAATACAAACATATTTATGTATGGCAAAAATGTACAGTTATAAATTTCTTTGGTAACAAGGAACACACACTAAAACATTAATAATAACAAGAACAAGAAAATATAACAATCTATTTTTAATATTACGTGTAAAAAGTATAAAATAATCGAAAAACACGATGTCTTACGTATCTTAAATGATAATATACTGCTTTAACGTAAGTGGGGTTGGCTTAATTTGAGCTAAACACAGAGTGAACATGAAATCATATTAGCTGGTATGCTCGTCATTAATGCTGATAGCTGGAACAGGCACGATGTTCTCACTGAAAATGTTTTAATAAAGCTGTCTATCAGTGTCAATACTGAATTACAATTATTATGTTCAGTCTATGTATTAGCTAATTAAGTGTTTCGATACAACCGTATTAGAGCTGCCCTTTTTTACTTCAGTATACTTATCATGTCTTTAACATAAATTAGTTTCTAATAGCTGCTTTATATGTTACTTCTGTTCTATTCTATGAGAATTAATAATACATACTTATCCGCCTCAAAGGACCACAGCAGCTATGTAGAGCAGCTACACAACAATGTATTTTTAAAATTAATAATGAGATACAAAACAATATTGTTAAGTATGACCTACATACACAAAATACTATGCACCTAACAATATTGTTTTACTTCTCGTAGCCACTATTTCAGTGGCGTTACTTGTTAAGTCCTTTGTATAATATCTTACGCGTGAATGAGTAAGTAGTAGTAGCTTCATAGGCCATAGCATAGAGCCTCTTTGATAGTTAATTATCTGATCGCAATCTTTGGTATTACTTAATCTTATATTTAAAAAATGAGTTTTATCGGACATATTTTTTAAATCTTCATTTTCGATCTCTTCAACTCTTTGATTTTCAAAGTCTTCAATTAAGTAAGGGGTCCACAGTTTAGTTTCAGTGATTTTTTACAGCTGGAACAGAAATAAAAAATAATTAGTATTTTTGTATAATGCCATATTGAGTTGTTAGTTGAGCTAGACTACCATTATTTTTATACAGTGACCAGATACCACACATGCATATTAGTTGGTTTATTTTTACAACAAAGCCAAGCATTTAGTGCATCCCTACAACTGAGAAATTGATAAATAGGTTTGCTTAGTAAAGGTATTAAAATTGTGTAGGAAGTTTTTCTAAAATTATAATCAAATCAAAAATATCGTTATTTGTTTTTACTAATTGAATTAGTAACTTATAACAACACCTTTAGTAAGCAAACAGTTAAATGGTGAGTGCAGTGTGAAGTAACAAATTGGAAATGAGTATAAAGAAAACGTTAGGAGTATTATTTCCACGTTTCGAGTTGTTTTAGTTTTGAATTAGTCCCCCACCCGTAACCCCAAGTTAGTGACACCAGTCATAATTTACTGACATTGAACATATTCGCGGCGGGTCATTCCGACACGAAGTCCACCTTCTCTGGCAAGTCTTTATGCAGATGCCGCTCGTGCAACAACAGATTGTGCTTCTGGTAGGCTCGGTACACGCAGTAGGGACACTTGAAGCTCGGCTGCTTCCTGCACTCGTACTTTATATGCCGCTGAAGCGAGCCTTTGTGCTTGTATTTGTTCCCACAGTCGACGCACTCATACAGTGTCCACCCAGCCTTACCGCTGCTCAACCCGGGATTAGCATAACCCAATATATAAGGAGTGTAAAACTGTGCAACTGAAATTAAAACGCAAATAAAATAAATACGTGCAAATAATACTAAGCTACCACCGCACTAAGTGAAGCCAAGCCACCTTAGGTAAAAGAATGTGCCACCATATCGAAGCAGAGGATAATGCACCATGTCTCCCATTAATTTGCTTTGTTTACATCTACGGGGTTTAATCTATATCTAGATTCTTAATTATCTATTTTCGAGTAACATGCAACCTTTCAAAGATCTAGCCCGTTTATGTTTGTATATCTATACAATCCCACGTTTATAATTTATGAAATCGTAAGTTTAGTATAATATTTAGCATGCGTTTTTGAAATATTCACATGAATATTTAATAACAAATGGCAATGAGATAAGACAGTGTTAGGTACCCTTAATCCCATTCCCACATATTTGCCGTAAAACCATAATATTATTATTTAAATGATATAATACACATATGATTTGGTTAACACAAAAACAAAAATATATCAAGAATAGCAACTTTATTAAAATACAAAAAGGTTATAAAAATACAATCAAATGCATTTAATCACTGAAACTTGGATCTACTGACAGATTATGATGTAGACCTATCTAGTCATCTACAAATATTCTAGGTAGCAATTCTTACTATAGCTAGTTTCTTTACAATATCACTTGGATAAGTTCGTGTACTGCACGTCCACGATAGCTAGACCTGCGACTGGAATACGGTGACGTACCAAAATGGTCCTTAGGATCTTAACGATAGAGTAGCTCAGACCCAGCCCGATCGACTTCTGATCAGAAGTCTAGTTATAGTGGACGATTAGTACCATTGTGGCTCACTTGACTGAGCGTCGAGTGCGACCGATGGGTCAGAAGCAAGGCCTGCACTGGTGAAAGTATAATATCACAGTTGTAGTTTATCAGAATCTATATAACATTTACTGATTACTCTAAACCTGAAATGCACTCTGCAACCTGGATGAAGGCGGTTCATTTTGTAGGTAACTAACTTGCTGTAATTTCGTTTAAAAATCACAACCTAGAATTTTGCAACTTTCTCATATTTAAACCAAAAATTATCTGAAACGTTTTAACCCCTAATGACTAAAGTTTTGAAGGCACTTAGTTTTATACTGACAAGATTTGTATGGTTGTACTTATGAGCTTTACATTTTGATTGCAGGATGGTAACTCGAACTGATAATAACTTATTTTGGTAGAATACCAAAAAAATCACACCACCTGTTTCAATTTTAATAATAACAATGTAAATACATATTTCAATCTGCGATTGTTTTGATTTTACAGGTGATTATAAAATATGTGGTGTCATTTTTCATGATATGTACCATGACTAACCTTACTATTTCTAAATGGTAATGTGTTTAAAATACTTATAACTATCTGGAAGAGTAATTTGAACTTGTCAAAATTAAATGATTGTGCACGGTCCATTGTATTATAATAACATAATGGCAGTGTTCATGATTTACGATTTAATTTTAAAATATCAACTTTAAGGCTCTCAGTTGCGAATCAGCTATAGCTAGTTGGCCCCATACCTACACTGAAAACAGTGAGAAATCGGTACACTTCGTAAGGAACAACATCCGTTCACAAAATATTTCGGATCGATTTATAAGCCTAATGTAAAGATAAAATAAATGCATAAGATGTAAAGAGATCTAAAAATAATTGAAATAAAAAATTAACTTAAATGAGTATTACAATTATACAAGGGAACATGCATTATGGCAGAGAACTAGAGCTTGCTACCTAAGCGAAAATAGCATCATTTGCATTACAACTACGATATACAAGGATATAACTTAACAGTTTACGCGCTCACATAACTTATACCGTACCGTACGTACGAATGAGTACCGATAAAACTTATGGAATACTAACATAAACTTTCTAAATCGCATATATTTGATTAAACCTACGATAACTCCCACCGCGACCGTCGCGTCGCAGCCGTGATAATTTAGGAGAGTAACTGCAACTGGTAACATCTTAACCCAACAACTTGTACTTTACGAATCTACCGAATCTCGGAACCTAAATAGATCAACCAGGAATGATAGTTTACATAATAAATGCTGTACATAAAAATATATACTTAGTAAAAGCGTAACTATACAAAATCACTTCAACTTAACATACTTATAAATGCAACAGTTGCGCACACTGTCACAAATATACTGTAACTAGTGTCAATACTATTACTAGTAATTTGTCAAGAGATTAAATTCATGATATCTATATTTTTCACTTCTGGGCGTAATATTAAATAATTAGAATTGAGTAGGTAACAATTGAAGGCACTATTTGTGACCTCGGGGAAGGCATTACATCTAACGTGACTGTCTAATGCCACTATCACATAAGAGATTTCATCACATTTATCACAATCAGAATAAACTTGGGAATTTTCAAAAAACTTTCTCTAGAGAATCTCTACGATAACTACAATCATGATTTTCAAAGGGGTCAACGAGAAACATTAAAAATAGAAACATTATAACGGATCTAGTAACATGTTGCGCCGATAAATTAAAAACGTTGATATGTAAACCTAGCAGGTTTGTACCTAATTAAAATGGAGTATTGAGTAGTGACTAAGTTCGCAAAGACGGCGGGAGCGGCGCGGGGGGCGGTATCCGCGAGCGGGCGAATTACTTTTGAAAAGGATTTAGAGTTTCCCGCCTTTGACTTTTTAAAAAGAGGATCAAAAGGGTCCGTGAGCACGTAGAATTTTGTCCAATGACCCCAAGCTACCCATCCTTATCGCTCGCGCGTAATTATATTGCTGTCGCGACTGTGCGACGGGCGCCCGCAGTGTGTGTGCGAGCGCGATAGCAACATAATTACGCGCGAGCGATAAGGATGGGTAGCTTGGGGTCATTGGACAAAATTCTACGTGCTCACGGACCAGGCTTTAGTGGAGCCGCCCCGCGGATGCCACGATGCTGAGTAGGAACGTGCAAGCGCACTCACCCGCCGCCCGCGCGCTCGCCGCGGCGCCTACGTGCAGGCGTCGACGTTGTCCTGCTTGATGTACTGCTCGGGCTTGAGGTGCACCTCGCGGTGCATGCGCTCCATGTGGCGCGCGATGTGCATCTTCTGCTTGGCGCGGTACACGCAGTAGGGGCACTGGAACTGCGGCTCCTTGCCGCACTCCCACTTCTGGTGGTTGCGCAGCGACGACTTGAGCTTGTACACGCGGCCGCAGTCGGGGCACGTGAAGCTGGGCTCGCCGGGCGCGGGCAGCGGCGCGCGGAGCCCGGCCACCAGCGGCAGCGCAAGGCGCGCCGACCACTGGTCCCACGACAGCCCGCCGATCCTACTGAACGACACGTCCTCCGTCGCCGGCCCGCAGCCGCCGCCTGAAAACCCCAGAACCGTCAGCACCTCGTCACGCGAACGCGCACACACATTCAACATTCCCGTGTGGTTAACGACAGTTACAAGCGTTTACATGTTATATACATATATACGATACATACACGGTACATATACGTAAATATACTACATACTATACGATACATAGAATAACTACTGTGAATATCCACCGAGTGCTGTGATGAAAGCTTTGCAAAAGGAGAAGTAAAAAAAAGAACAAAAAAGGAATCGTAAAAAACGTTTATTTGGCGATTATCGTTTCTCATTTTGAGGATCTGGACCGTTCTCAGACAGTTTCGAGAGTTTAATCGAACAGGAATTTCCTGATAAACTTTTGGAAAAGTGTAACAGATAAACTGTCGAACGTTACTGGGCCGATAATTTAGTCACCGGTTTGAGTATAACAAACATTTGTTAATTATTATGTAGTCTCCCGACCCATGGGTTTTCTTGGCTACCTGAAATTATTAATTATATTAGTATGAACGAAAAAGGAAAGAAAAACAAAAACTGCGACATGCGCAAGTTGAAATGAGGACAGTGACCGCTACGTGTAATGCGAACAAACCATGCACTCATGCAATGTTAACAAACCAAATTGCCTAGTAAAACTGAGACTCACCTAAGGTTTACGCTAAAATAAGAAAACATAATTATGATTGGAAATGGCTAAAAAAAAACAAAAAGTTGGTTATACTATAGCTATATTTGAATAAACTTTTCTACCAAGTAAACCCCGATATATTCATATAAAAATCACACTACATAATTTGAAAACTAGTTCTCCAATAACATTAACAAACAATGTAAACGACATAACATCAAAATGTATATTCTAATTCATACATCAGTACCATAAACCGTAAGATATATGATGGGAATATTGCATATCTGTATGCTTAGCAATGACTCGAATGCTATAACAAGTAACGTTCTTTATTTCTCACCATCACATTATTAAACTAATACTGACTTTGGTCAAATAGCTTTGTAAACCTAGGTTAACAAAAAATATCAACAGTGTCAATACGCTAATTGAAACTTGGAATATTGCTATTAATTAATTATCAGTTAATATCGAGATATTTTCTTTGAAAATTTTGAACACATTTTTATCCCAGCTTATCGAAATACCAACCAAACAACATGAAAATATCTCTAACGCGTAATAAATACATCTACAGGTAACATTGTAGGCACATAATGAATGAGCTTTATTTTACTAATCATAGCCGCGACTCTATGCTGCATTGCAGTATTTACCCCGTATTTTTAGTCGACTCCCAAACATTGCTTCTTCTTGATAAAGAGCGCAAGTAAATTTGGACCTTCGAGGTTCAATAGGGAACAATCTGCTTGCGCCATTTTCTTGCTTAGAGATAATGCTTGAAAGTCGCCAGAAAAATACGGCTAAATTAGTTGCGAATGCGCGTAGAATTGAGGCATGACGTGCGGAACCACAAAGTTCCCTCTAATATTAACCTAATTAATAAACAACTCGAAAATATAACTTTGGATTTGCTACAAAAAGTCAGGAAGACAAGGAATGGTCCCTTCGTGCTAACAAATAAATTGAAGAAAACAAGAATTGTGAATAAATTATGGAAATGAACAATAACTTAACCAATAACATAATCATAAAACTAAACAAGTTACTGTCAGAACAAACACCTAAAGATAATGAATTTTTTCTACCCGTGACAGTTAAGATAAAATAACAGACGGCCTGTTTTAACAGGCCTATTCATTTATGGTACAGGAAAATATCAACTATTTTTATAGTTTCTAATATCATTGCACTAAATATAACGAATTTGGAATAAAATCCTTTTGAGGAATGATAAGTTATTAATTCTAAACAAATTCGAGATAGTATCGACTCTAAATTATATAATATCAATAACATAAAATAATATATTTTGGTATACAAACACTTATTGCATAATATTTCCGGACTTAATAACAATTCGACGACAATACAGTCGAATTGGCCCATCATGATCGCAATCACTAGAAAAGTCAGTCCCGAGAATGATCCATAGCTAAGAATCAAACCCAGCATTCACTTTTGCAGTGCTTTTGAAAAGTGGGACTGATAGCCAATTTTCCTAATTATATTCAATTTATCCATTCGTATTATTGTCTACATTCTTCAATATATCGACCTTAGGTCATATTCTTTTGAATAAAATACTCAGGGTCAGTCTTAACTACGACAATAAACTCTAAAACAAAAATCAACAAAATTAGCGCTAGCGCCATTAGGGAATGTGCACATTACAACTACATTTCAGTGTATATTAAAACGTCTTCAACAAAATAAAATAGTAAATATAAATAAAATTATTGCAGAACCGATTTGGTTGGGTATCTACTTTGGTCTAACTTTTTCAAACGTAAATCTAGATGGATGTCTTTTTGTTTCGCCTGACTTTGTTGCTGGCGTACATGAACCACTCGTTGTTGTGGTGCTTGCGGATGTGCACGCCGAGGTTGCCGCGCTGCTTGGCCTTGTACGAGCAGTACGGGCATTGGTGGGAGGGCGCCTTGCCGCCGCACTCCACGTTCTCGTGCCGGCGCAGCGTCGACTTCCAGCGGTACTTCTTGCCGCAGTGCCGGCACTCGAACTGGCGACTCGAGTCGTCCGAGACGCTGCCGTCTCTCTTTCCGTACGGCGACTTCGAGTCGGCGCCGGAGTCGAACGACTCGTTCGTCACGCCGACCGGGGCGCCCTGGTAGGAGCCGGAGTCGTAGAAGGCGTCGGTCTCCTCGGGCAGCACGATGTCGTCGGTGTCGTCGTACTCGTCGGAGTCGGCGTCGTCGGGCTTGGGGCTCTTGTAGTCGCGCGCGGGCGGCGCGGCGTTGTTGTTGAACAAGGCCTGCTGCAGCAGGTGCGCCTTGAGGTCCTCGGGCAGCGCGAGCGGCAGCTTGGGCCGCAGGTTGGTGACCTGGATGCAGGGCGGCACGAGCGCCGCCAGCTGCTGCGACTGCGCGCGCTGCGCCGACAGCAGCGACAGCAGCGCCGACGGGAGGTGGGATTCCTTGTGTAACTCTGAAATGCGATACATTAGGTATTGCAAATAAAAAAGTCAAGCGGAACTACGGACGGAGTCTCGGTTAATACTACCAAAGGCTAAAATAAAATTAAGGAACCAAAGAAATGCGTTACTGTAATAATAAAAAAAATATAAAAAAATAATTCTCGGTTAGAAAATATAAGGCGAAGCTCTAAAATTCATGCAAACATGCACAATCCAAGTAATCGAACTCTCATTGACTTATCTTCCCATAAAATTTCGGTTACCGGGTCTATCGATCGAAATGAAAAGCCTCGTGACGTTTTTCAAATCGTTTAATAGTTAAAATATCGAATATCAATCAGTTTTATCCATACATAAGTATACAAGGCTCTTATAAAAATTAACGAAAATTTAATACCATCTAAAGGAAGATCGAATAGTTTTACGAATAAGGCACTAGAATAAAGCACTGAGTGGTCCACCGCGGCACCGGCGCGTCACTTGACGCTGAGCGTCTTCTGGTTGGGGTGCTTCTTGTTGATGTGGTTCTTGAGCTCGTTGCGGCGGTGCTTGCTGTAGCTGCAGAAGGGGCACTTGTACTGCGGCTCGCGGCCGCATTCCAGCGTGACGTGGCGCACGAGGTTGCGGCGCGCGTTGTAGGCGCGCTGGCACTTGGGGCACTTGTAGCGCTTGTCCACCTTCCGCTTGCCCAGCGCGAAGTCCGCGCCGACGTCGTCGGGCGGCAGGATGTTGTAGGGCGACTCGCGCTTCTTGTCCTCGTCCGAGGAGCTGCGGTCGGCCTTGGGCGGCGTGACCGGCGTCTTTTTGTTCTCTTTCGTTTCCTCGGGGAGCTTGTTCGCCGTCACGTTCTTCAGGATCGCGAACGTTTTCGACGCCTCCTCCGCTTCGTCTCTTATTATCTGTGTCACCATTTTTGGTTGCGGCGTGATTTTTGAACCTGCAATAGAAATATTATACAGTGCGCTTTGTAATCTTTAAAAAAATAATAAAGCATAAAATATGAAAAATCATAACAGACGGATTGGCGGACGGACGGTATTCAGAATGATTGTTGATCATTCAAAATATCGGTGTCTGCCGACGTGTGTGACGATTAAGATGTATGATTTCACATGTGATTAAATTAAAAACGAAATGAATACCAAAGTAAATATATTCAAAACTTAAGAAAAACAAAACAAACAATGAGAAAACAAAAGAAAATATAAACTTTGTCATGAAACAAAAGCTACAAAAACAAAAAATAACAAAGAGCTTTTTCTAATTGGTAATCAGCATAATAAATGAAGCTGCTTAGCAAAATCTTAGCCACTTCTGTCTTAGCAAAAATCAACTAGTCAACTTACAAAAATAATCATAGGCAGTAAATATAAAAAAGTCAGTACTTTATGGCACTGGTAGAGATCAAAAATATTGGACCTTGTGAAAGATAATCGACAATAAATTAACAACTAGAGTAACGATTATAGTGATACATTTTTGTATCACTTCAAATAACGAGGTAGGTATTCTTAACTAGCAAAAGTCTACAAACTTAAACTTAACTAAACTTTGAGACATGATTAACTTTGTAAATAGTATCTAAATAAAAAATCAACAAAAACAAAACAGTAAGCAAAATGTGAAAAAAATTATATGTTCTCTTGGCTCTCCAGTTTAATATTCTTAACATCTCGTTCATTAATCCAGTTAGGATGTTTAAGAGCAATGTGCGAAGTCAACGTTTTTTTCTGCGAATACTTTTTCCCGCACTCGCAAGCGAATTGCGGGCCGGTGACGCACTCATACTTCTCATGCCTGAGCTTATTCCTTCTATACTTGTATTGTTTTTTCTTGCAAATGGAGCAAACGTGTCTCCTTTCGTCGCCTGTGCGGTTGCAACTCTTACTACTCGACGCTACTAACTCTCTCTTCCTTTTCATATTCTTTGCGGCCTTTATCCCGACTTTCTTTTTTATCACCTTTTTGACTGTTCTCTTGCCCTTGTACGAATGCTCAATCTTTGGTTTGGTACTAGCAGTGCTTTTGAGGTATCCCCGAGTTAATGGGAAAGGGGTTTTTGCGAAAACCATGGCGTTTAATAGATATGTGGGTTTCTCTGCAAGGGGAAATAATGAAAGCAAGAATAAATTACATATAAAGCATTAGTGACAGGTGATGTTACCAGAAGAAGTGGTATTAGTGGTCAAGTATTTGAATGGAATCATTACTGTTGTTAGGTGCCTTTTGAAGTGAGGTATGAAAAGTGTTTTATGTTAGAAGTTTGAAAGAGGATTTACTGAAATGTTCGTGTGGGTGGATAAGAGATAAATGAAAGAAAGAAGTAAGCATGCTACTTCAGGATATTAACTGGGGAGCCTTCAATGTAGTCACTGTAATTGTATAGTATACCTGCATCATCATCAATTTATATCACTATTATTTTGGTCGATCGTGTAAAAATGAAATGCGCATAGGCTGACATAAAAAATATGGTACATGATTTACATGCTTTCAATAATCATTTCTCATGTTTGCATTGATACCTAACAATCATGCATATTTAACATAAAAAAAAAACAAATGAACCGATAAGGAGAGACAATCTGCAGTGAAATCACATGTGAATGCAAATAAAAAGAAATAATAAATAATAATAGATAAATAAGCCATATAACCAACAAACTAATATTAGTAATAGAAATCATTGTCATTTACCTTACTCCAAATGGCAGCAGCAGTGCGAGGTCACAATCCTTATTCTTCTATAAACAAACATTCAAGTAAAAATCACTCGAAAATTGTGCCATTGAACAATCGTTTAACGCGATCTTTAGCCACGACTTTACTTAGCCGGAAATTCTTTGATTGATTGAAGAAAACAGTTTTGATATTGAAATGAACGGGGGGGTGAGGTGTTGTGCGCATAGATATGATCTACCTCTACATACTGTTATGATAAGTTTACATATAAATGTCATTGATAAAATAGTGTTGAAATTACTTACCATTTACTCATTCCAGACGTTTGTTAGCATAGAACAATGTAGCACTTTAATAATTGTAACTTTCTACCGTACTAAATCTACTATCTAAATGCATGCATGAACTACATGTTTGCTTATCCCCATAACACAAACATAAAGCGAATACACAGTATAACATATACATTCTAATTAACCATCTAGTGTAATAATAACTTGAATATTTACTTACCTTGAACATTACCTCACCTTTAAAGAAAGGCTACAAAAACTTGAACAAAACCATATTACCAAAACCTTTACCTGTTGCACTGAAATACTCATAAAAGTCATAACGATACAAAATATTGTAAGATTAGTAGTTTATAATAATATTAGATATGTACTATTTTATAATAGGGTTGAAGTTTCACATGTGAAAACACTAGCACTCTTGTATCCGCTGTTGTGGAATATAATATTTATATATAACAAGATAAATAGATTATTTTAAGCAATGACTGTTTGTCTAATTTCAAATTATGGGAAGACATTGCGCATTTCATCCGTTCCTTTGTATGTCTGAGACAATTAACTTTTGATTATTTTGCTCTATCCAGACACGATTTAAATACATAGAAAAGTTGATTGTCTCAGAATATCAAAATTTTGAGTCCCATTGAACATCTAGTGTCGTCGTATAGCTAGTGGGAATGGCACGTAACGACACAAAATGTTGTGTGAGCCCCACCGCGGGTACGCAAGTTAAATAGATAATTGAAGTACAGTCAGCATCAAAAGTTCTGGCTATTTGTGATCTTTATCGCTTTGAGCGTAAGGCGTAAGATATCCAGCCACTTGTGGTGTTGACTGCACTACCCGGAGTGAGGCGGCGTACAGTAATGTATGCAAGCTTACCTTGCGACTCTCGCGCGCTGTCATTTGAGTTCATTATTTCATCTTGAGATCGTTCCATGTGCCATTGGAAATCTGTAAGAGAATATTACATTGTAGCAAATGCAACAATTACAAGTACCCATTAGCTGGTTTATTGCGGAGCTATTTTTATCTGTTATGTCTTTTCAAACAATTAAACTGTGGCGGTTAAATGTACATACTATGTAATGAAAATCCGAAAAAATCATATCAATCACTCATAAACTTTACATAATTGTATAATTTTCAAACTTCCTGCTAAATTATAAATATCAACATAATATAAAATATGTGTCTATTTCGGTTACTGTGTCTGATGTTCTCTAAATTTGAGACCTAAAGACAGAAAATCCTAATTTCAGTAACACTTAGATTTTCACCGAACCTAAACATCTTTTTGATCTTTTTAAGTTTTTAGTCATGTATCACACACTCATTGAGTTTTCAATACAATATTTGATGATTTGAAAATAAAAACATAAGTGAGTAAATTACATGTAAAGTACACCACAAACATGTAGAAAATAATTGTACATCATAGCAAATGTAAACAAGAAAAAACTAAGAAGGTTACAAGACTTACAAGGTTGAGCCATAAAATTACTAACACTAATTTTATCAACTACTTGTGCACACTAATGTTAAAGTAACGAGTAAATTTGTTATTCCACAAAAACATAAAAAAACAGTGATCCTTTTTACTATTGTGATCTAATGAACAAAACAAATTATACTTACTGCGTACGACGTCATTGTGCCCCACAGCCGGGGGCTCCTCAGCCTCCTCATCTAATGTGAGATCCTCTACACCGTCCCTCGGGACTTCCTCTTTGCAAGGTGCTTCGTCTCCGTTGCCTTGTGGAGGCTCTATGACCGGGGCCTGTATAGGGACTGGCGGTCCCTCACTCGACATACGACGAGCTTTCTTTCTACGGCGTGTGGGGCTTATTGAACCTTCGCGACTGTCTATGCTACCATCTCGGGCCTGGTGACAAACATTTAAAAGTTAGTTACTTCTGGTTTTCTTTAATGTGTGATAAGTCACCATTGTTGGTAATTTTCTTTTTAAACAAGATTAGAAGTTTAAATGATATTGATAAATTATAAAAATCAAATAATATCAAAATAATGATCCTAAATTGAAGGAGGTCAACTTGGAAATACCACTCTCTATCAAAAATCTAAATCTACATTACAAATTACTAGGTTATCATGCCACTTTCATTTATTTGAAGTTTGGAATTTTCACTTCCATAACTTTAAAGAAAAGTTGTAAACATTTAAAGAAGTAATAAACTGTTTCTAGAAATACCAGTTTTGAATAAATTAAAATCTCAATATAAAATAAATTATTCATCATCAGACTGTCATTAAGTTCAATAACTCTGTCATTAGGTTATTTTGTTTATAGATAATGTTAACACATTTGATGTAACAAAGAGTTATTTTATGAGAATTATTGGTAACACCAAGTTAAGTGTGCTAGTTTCAAACTAGTTAACAGTTCCTAGTTGCCATAAATAGGTCAAGGCCTTCTTGTGAGGCAATGTGTGTCCTACACAGACTGAAATATGTATGTACATGCTTGAATTTAAATAGGCACAAGTGCTTTGAATGAACAAGGCTGAAAACAGCTTCAAGTGAAACAGATATTGTTTTGTGATGATATGATAAGCAAATGATATCTGTTATGAAAATAGAACATGTACATTTATGTCTATGCTTGTGTTTGTTTCAGCTTAAGTGGAACAAAATATTGAAAGGAGCAGTTTTATTGCAAATGAATGGACCATTCTATTTTTTACAGTATGTTGACAAATAATATAATCAAATAAATTGTATTGATGATAAATAAGGTTTTATCTAAAATATCTTTGTTAACGTTACTGTGTAAAACGTTAAAGAAAATAAAGTGGCAGAGATTGTGGAAAAATCTTTGTTTCCACTGAATAATACCTATAGTTGTTTTGTTAACCTTATACTGCTTATTGATTTAGAATATTATAGACTTGCTTTTCATAGTGAAAAGTAATTTTATAACATTAGAGATAACTGATCTATGAGATATCATTATTGTACCAGAAATATTACACAATATTTCATGAAGTCCTAGTTTATAGGTTTAGTGAAGCAGATTGATAGCTTTGTGTATGCCGCAATACAGTGCATTACTGCAAAGCCACATTAAGACAGATGAGGTGGCAGAGAGAATGCCAATTCTTACAAGTACAGGATCAGCTAGTGGAGTTATTTAGGCAGCTGTGACACAGTTTATACTAGTACGGCTGCCGACGTAACCTAACCCAATAGTTCACTTGAATTGTAATCTCTAAATAGGTTGACTTACTGTAATTTTGGAGCAAATAAATATATTATTATTTACCTGTGGCGGGGGCGAGGCGACGCGAGGCGGGTGTGCAGCGGGCTGCGGCGGGCGCGACGGGGGCCGGGACGGCTTGTTGTCCGAGAGTCCCTTGATCTGCAGCGACTCAGCTGCCTTCAACAGAGCGGCCAGCTGGTCCTGCGATATGTTCACTTCACCGCGGTACATGTAGTCCATCATGGCTCTCAATTCCGCATACTTTACGTCTTTTAGGATTATTATTGGATGCTTATCAAATTGTTGTGATAGTACACTCTGTAACAAAACAGTTTGCGCTTTACTATTTACCAGGTTGTTTACTAATTCCATTTGTAAATAGATGTACGAAGCTGATCACAATGATTGGAAAGTAACATGAATAGAGTAGTATTTACTAAACAATGACATGTGCATATTTCATAGATGACTACCTTTTTCGGTAAATTATTAGAATTTTAATTATACAGTTGGATGATAGATAATTGTTCCAAATACTAAATGGTCAGTCATTTAGCTAATTACAGCTAAACGTTCAACAGGTAATTAGTGATCTTAGCTAAAACATTACGGAAAGTAGTAGAAACAACTTTCAGTTGCCAACTCATCTATGCATCAATATAACTAATTGCTAACGCATATGCGAAAGCTAGAATGAAACAACTGGAATGTTTATTAGAGCACAACTGTGCCGTAAGTAACTTAAACACGATAGCAATTGACCTACATTACGTGAGCACGCATACTCGGTACCAACCTCGAAATACGGACTGCAGGCGGACAGGACCACTTTGTGTGCCTTCAGCGTCTGGCCCTCGGCCGCCAGGGTGCAGTCGACGTGCATACCCTTCTCCAGCAGAGTGTCGAACACCGACACCAGCGTCGACTGGTGGTTGTTCCATCGCAAGCAGAATTGTTGGTCGTCATCCATGATGCCGTCTCGCCACGCCGCGCCCGTAGCCCTGCCACACCAAACCACGAGATCAACACAAACTCACAATAAAACACCACGCAGTAAATAGGCCACTATGAAAACTTCACAAAGACCACATAAACATAGCATCGTACGCTATCATCACGCCACAGCGTAAATTATCTCACCGAATCACTTCATAAGATGAGATCACGCCCCAACTTAACTAATTTAACTTTAGGGACCACATACGACTCGTCGTAAGCGACGCGGCACAAAGAAAATGGCCGCTTTTCCAGCGCGACAAAAAATAAAATGGCGACGAAAATTCTAAGTTTTACTATTTTCTGATCAAACTTTTCATGACACTTGTTGTTTATTTCAAGTTCATCGTCGACCCTCGATTCGCTGAACTTGGAAAAAGTTTACAGTCAACAAAGAAACTTCTGAGAAACTTCACTTTGAAAGTTCACGAGTGGAAATTTTCAAGATGAAAACTCGTAGCAATAAGTAAGCCCCTATCGCGTTCACAACAGCACACACAAAATATGAAACGCTTACCTTGACTATTTCATCAACTATTGTATTGTGTTTTAATGATGCTGAATGTTCTTTGTTTTAATTAACACTGCCACAGTATTTTAACACATTTGCACACCCGCCAGCTTTCTTGATTGAAAACACAAAACTACGCTATGTTGCAAGTTTAGAGAAAGGCACCTCTACAAAAATCCAAACGAAGTACAAGTTGGAAGCGACGCGAGTGACCCAAAATAAGCTCCATCGATGTTGCCATTAGCGAATAATAGAAAGCTTGAAAAAAGAAAATGTAGCATATATTTTTTATTTAAAGTTATTTGTCCGTTTAATCTACAATTAGAATTATCAACTAAAATGTTTTTACATTTAATTTTTCATTTGTTTTAATTTGTACAAGGCATTTTTGACGCTCGCCGCTTACAACGCCATCTGCTGTAAGTGCTGTAACTCGACTGCACTAAAATGTATAACTTCCTCTTGCGCGGGGAAAACAAAACAAAAGAAAGACATTTACATCGTTCTTGGAAATCCTACTTTAGCTTTGCGTCGTTTCTTTTGTTTTGCTTGTAATAATAACATTTTAATAGTCAATAATGTTTTACTGAATTGAATTATTAATATTATTGTTTTAGCTAAGCTAGATGTTGCTACTTTTCAAGCAGACAGGTGTTTTTTATAAAAGATGCATTTCATTTAACCACACGTTTTACTATGTTGGGTAATAAAATAATTATTCAATTTAAGAGCTAAATATGTAGTGTTGTTTTGGAAAGCTCCTCATAGCATAGGAATTCAATATTATTTAGTTTTTTTATCATAAATCTTTCTAGCTTGTTGAACAAAGTCAGCATAAAGGTTGACGCACATAACGCAAAAAAAAAAACAGAGCCAAATAAAGGAATTATTTCGCATAAATTATAAATAGGTACTTTAAGTATTTATAATTAAGCTATTTAATGTCTAAAATGCCATTCTACTGCATGTATTGCTTAAAATTTCCGTCAAAATCAAAGGTATTAAGTACTTAGTTTTAGGGCATTTCTGGCAATGCTGGTTAATACAAGCCAACGGACTTCACCAATAATATTCTCTTTTCATTGTTAACAATCCTTCTTCATCAAAAATATTGTAAGGCGAGGCGCTACCATTGAAGAGGTGTGTGCCAACCCTTATTCTACGTTTGTAACTTTCATTATAACACCAATTAATGTTACTGTATTAACGTTTTAGGTTTGTTAATGTTTTGTATTATACTAATTACTGTTAATAATTTGTATTTGCTCGATTGCATACAATGAGGTAAGCTAAGTACGCACGAATAGACTAAAATTTTTTGTAGGACTAAGTAACTAGGTAAATACGTTAGTTTCGATTATGTTATCTGTGATATAGATATGATATAACATAACCTAGTACGCTTCTTTAATTAAAATTAATTATTTTCCAAATTCTTTTTTTGCTAGCATTTGCCCGCGGCTTCACCCTCGTGAAATTTCGTTTATCACAGATCGTCATAAATTATAGCCTATATGTTATTCTGGGTTATGGAATACTGTAAAGTTTCATCAAAAGTTTTTGCGTGAAAGAGTGACAAACATCCAGACTTCATACAAACTTTCGCATTTATAATATTAGTAGGATAGGATGTTTGCAAGATTGCTATAAGTATTAGCGAAGACTACCTTTATTGTTTTACTGTTACTATGTACCTATGCTATGCCAGAATGCCAGACGGTTTTTATCAAACTACCCGCAGCAAGTGTAAATAAATATACCGCGACCACGTGACGCTGAAGTGTCTAATACTTAACTTGCAGATGTTTAAATTAGACAAGACTAGTACTACTTACCTACTTACATATATTTTTATTTATTCTACGAGTAGATGCGCTACGCTTCCCTAATAAAAGTGATACTTACCTACCTACATTTATATTTTCGCAATCATACAAATCAAAACTTCTGTAGGAGGCCCTAAAAGCATTTTCATGAAAAGAAACAAAGCAGAACGAGTCCCTTTGAGCACGTCCGCTTCGTTATAAAAATCAATAGCATTAGTAAGTCCGTACAAACGAATTATACGAATGTCGGAGTGTGCGTCGGCTGGCTTTCGGTGTGCGGAAACAAAAAAAACCGCCAGCGAAATTCTTGTAATAAAAATCAATCGGAGCGGAGAGAGAAGGCGCCGCGCGGGGCGCCGACTGGCCGGGCGCGGGGGCCACCCACCGCCTGCCGACCTACCTACCCCACATATAGCACACTGCATCTACCCTCCCAAACTTATTACTACTGTTTACTACTACGCTTACACATGTTTGAGAATGAGAGACGAGACGATAACAAAGTTTTACATCGAAATATTAACCCTGAAATCGCATGCATAACATGAACTCTACATAATCGCTAGCGCTACGGCTCGACCTCGGTGGAACACAGGCGGGAGGGAGAGCCGGCGCGGCCGGTTCCCGGCAAAAAGGCGTTTGTTTTTATTTCTTCGGCGCGGAAAAAAATCAGCACGCGCCCGCCCTGCACCTCCTAAACATGCGCCACGCAGCGACGCAGACTCGCCCGGGTGTGTGCCGAATTCACTTTCATTTGCGACATCTCATCGTTTCCCGAAGGTCACCGTGCAATCGCGCGGTGCATGTGTGACGCCGGCGAGTGCTTGCGGCGGCCTCCGCTGACCGACTAGGTGAGTGAGTGAATTTCGCGCCCTCGTCTTCGTCGGTTATGTTTCCCTCGCGTTTATCGGCCCCCTTTTCACACGGTCCTTCGCCGTGTTCGGGAAGACGGTGAAAGTGAATGTGTTTTCGAGTTCGCCGGTGTCTGCGAGACGTGCGTCGCGACCGCCGTTCCTTCGAGGAGAGACATGAGACCCGCGAGAGGGTTAACCGCGCAACTTTACATTCACTACTCGAACGGCGACAGGTGACACTGACCTATAGTACACTCTACCCTCCTATTTATAGAGTCGGGTATGCTGTATTCCGCGAAGAGATAAAGTTTTGAATTAGGAACGCGGGAAGTCGCGCCACTATACGAACTTTGTATAAGTTTATAGACGCACTCGCACAGTCGTATTGTAGCGGTGGACGGGCGCAAAACAAACGGAATTAAAAAACCTCGAGAGACGGTCTGCCGCGAACGACAGAGCGAGAGCGGCAACTTTGCACTCTTCATTTGTGCACCAATCGAGAAAAAATTCAATAAAGCTCGCTTCCTTTTGTCTAATTGCCTATGTAAACCTACGTATAACTGCGATTGTTCGATCCCGCGATACTCCACGGAGAAAATGGGGCTTCTCTTGGTTGTTTCGTCTTGTGGGAATGAAGTTTTGAGTAAATATTGTATTAGTTCTTGTTTAAAAGTTTGTAGTAGTGACGGTTGCGTTTGAATTCGATTGCTAGCGTGATGATAGATGAGGGGTAGAGGTAGTTGTGTAACGTAGTGGTGTTTTTAGGAAATGCCGGGGCACGGCGTGTCTCAAGTGAAGTGTGAGCCGCAGTCGGACGAGGAAGACAGCAATTCGCAGTACTCACTCGGCTACTTGACCAATCAGGTGAGTAATTGTTTGTTGACCTGTGACCGCGGGCTGTGGACGGCAATGTGACCTTTAAATTGATAGTTTTGATAAATGCGAAACATGTGGGTAGTTCTGTTTTATTTTTAACTAAGCGGGTACCTGAAATTTTACTAATTTTAACGACAAGATGTTGTTAAGGCAAACAATTATTGTGTTTAGTGAATGTGTGACCAAATTATCATTAATTATTAACAATTTATAAAAGTTAGTAACGTGCGTTTAACATTACTTGCACTTGGGTAATCAAGTTACGATCATCAACGATTGTAACAGATTTTACGCTAACATTAATTGGTTTTATGCCGTTTTTAATCAAAACTTTATTTCAATGTTCAATCTTTTGTAGATATCATCGCCCGCGTGAATTTCATTCTGTCACGTTTTTTTAAGTACAAAATATCATCATCCATCATAAAATCTTTATATCATAGGTACCAAAATTAATTTTGACTTTGTGTGACAGTTGGTTTATCACCTACCTGAATTTAAAATTTAAATTAACTCACTGTATTTTTCTTTCAGCTACCTTTAAGGCATTGTCCAATTAAAATAGAAAATGGTGTCCACCACGAAAATAATAATTCAGGCCACATTTTACAAGACTTGCAGGTACTTAAAACTTTTTTAAATATTATTCTATATTGTATAATTAAATAGGAATATGTTTTGATAAAGAGATTCGGTTTGTTAAGGTATTTTAAACGTAGGTAAGGAAATAAAGCTTTTTGAAATTGAAAATCACGTAAGGTACGATTTTAGTACATTATAATTGCTTGCGAGACTTTTTTTCTCTTTTACATCAATTTCGGTTTATACTTAAAAATATCCTTGAATAGACGGGGCTGGAGGAACTGGCACCGCCAGCGCCGGCGGGCCCCGCCGCCACGCCGGTTTGCGTCAAGCAGGAGCCGCCGGACGCGCCGCCCGCGCTCACTCTCGAAAACCTGGAGCCTGCGCTCACCGCCAGCGCCACGGTAAGAACTATCACATTGTGACGTGACTGGAGAACGTGGAGCCCAAGAACTATAACGTCACACAGACGGGAGCGGAAGAACCGCGGTACCCGGCGCGCCGGTGCCTCTAGTTAATTATTTAAAGCAGGTCGGATGCAGATGCACCGCCCGCGCTCACCCTGGTAGACTTAGAGCCCGCTCCCACCGTCAACCCAGGGGAACCGGAAATTAATTCATCTGTGCCACCAAGAAACAACAACCAAGAAAGAACCACTATTACACGCACAGATGAATTAAAAAAGCTTCATCCGAATAAGGAGAAATTCTCATTCGGGTGAAGCTTGTAATCTGGGGGGAAATCGGAATATCCTTCTGAACCTACTTAAATACTTATTGGATATTCCGATCTTGTATACAAACAATTACCTACGTCAAGGAGGAGTATTTCCAAAAAAAAATTTTTTAAGGATTCCTTAAACATACGAAATTCTCTCAGGGCTCAACGTTGCTGGACAGACACATGGCGCTGCTCAGCCACTCCGAGCTGGCAGATTCCTCGGACTTCATGCCGCTGATGGCCGTCAAGGACGAGCCCTTGTCTGAAGGAGGTAAGGATAAAGTACTAAGGCTAAGTTGCATCTTACTTTAACCGTTAACTATGAGCATAAGCGGTGTTGTTTTGTATAGAGTTTGATAGGTTTTTGATGTTTGTTAAAGTAAAGACGGTGCAACCCAGGCAGCCTTAGTACAGGAGCTCTTGAGACTTATTTAACTCATAACCAGATAGGGATATAGCTAGAACTCGCATAAATTGAAACGCTGTGAAGAATCCAAGAACCCAAAAACCACTTTTTTTATACTACGTTAGGCTGTGAAGATGCGTTGAACACCAATGAATAAAAATTACCCTAATCCTTAAAAATTAAAATAATGGTGAGGTGTATTTTTAAACTTTTGAGATCAGAAATTCTTAACAAGATAGTTTATGGGAAACTGTGTAATTTTATTATTTTGCAATTTGTTGATATAAGTCACTTAAAATGATTGTTCTTTTCAATTACCTATTTGACGAATGTACAGTAATCAATAGGTATACTCGACTAAGTATACAGTGTACACATAATAATATTAGTCACCTAATTAATTGAATATAAGCACTTAAAATTCAATGATGATTGATGTACAGATTTAGAATGATTGATCTATTAGCTGCTTTCCAATTAAAATAAATATAGTCGTATCTAATCAGGTGGAAAATTTTAGGCAATGCATCCAAGTATTGTGTGACGGTACTTGGAGTAGAAATAATAACATGGGGGTAGAATTAAATGATTCTACCCACCATACGGATCGCTCACTTGACGCGCCAGTCAGCCTGTGACTAGTAGCAACCCGGTTGAAACGTCAGGCAAATACAGCGAATATTTCATTATTACCCAATAGCGAATCGCGTTAAAACCTGTTAAAATTAATTAAATCTATTCGACAAGTAATTTTCCTGGAACTTGAAGCACGTATACATTCAAAGTGTTTTAAATAGTAGGTATTCCTTAGTGTCGCTACTCGTTAAGTGTGATATTGGTGTGAGGTAGGCAGTCTGACGTGCTGTCGAGGTCGACAGTTCAGAAACGTATGTTCAGAAACACAGTTCAGAAATATGCCGAAATACAGCGTTGTTCCGCCGTGGTGTCTGGGAAGTCTGCTCTGAGCTATCGACTTAACAAAATTGCCTACAAAAATGTTGAATGGTGACATGTTTACCTAATTGTTGACTGTGTATGTGTAGGACAAAACACGCGCTGTAGACCCGGCGTTAGTACCGAAATACAGCGTTGCTTGCGTTTTGCAGAGCAGCAGCTGTTCCCTGGCGAAGACTCGAGCGACTCTTGCGGCGCGCCCGAACCGGCGCCCCGAGCCAGTCCAAAGGGCTGGACGCAGCGCGACATGGACAGCGCCCTAGACGCTCTTAGGAACCGCAACATGAGCCTTACCAAGGTAAGGTCATAACATACAGTTCCCTTTGTTTGTCATTTGTTTTCCGCTCTACACTTACCCCCTTACTAATACTTACAGGCTCGGTGAACAGTGTTTTAAAGTGACGTTTAGTATGGAAATGTCATTTTAAAACAGTGTTCAACAACTGTGTAACTATTTATTAGTAAGGGGGTTAATCTTGATCTCGCGGGCCAATCACAACTGGATGCAGCGCGACATGGACAGCGCCTTCGTGGCCAGCGCCAGCGTGGGACGTCCACCTACAAGGTGGACCGACGACATCGTAAAGGTAGCAGGGAAGCGCTGGACGCAGGCCGCTACCAACCGATCAACATGGAAAGCATTGGGGGAGGCTTATGTTCAGCAGTGGACGTCCTGTGGCTGAAATGATGATGGACAGCGCCTTGTACGCATTTCGGAACCGCACCGCAACCGCATGAGCCAAACCAACGCGCTCAGTCGGCGTGCAGCGATGGCGATCAGACTTAAAAGCATTGATCGCCATCGCTGCACGCCGGCTGATCGCGTTGGTTTGGCTGAACCTTAAGTTGACTTGAGCTACTCGTGAGGCGCGCCCGATCCGGCACCGCGGGCTAACTTAATAGTCCCAAGGGCTGGTGGACGCAGCGTCTTGGATGCGTTCAGGAACAGCAACATGAGCCTTGCCAAGATCAGATGTAATAATATGTCTGAATCCAAACCATAACTCTTTCCTTTCAGGAAAAATCTTCAAATATAAATACAAAAGGTGCAACGTTTAGGACAATCCAAAAGTTCTTGAGGTCCATCGAGCATGGTATGGCGTTCCGTGGACGTCCAGCAGTAGATTGAAATAATGATGTTGAAGACCCATAAGGCGGTAATTCCAAAAAATTGCCTTGCAAATTTTCAAATTGCAGACCCCTTCTCCATTCTTTCAATCTGGATAGCATTGGGAGAGGCCTGTATTCATCAGTTGGACTTTTTAGGGCTAAACCGATGGAGAATATGATGGCGATGAGGATGACGATGTGATTTTCAAACCTTTCTCCTCCAACAGGCGTCAGCAACATACGGCATCCCGTCCACAACGCTATGGCAGCGCGCGCACCGTCTGGGAATCGACACGCCGAAGAAGGAAGGTGCGTCCAAGTCCTGGAGCGAAGCGGATCTTCGTGGAGCCCTACACGCCTTGAGAGCCGGCGCCATCTCGGCGAATAAAGCTAGTAAAGCATACGGTAAGTTTTTTTTTCTCTGTCCTCTGACTTTCTATCCTGATTGGGATGGAATGGCAAGTCATTGTCTGGATAAAGACTTGCAGTTCCATACGAATACCCTTTGGAGGACATCGTTAGTTTTTAGCGGCTTAGCCCTATAAGTCTGGCAGAAAAGCTCCACCCACATAACCCACTGATAATGATAAAGGTTGATCTAATTTCCGCCAGTTAGTATTTAGGATAAGGAGAAATTGCCATCATCATCTTCAAGTCATTTATGTCCGTTTTCACCATCAATCTCTAATTTTTTGTGACCCCTATGAAAACAAAATTCCTGATTAGTATTACCATAGGGGTCACTTAAAAAGGGATTGATGATGAAAACGGGTATTAGTCTCCACAGTTAAGTAGGCGTGATATAATAACATCCGGTGCTTTTAATACAATTAAAATTACAACACTTCATTCAAATGTATTGTGTACCGGCTCTTTTCTTGATGTTCAGAAATTGATGTTAGAAATTCAGGTAACTACGCGTTAAGTCCATCCAAGACACGTGTAATTATTTATCTCACGGATAGCATACCTAGAAAAACATACGGTAAAACGATGGCCACAATGGGCGATGATTCATGAAGTAATTGCCTATCGCTTGATGTTCAATCACGAGTTTCGCGAGTGTAACCATCCGTTTCGGAGGTCAAAGATAAAACTTATTTTTTCCTTACATCATCTACATAAGTAAATGTTTACGAAAACTACCATTAACATTTTAATTAATCTGTTTAAATTCGCTAATCTTCAAGTTTCATAGTACTTAGTAACACAACGAGGAAAACTTTAACTATGCTTCAGGTATAGTTTCGTTAGATCCTTCACTTTATTGGTTCCATGCTTAGATTAATAAAGCCTCTAAGGTTCCATGGTTGTATAAGCACTCTTGGTTAAAAAATACAAGTTATCAACCGATGTTATTTGGCTATATTTTTTTAATTTATGAAATCTTGTGTCCGGTTTACTATTTATATTTATGACCATAATGGTTAATTCATCACCTGTCCCAGCAGGCACTTGGCCGTAATTCTATTTCTATTCGATTCGATAACCCCATGTCTTGTCGGAACTCCTGTACCTAGAGTTAGCCAGGAATATCAACGAAACCCAACCAGTAAAGGTTGAGTAGTCTCGGGAGATAGCTCTTGGAAACCTACAATGAATTTAATTGAGAGAGAAAGTTTTCCAAATATAATATCGACTATTCGACGTCCCTCCGTTGAAAAGCAGGAAAATTGAGATAACGTCTGTCATATTATAACATTAGGGATTGCGTCAGCGCCAAGCGTCAATCAGCGTCCGAAATTCCTAATACTGAGTTTCTTTTTTTGGGACTATTCCCACCTCTCGTTCCCCCTGCTTCAACTCTTGTGTAGACAGTATCTACAGCATGATCAGTATGATGTCGATGATACTGAATAAAAAAATTTTCTTTCTTTTTCTTCTTTCTTAATGAATGCCCAACCAGTGAAGGTTCATATTTATGATGATAAGATAAGATAAGATAATCATTTATTGTCTTTTCTGTGTAAGTACATTGGTTGTTAAAAATAATACATGCATGTCAAGGTATCAACAGAATTGTCCATTTCGGACCATTTCGGACGTACAATATTTGGTAGTATAAATTATTACATTAATTGGATTTAATATCATTTACATGTCAATTTTACAGTTGTTTAATTGTCATTTAAATTATTAATTGATTTCGGACGTATAATAAATAATAGTAGTCATAAATTATTACATTAATTGGATTTAATTTCATTTACATGTCAATTTTAAAGTAGTTTATTTGTCATTAAAATATTCATTGAGGTCATAATAACATTTGGCTAGTAGCCAGTCCTTGAGCGTTCTTTTAAATTTAGGGCCCTCTAAAGATTTTATAAAAACGGGTAGCTTATTAAACACTTTGATGCCCATTGCAAATACACTTTTACTAAGGATATAATGTTGTTCCAGGCATCCCCAGCAGCACGCTATACAAGATAGCGCGGCGCGAGGGCATCCGGCTGGCGGCGCCGTTCAACGCCGCGCCCACGGCCTGGCGCCGCGCCGACCTCGAGCGGGCCCTGGCTTCCATCCGATGCGGCGCCGCTAGCGTGCAGCGCGCTGCTTCGCAGTATGGCATCCCTACCGGTGAGCCTCAGGCCCTTTTTCACCATCAATACCTAATTTTTAAGTGACCCCTATGGTAACAAATAACAGGAATTTTGTTTACATAGGGGTCACTTATAAATTAGGAATTGATGGTGAAAACGGGCATAAGGCCCTTTTCACACGTCCCGGTTGCCGGCTAACCGCGGCGCCGGGTATCCGGTGGTGAAGTGTATGGGCATGGTACGTAGCTTTCACATGTTCCGGCGTAATTAATCCGGCATGCATTACTTCACGACCGGGTACCCGGCGCCGGTTAGCCGGCAACCGGAACGTGTGAAAAGGGCCTTAGACAGCACTCTGTTAAGATAGTGAATCTACTGTAGCATTCTGACAAGATAGCGAGCCCTTTGTAGCTCTGACCACACCGCGAGCCCGCTGTAGCTCTCTGACCATACCGCGAGCTCGCTGTAGCACTCTGATCATACCACGACCCCGCTGTAGCTCTCTGACAATATCGCGAGCCCGCTGTAGCACTCTTAACATACCGCGAGCCCGCTGTAGCTCTCTGACCACACCGCGAGCCTCCTGTAGCACTCTGACCACACCGCGAGCCTCCTGTAGCACTCTGACCACACCGCGAGCCTCCTGTAGCACTCTGACCATACCGCGAGCCCGCTGTAGCACTCTGACCACACCGCGAGTCCCCTGTAGCATTCTGACCATACCGTGAGCCCACTGTGGCTCTCAGACTATACCGCGAGCCCGCTGTAGCACGCTGACCATACCGCGAGCTCGCTGTTTGTAGCGCTCTGACCATACCGCAAGCCCGCTGTAGCACGCTGACCATACCGCGAGCTCGCTGTTTGTAGCGCTCTGACCATACCGCAAGCCCGCTGTAGCACGCTGACCATACCGCGAGCTCGCTGTCTGTAGCGCTCTGACAAGATAGTGATTTCGCTCAAAACAAAAATTAATTAGCGTCAAATGGTTTATTTATTTATTTATTAGGTACACCAACAAAGTCCCATACACAATACAGTTCATTCATTTTAACATGGTTTAACACATGATATATATTCGCTGGGTGCGAAGTACTAGGTGGGGGGGACATAATCTATCGCAGCGCTCATGGTGGTCAAAAGTAGAAATAATGTTAGCTCTGTCATCAGATGTATCTGTCAATGGCAAAGCGATTCTACATAATACATTTTAATATCATTAATTAATCGCATGAAAAGGGTCCTACTGGGAACTTAAATAAAAGAGTGGACTGTATTTCGATAGGGCTGTTTTAATAGCCGTTTACAATTTGGAAATAACTAAACTATACAACGTGGTAGTACAAAAATGAGTCACAGTAGTTGTTGTGCACAGATGTTTGCCTTATGATGAGAGCGTGAATTATTGAACTCTGCCCTTGTTTTGTTCTTAATTCTTCTACATCTCGGACTTGTCCAGCCAATACCAACAACTTTCCTTTAAATACGGTTTGTGGTTGGAATTTGATATTGTAACCCTCACAAACCCGGTCTTCAAAACGATACTCATTTCGATCTGAAAACGATATTTAATTTATTACTAGCGATACAGAAACATTTAAATATATTTACTGTTATATAATGAAACCGTTAAAGTAGCTTTTTCTTTTTGTTTTACTGTAAAACTACAACTATAAATGAAGTAAACAAACCCTGACACAATCAAAATTAAACACACTTTTTGGACTTACCTCACTTGATTTGAATGACCAAAATGATTTCAAAACCTTTTTTCCACCCAAATCGTGGTATCACAACAATTTATTAGTTGAAAATATTTGTTATTTTTTCATTTCGATATATTTTTACAAATATACGACCTAAATGTCAATGTGACAGAGCCCACAAAGTTGTGGACGCTAGTTGGCGCTGTAATCGTGCACGGAGCCAATATGACCTCAATTACAGGTATACACACACTTAGGCTGGGTTGCACCATCCTACTTTAACTTTAACAAACGTCAAAAATCTGTCAAACTGCATACAAAAAACATCGGTTACCGTTATAGTTAACGTCAAAGTTAGGTGGTGCAACTCAGCCTTATTTTCCTTTGATAAAATTATAGTATAAATAAATAATTAAGCAATTAAATATCACATTTCAGGCACCTTATACGGGCGGTGTAAGCGCGAGGGCATCGAGCTGTCGCGGTCGAACCCCACGCCTTGGTCCGAAGACGCTATGGGGGAAGCACTGGAAGCTGTCAGGTACCTAACATGTTTCATTTATTAGAGCTGTTTGATTAGACAACGACAGTATCTCGTAATGATCAGAATCTGATGTTCTAGACCTACATCAGAAAAAGGATATTCAAATAACACTTCTTCGACTGCGTCTTTTCTGTTGCCTTAATCAAGAATGCAGTTTTCGATATTCCGAATGGCTTATTCAAGGGCACTCCTAACAAGGTGCAATTTGGGATTTGTGTACCAACATGGAGAAATAAAGAATTTGAATTTGAAAACCTAATCCCCTCGCAATAATTTGCTACTTCTGTTTAGGCATAAAATTATCACCGTCAATTAAAATCCCACCAGTGAAGGTCATACGGGACTATTCCCACCTCTCGTTCCCACCACTGCAACTCCTGTGTAGCCAGGATCTACAGCTTGACCGCCATAAAAACCCAACCAATGAAGGTCAAGTTTGTCCCGGGGGAAAGTTAAACTGTCATTGGACCCGCAACGAAATTAATCAGAAGAACATAGGAGGAGTTCGAAATTAAGGTTCGACTTCCCTTCATTGCAAAGCGGATGACAGTGAAGTTCATATGACAAATATGACTTAGGAAAAAGTTTATAGTTACAATTTTAATATTTGCGGTTGCAGGGTGGGCCAGATGTCCATCAACCAGGCCGCTATCCACTACAACCTGCCCTACTCGTCGCTCTACGGCCGCTTCAAGAGGATACACGCGAGCAGCAAGTTCCCCATACAAGTGAGTCTTTTTAACTATTTAGCATCGCAATATCGGGATTATTTCCAAATTCCCGTCACTAATGCCCTTTTTCACCATCAATCCCTAATTTTGAAGTGAGGGGCCCTATGGTTTACTTAACAGGAATTTTGTTTTCAAAGGGGTCATTTGAAAATTAGGGATTGATGGTGAAAACGGGCATGAAACTCCTGCGTAGCATGGCCAAGTTTGTCCCAATATCATCAGATCAAACTTTATTCCCCTTATTCCAAAAAAATTTACACCAGAGTTCAACCAGTCTAATTTTTTGTATAAAACCCCCGTAAGTCCATAATTTAAATGAAAACTAAATACTAACAAGTGGAAGTTAAATCATTAAAATTTTATTAATAACCTACCCATTACTGGTCGCCGGGCCTGATGTGGAAGTAGGTACTGTAATGTGCACAAGATTTATTTTTAAATACAAATTACTATTTCTTAATCTTATACTATTTCTTAGCCGTGTGGTGACGGCAGAGTAGAATACATTTGTCACCAACCCCTACTCTTCCGACGGGTGTCGTAAGAGGCGACTTAGGGACTACACATCAAACAGAGAACGGGCAGCAGTGCTCTCTGAAAAACTTTTAAACTGCGATCTCCAACCCGCCTGCCAACCGTGGAGATTATGGCAAAACCCTCCACTTTAGTGGAGGAAGCTCATAGTCCAGCAGTGGACTGTAAAGAGCTGTTGATGATTTCTTAATCACTCCTATAAAAAAATCCATTATCGGAGCGATAATTTCTATGATAGCACAAAATTAACGAGCTTATTCTTCCAGAACCTCCAACCACAGCAGCAGGATTTGCACAAGAACGTGGAGATGGATCACCAGGCTCCTCCTCCAGAAATGTATTTCCAGCAGCCTTTGCAAAACCACACACAAACGGACGACAACAGTGTCTTACAGAACCAGTACTACCAGAACAACACCATGAATGACGTTCCCATGCACAATAATATCCACGAACAGTATTACACGGGGCAGGCGATGTACTACAACCAAAGTTGTAACGGTATAGCGACCAGTTGAGAATATGAACCTTCGTGAGTGTGTGCGCTAATAAAGACTTCTTAGGCCCTGAACACACGGTGAAACGCAATGAGGGCTATCGTTTTAGCGCTCACCAGTTAGCGCCACTGTAGAGTAAGGTCCTGTCACTTGCTAGGAGCGAAGACAGTGGCGCCAGCTGGTGAGTGCTAAAGTGGTAGGAGGACTATCGCATTTGCACTCATCAAGATGGCGCCACTGTAGAGTAAGGTCCTGTCAATCGCCAGGGGTGCCAACTGTTAAGTATAAAAACGATAGCCCTCATTGCAACGAAATTGTAACTTCTAGTTACTTTTGAGTTGAGAGACCAGTTTGAAATGGTCGCGTCGTGTGTGGTCTCTCAACGGAATCTATGGCAGAAACTTAGATGTAACTCAAAAGTAACTAGAAGTTGCAGTTTCGTTGCAATTGCGTTTCACCGTGTGTTCTGGGCCTTAGGGTGGACTTTTGTAAACCGCTGCCTTTAGTGTCGTCCAAGTGGAATTTGTCAATAGTGTTACGAAAGAAAAACCTAAATGGAAAGCTGCTAATTTGTTTTGATAGGAGTGTATAATTACTTGTGTAATGGCGGATTTACATTTATAATTTATATCCATTAAAACGATAGCTCGTTCGAACGCGTCGAGGCGATGGGCGCGACTCAGTCAATAAGGTCGAGTTCCGCGGACCACAAAGCGCGGCGGCCGTTGAAAAGAGCGCGCCGGGTGAGCGCGCGAACCCGCGAAACTCAAGCCCGCCAAATGCGAATCCGAGCGTCAGAGCACAGATAATACAATAGTGTTTGGAGGGCCGTTACATACTCCCCCTCTAGTTCGAACACAGCGTCCTCGCGTTCGGACTAGGACTATACCTGCGTGGGCGTCCGCGCCTACGCTTCTCCCTAACAGGGGCCTCTACGTCACCGATGAATGGGCTTAGGTTGGATGCGTGATAGCGACCTATAAGTTCGCTGTTCCTAATCCCCTCCAGCAGGTAAGTCGTAGGACTAACAACCTCGCGAATGCGATAGGGTCCATCCCTGCGGGGTATGAACTTGGCGGTCTGGCCAGGTGCGGCGTCGTTGGGCCCTTGGGTCTTTAACAAAACAAGGTCACTCACCTTATAATCCGGGGGTGCGCGCCTACCTTCGTCTGCGCACGCCTTCTGGGTGGCCTGCGCGCGCTCGTGCACGTCGCGGGCCTCCAGCAGCGCGGTGGACAGCTTCCGCAGGTAGGGTGTGATGCTCGCCACGAAGTTGTCGCTCTCCGCGATGGCCTTCATATCAGCCACCGCGTCAGACGGGGCTCGCAGCTCTCTCCCGAAGGTGAGGTAAGCTGGTGAATGTCCAGTACTCGCCGTTACAGCGGAATTCATCGCGAACCTGATGGCAGCGAGGTGACTCGGGTCGGAGTCGCCGGCGGCGGCCCGTGTAGGTCGCCGGCCGGGGTCGGAGTCGGTAAACCTCTGATGACATTGGTGATCAGTCTCGCCAACTGGTCCTCTGTGATGCCGATGACGTCGTTGCGGCTGGTAGTAGTCGGCGTCGTCGCCGAAGCTTCGCGGGCGGGTATGGCGGCGCCGGGCCCCGCGTTCACAGTCGCGTCGTCGTTTTCGTCATCGCTGGAATAATATCTCTCCTCTTCTTGGCTATCTTTAGCCGTGCCTCGGCGTGTCTTCGGTGGCATTTTCTCACTTCAACACAATTTTCAATCAACACGACTCACTGGGGTCGCGGTACTTGTGGTTTCTCTCGAACGTTCTCGAACTTAGGACGCGAGGCCACTCGTTGGGCGCAATTGTAATGGCGGATTTACATTTATAATTTATCCCAACTAATATTATAAATGCAAAAGTAACTCTGTCTGTCTGTCTGTCTGTCTGTCTGTCTGTCTGTCTGTCTGTCTGTTACGCTTTCCCGCTTAAACCTCGCAACCGATTTTGATGAAATTTGGCATAGAGATAGTTTGAGTCCCGGGAAAGAACATAGGATAGTTTTTATCCCGGTTTTTGAAACAGGGACGCGCGCGATAAAGTTTTTCTGTGACAGACAAAATTCCACGCGGGCGAAGCCGCGGGCGGAAAGCTAGTATCCATTAAAACGATAGCTCGTTCGAACGCGTCGAGGCGATGGGCGCGACTCAGTCAATAAGGTCGAGTTCCGCGGACCACAAAGCGCGGCGGCCGTTGAAAAGAGCGCGCCGGGTGAGCGCGCGAACCCGCGAAACTCAAGCCCGCCAAATGCGAATCCGAGCGTCAGAGCACAGATAATACAATAGTGTTTGGAGGGCCGTTACACTTGTACTGCAAAATGATATAATATTCCCGTTGTGTATTCCGTATGTTATGACAGGTTGAACCAATTTTGATTAATTTTAGTATAAAGGGAGATTGGATCTTGGAAAAGAAGTGGAAGTGAAATCTTTTCTAAGCTTTTCTTGAAATAAGTGTTTCAGAATCGTTAAGATTTAACGACGTTGATGCGAAATCCATTCCTGCCAGAAAAACATCCTCCAGAGCGTTAATTTCAGAGAAATCACATACTTAAAGCCCGTTTTCACCATCAATCCCTAATTTTTAAGTGATACATATGACATCAAAATTTATGTTATTTGTTACCATAGCGCTCTCTTAAAAATTAGGGTTTGATGGTGAAAACGGGCATTAATCTTTCTCTAACAAAAGATTCCCGTAAAAGTTAAGGGACTCTTTTGTAGTGTAGCGTCTGGTTAGGTCCTGCATTGCATTTACACTTGAAAAATAAAGACAATTTTAGATAAGCATGAGTTAATTAAGTGCATTTATTGTAAATGTCTCGTTTTAAGCTGTAACGAATACGTAAAAAGGTCGCTCTTCCTCTAGTTCTAAGTTACGGGTCGTGTAATCATGTAATAAGTAATTAAGTAGCTCTAGTCAAAACTTAGGCTGTTGATTGATATTTTTATAAAATATTTTTCGAGTAATTTCAAGTCGACGTGTAGGTATTGTGTATCTAGTTGTAATCAGCGAAGTTGAAATGGTTGTGTCTCGTTATAATTTTATTAAAGTGAGGAACTTTTTGAACCATTTTCGTACGTGCATCACTTTATTTTAACTTTAGAAAGTTATGAGTACCTACATATAATTATAAAAAACTCAAACATCGTGTAGTTATTAATATGTATTGTATTTTTTTCAAATACATATTTTGATTATTTTATTGTCGCCCTAATAGTCGCCTTAATAAATTCGATACGCGGTTTACGGCGCTAGTAGTTGGAGACGTTTGCACAACCGACACCAGGTGGCGCTATCATAGATTGTATTTTTTTTTCGTTCAAAGCGCAATAAAATACAAGTTTAGAAATAACGTAACTTTATGATGAATAAAATTCAATTCCATTGCCCGACATCCACAAAAAAAAGTAAAAAAAAAACTTTATTTTTTCTGGTAGGCGGGTAATCGGACAAGACGGCTGGAAAGTGAAAAAGTTATGTGCGCGTTTTTAATTCAAATTAATTTGTATCACAGTTTTAATTACTGATTTCGGGAGTTTCTATCGAAATGTGGTGTCTCAAAGCAGAAACTTAAAAAATGTGTAGTAATGAAGCCACCACTGCCAGCAGGGTATGTAACTTGTAGGGTTGCCAACATTTCATCAGCGAAATATAGTATTTTCCAAAATAAGGTGTAAAAAAATATAGTACATTTAAAAAAAATATAGTATTTTATGGGAAAAACAAAAAAATAGACAAATATACATTTTTTAATTATTTATTTTTATAAAAACTATGTTTTTTTGCAGTTCTTGCGCTGTGTAACAGTTTTTTGTTTAAAATAAAAGTGTCATATGCTTTGTCACATTCAATTTTTAAATTAACGAAACTGTATTTATCAAGTTTTACAAAAATAAATCTTCCAAAGTACGGCAAATATCCATTTACTGATTCTTGCATAATATAGTATAAGTCGCGGCCAATATCGCCATGCTAGTATGGACACTTAATGACTTTTTGTAGTTAATGACTTCTTGCAATCAGCCGACGAAATGCCGAAGTGGCGGGAATAGAGAGCAGGAATGAAATTACTTCAAATAAATTTGGTAAGTCATTTTCAGTATTTTTTTAAATATGCTGCCATTTTTGGCCTGTACTTTTGTCAGTAAAGTCACTACAGTCTTTTAATTTAGCAAAGATTTCATTCAATATCGTTATTTCAGAGTATAGGTCGTCCATTTTGATACTCAATTTTTCTTGTAAATTTAGAACTTCTAATATTGTCTCATAGTCATTAAATGAAACCTCCTTTTTTAAATTTAATTTATAGTCTAAACATTTATCAAGAAATAGCAAAAAAATCTTTTGAATTCCATAACTTTCTGTGGGGGGGATTTTGCTTCTAATGATTGCAACATTTTTTTTGTTTTGTAACCAAAAAAAATATCTTTTTTACGTTGTTCTAGCGCCGATTTTAAAATTGACATAATATGCTGTGATAAGGATAGAGACATGCAATTTTTAGTTTTACAAAAGTAATAGGATAGAGAATAATACAAAGCAATAAAAAACACCTGTTATAGGGGCATTTTTTGGAGAAATTGATCGAATAACCAAAAAACACGAATTTAAAAGCAGAATTTTTTTCAAAAAATATATTTTTTTATTATTTGTTGGCATTTTCTGGGTATTTTATGTATTTTATTAGTATCGCCTGTTATTTAGCATTATTATTGTTTTTATTTTATCAGGATATACCTCTTAGTTTAAAAGTTATTACGTTTTCTTTACGAGAAGTAATTGGAAGAAAAAAAATTCTATAAAAAAATTAAAAAAAATCTCAAATTTTTTGACCTCTTTTTTCTCGAAAAAAAAATAGGTCTAGTTTCACATATTTTCATATGTGCACTTTATCGTGACTCACACTGTATATTTTAACTTATGTTGATGACTCGCATGAATCTTACTGCCATACGGGCAAATTATATCAATACACACTCAATCTGCATTTTAATGAGGAAAGAATTTCTGAATTCAGTTCAGTAGCTTTCCAGTTTATTCATTTCAAACATACAAAAGTACAAACCCTCCTACTTTGTGATATTAGTGCTGCTCTCACTGTGCATTTAGAACAAAACATGTTAATACCCTGAAATTAATCATGTTCTAATCTAGTTCTGTTACAGAAACTCGAAAACTTTCATCACATAGCGCCATTGGTAAGTAGTCACCAGGAGCTAATAAACAAGTCTCTCACCAGATGCTGTGCATCGTCACATGCCGAATAATAGTACAAGTTTTACAAAACAATAAAACTTGTATTATTGAGCAGAGACGATGCACAGCATCCCAAGAAGGCCTCCTGGTGAGCTCTCTATGAAGAACTCCGAGCAAGCTCGCCCCCAGGTGACTAAAATGGCGGCAAACGGAAGTAAGTCAAATCAATTCCTATTAAATAATTGCGGAAATGACGTCATTTAAGGTATAAAAAGGTAAAAAACTACACCGGAAGTAGACGCATCTCTCACCAGATGCTGTGCATCGTCTCTGCTCAATAATACAAGTTTTATTGTTTTGTAAAACTTGTACTATTATCTCAACAAAACAAATTCAAGTGAATTCAGATCTTAATTGGTGATAATTCATTACGATTCAAGTTATTTGAAATGTTTTTACTTGGGTAACATTTTTGCCTGAAAAATTGAAGTTCTTTCATGGAAATAAGCTTTAGGGTACCTACATAAAAATATTTATTTTGTTCCTATTTTTCAACCATTATCTTAGGTAAGAACCTACCTGTACGGTTATTCATAAACCAAAATTAAATAACTATCAAAATATGTTAAAATCCACCGATATTATAGAGGTATTTCTAGTCCTACAAGAGTTCATATTATAACCTGTATTATTTGAAGTGACCTGCGCCTGCGACTGCGAGTGGGTTGTATTTCTTTTTTTTTTTAAGTATGTAGCACCTATAATTGGTAACAATTTCATTAGAATGTAGAGCTACCTACCGTCTCAAACAAAATATACCTTTTTAGCTTGACGAAGAACAAGAAACAAAGGTAGGTTACTGATTTTTCAGTTGGGATGTCTACATGTAATTTATTTTAGGTAGTGAACTGCTAGCATTTTGTTGGTACTATTTATCTAGCCATCGCGAAGTCAGTACCTAATTATTTAGATTAATACTGTAGAAGTTAGATTCCCGTGCCATTAGAAATTATTATGTTAAGACGTCGATTGCTAGGACTCCCTTTTCCTTGGTTCGTTTGTTTCAGCCAAATGACGTCCACAGCTGGACAAAGGCCTTCCCAAGAATATCGCTGTAGTGACAGGTCCTTAGTTAGATTCAATGCTGTGACAATAACATTGTTTTGCCATAAAACGCCATACTGTCTACTGTGTAGGTAAAAAATGCGATTGACGTACAGTCAGATAAATATGTACCTACCTGCTAAATTGTTTTTGACTGTCTGAAGGGTAGGACAGGAAGTAAGTTTCGAAACTTATAATAATTACGGCTTGAGAGGTTTTTTCATAAACCTTCCAAGCCGTTGCCGTTGTTTTTTTTAAAGTTTTTACACAAAATATGTAAATTCTATCTTACGATAGAGGTGTCTGTATTTCAGATTAAATTATGGATTTGACTTTTGACCCTTAGTACCTATGTATTACCTACAAAGTAAAAGCAATCGACCTCTAACATAGTTAATAAACCCGTAAACCATTATTTTATGAGTTTAGTACGTAATAAGTCCTTATTAAAATAGGAATAAGAAACGTCCCGTCGAACGACATACGTAATGAATTGTGAATAATGTGATAGAATTAGTGTTAACCGTATTTTGTTGTAAGTAATTTGCGCCATTATTTGGCATCATGTATTGCTCATTTAAGGTCACTGTTTATGTTATGTCTCCGAATTTCTCTTGATAAGTGACATGCTTGTTGTTAATTAAGTTTTCGTTAATTTACATTGCAAAGTAACGTTACTTGTCTAACAGATAAGTTTCGAGTGGGCGGTGGAGAGATAATGTTCAAACTAGCAATAACTAGTTTTATGATATTAGTGCTTTTAGGTCTTTCTAATAAAACATGATAGACTGAATGGGTAATATTCATTGAGATTTCAATTTTTTTGTTTTTATTTTTAAGTTACTAAATATTTAAATCCCATCTCTTTTTTACAGATACATATTCGTGAGGAAACTTTACGTTTATTTTTATTTTGGTTTGCCAGATTATAAAGAAATACGTGTGTTATATTTATTTAATCCTTGTGTTCATCTAAAAGGTCAGCAGGTAAGTGGATAATTTTAATTTTCTTCCCGTCTGTTTTGGGCTGCCGAATTAGGACTTTAGATACAGTTTATTGCAATACTTTCAATAACACCTGATGGCATCGTCACTGGGGTTCTTTGCTATGACTTAGGATGTTTAGAGACGATCTACCAAAACAAAACGCCTTTATTTTGTCCTTCCTAAGGAACTTTAAGGCTTTTCTTACTAAAAAAAAATCTTATCTAATATGCAATAAATGTCGATGAGTCGTTTTATTTGAAGTTTTTGTTTTAAGAAACGTTTAATGATGGGTGAACCAATATGTCCAACTATTATCGACCGAAAGTCCTCTATAATGGACTATAAATTTGAAAATTCTTTAAGATTGGAACATGTAATGAAAGCAAAAAAAAAAGCCTTGCGATATCAATCATAATTTCTAATTATTGCATAAATTTTTCTTGCCAAGTCAGCGTGGTCGCTCTATTTTGACAAAATAAGTGTAATTTCCTCACAGTTGTCAGTGCGTTCAGGGGCCGAAGTTCGTTCCGATACACAGTTATAGTTCCAAAAAACTGAACTGTCCTATCCATGACATTGACAGTGGGGCGTCACCGTCAATACCGGATCGCTGGTTCCGATTTTTGCCATGTTGGAAACCATATAGTTGAACGATGGTAGCACCCCCCTGTCATTGAGTTTGGTGGGACAGTTCAGCGTGGGTCATCTAATAAGGCTTTAAAGCTGTAGATTAAATAATTCAATTACCACTTGGCGCGAAATTTTGAGTTTTGGGTCACTGGAAAGGACCTTCGGTTATACATTGATTTTGAAATGTTCAGGACGGAACGACTGAGAATTTGGTTCTTTTAAAGAAATCGCCGGGCTGACGAGGCTAGAAAGGGTTTAATATAATATGGTATGGGTAAATGAAATGTGGGTTTGTACATAAAAAAGTCGTTTTATTTGTTATCTACAGTTAGATATAAAATAAATTACATAATGATCTCCAGTTCCGGTGCGTCGCGCGCCATTTACACTTCTCGTCTCCTCATAAATAAAATAGGAATTTACAATATTACATACAATTGCACGTACATGGTCACTAGTTACTAGATTTTGTCAAACGTTTGAGCGAAACATGCATTATTAATAATTTTATTATCATCAGTCCGGTCCAAATAAGTGACAGTAAACAGTATTCACAATCTACAAAGCCGACGACATTTTTACAAGTAATATTGACAAAAGATATAAAATAACTTTAAATATTTTATCAGAAACTCATATCCTATATTCATAGTGTACGCTATAATTTCTTGTCACACAGAAAGCGAACCGAGGGCCAAGCTACAGCGAGCGAAGAATACCATGTATAGTTTTTTATCCTATATTTAAAATGATAGCGCCCCGCATAGGACAAGTGTCTTCGAAGGGGGAGTATAAGATTTCAACTTGTGTGTAACACTATTATTAAACTTTGTTTGAGTCAGCATGCTCGTAAATTAGTCTTGGCTCGATATAGCTTCGCATTCGACTTGCTCCCTGTGTGCTCAGCTTAAGACCTCAGAACAATAAGTCCTAGTTTGTTGAGATCCATTTTACTCTCGTACTTAAATATTTTCCGGCGATACACACATATAATATCATTTAGAAAATGCCTTAACATTATGTAAAATTGGCAGTGATACAACTGGCAGGCATTATCATAAGTATATTTGAATTTTTGTACATTATTACTTTTGTTTTATTGGCGTTCTGTACATTGTGTAGGTATCAATACTAACAGTAAACTACTATGCAAGATAAATACAAAATTGACTGTAACAAAGTGAGTTTTAGCATCTTCATAATATTTTACTGTTACGTATGTGAATAATTATCTAAATCGAAGTTCTTCGCAATAATTTGAGAAAACTTTAGTTCTATGCTTATTGTAGATGGCTTAGGACTGGGGAACCAAACATCTAACGCACTATTGCGAATATGACTTGCACCTATGTTATTTTTTGTATTATTTAATAAAATTAAACATGGGTTAAGATCCTTGCTTTGCTTGCCTTCAAGGTCTGGAAGGATAACATGCAAAACGCAAAGCCGTTATTCACAGCAGTGTGTCAAATGTTTGTGTTCTGAGATACTGAGACGCCAGTCGTGTCTGTTCGCCAGGCGGTTCTATATAATAAGAAACATTACGAGACTTGTACTATAATAACAGATGGCTATGTACAGCTTCTTAAAGTAATCGATATACAGGTCAAACGAATCACAGTGTCAAAATCGTATGTTCAGTGTCCAAACTTCACTGGCAATTAAACTATTTTATTTATATTAATATTTATACAGACTTATCAGAAATAATGTTACATTTTTATGTTATTGGGGGTATATACATATTATTTTTTAAATCAATTTTGTGGGTGTTGTTATAATCATCATAAAATGTTGTTAGTCACATTTGCATCTGATAAGTCCATATAATACAATCTAATTCAGTTGTTATTGAATTATGTGGTATGAGCTTAAACGTACCAGTAAATCTTTTTATTGCTATCATATACAGTAGTTCTATGAAGAAATCTAGCATTAAAATGTTTCACTAGTACGAAGTTTTAGTGAATTCGTCGTCTTTTAGTACAATTTTAATAGACGACAACGAATTCAGGGTTAATAATATACAAGAGAATACATGTGGGTGGTCACAGGCTGCAGCAGAGAGGAAACAAAATTAACATATTGTTAAATTGGTAGCATACTGCACCGGCTACATCCTGTGATCAAGCACTGACGGTTCGGCCACGAACTTAGCGTTTTTAAGGCATCGGCTACAATCTTTGATTTTATCCCGATAGCTTTACATTTTTTTCCGAATTTCTCGGAAATTATAAATACATATAAGTTTAGTAAATCGTATTATCGCTTCGTTCGTGACCGCAAGATCTCACAAAATTATTTTGCGGTCTATACCGCTATCTCACTCGCACTTATAACTATTTACGTATATCCTTGGCCTCCTGACCGGCGGCCTGCCCTCGAGGGGCCTCGTCGCCGCGCGCTGATCGGGACTAGAGCGCGGGCGCACTTCACTAATCATAATATCGTCCGTCCTCACCGGCGGCGGTTCACGTCACACTCGTACAGTTTCCGAACCGAATGGCACAAATTCTGGCGACTATCGGCGTCACCATCGACTTAACTACAATTGGCGTAACTAAGAACGTCGGTAATTCTAAAAAGATTCCGTTTGTAGCCGAGCGAGCGTATGGTTTCAGTCAACAAAACAAAAATCAGGTTCGACGGGTGCAAAAATGTTAACGAGCTACGCCAATCGACCGAGTTTCTCTCGCGGGGCTGCGTCGCGGCACTTCCTCGGCGCGGGCGAACTAGACGGGCCCGTAGTCCGACAGCGGCTGGGTCGAGCGGGCCGAGGGCGCGGAGGGCGCGGGCGGCGGCAGCGGCGCGGCGGGCGCGGGCAGGGCGGGCGGCGCGGGCGGCGCCGCGTCCGCGCGTCACACGGCGCCCTTCACGAGCGCGCGGTGGTGCGGCGGCGGCGGCCGCGCGCCCCGCCACACGCGCCGCCACGACTCCAGCGTCTTGCCCGACCAGATCCACACGCCCGACGTGATGCCCACCGCCAGCGCCATGAAGTACTTCAGCATCAGCGCCGAGTACAGCGGCCGCCCGCCGCACTCCGGCCCGCACGCCACGCGCCGCAGCCAGTCCTCGTGGCCGCCCGCCTCGTACGCCAGGCAGCCGATCACCACCCCCGCCGGCACCGCGTACAGCACGCTGAACACGCCGATGCGGATCATCAGCTTCTCGAGCTTGTCCGCCTTGGAGCCGGCGCCGATGCCGCCCTGCCGCTTGATCACGGAGCGGATGCGGAACAGCGACACGAACCCGGCCAGCAGGAACGTGGCCCCGAGCGCGAAGTACACGATGAGCGGCGCGAGCACGTAGCGCTTGAGGTTCTCGGGCGACGAGTTGCCGACGTAGCAGATGCCGGCCACCGGGTCGCCGTCCACGGCGCCCGCCAGCAGCACGGCCACGGTCTTGGCGGCCGGCACGAGCCACGCGGCCAGGTGGTAGTACTGCGCGTGGCCCGCGATCGCCTCGTTGCCCCACTTGAGCCCGGCGGCCAGGAACCACGCGAACGACAGCACCACCCACCAGATGGACGACGCCATGCCGAAGAAGTACACCAGGATGAACACGAGCGTGCAGGCGCTGGGCCCGCTGGCCGACGTCTTGAGCAGCGCGCCGTCACACGCCACCTCGTCGTGGCCGAGCGCCAGGCGCGCCAGGTAGCCCAGCGCCACCATGAAGTAGCACGCGGACAGGTACACGATGGGCCGCTCGGGGTACTTGAAGCGCTGCGAGTCGATCAGGAACGTGGTGAGCGTCATGAGCGTGGAGGCGGCGCACAGGCCGCTCCACAGCGCGACCCACACGGCGGCGAAGTGCTTCTCCTCGCGCGAGTAGAAGGCGCCGCGGCACGGCAGCGCGCAGGCGGGCAGGCCGGCGGCGCTGCGGTTGGCGCGCGCGCCCAGCGGCTGCAGCGGCGGCCGGCAGGCGCAGGCGCAGGCGGCGTCCGCGGCCGCGGTGCCGGCGCCGCTGGGGCAGTTTTTTGGATCCTTGCAGCGCGCGTGCGGCCGGCGCGGCGGCTTGGGCGGCTCGGGCTCGGGCTCGCGGTCGGGCTCCTCCATGCACAGGTGCTCGGCGTCGCCCATCTTGGGCAGGCGCTCGCAGGCCATGCGCTCGGGCCACTGGAAGCCGTACTTGCGCATGAGCGGCGCGCAGCCCTCGCGCGCGCGCTCGCACACGCTGCGGCACGCCGGCAAAGGCTTCTCGTACTCCTCGATGCAGATGGGCGTGTACACGGAGCACAGGAAGAACTTCAGGTCGGCCGAGCACTTGATCTCCACGAGCGGCCAGTACTGGTGCACCTGGAGCGCAAGAGAGAAAGCATTCGGTTAGATAGAACAAGCAAAAATTAGGAAATAGGTCTCATCATTACAATCACCTAAATCTTAAACATTATTGAGTATCTACCTACTTGTATGATAGTCTTTATTGTATTGTACTAAGATTACTTAGATGAGCTCTCGAAGGAGCATAACCAGGGTGGGGTGAGGACACTTCCATAGTAAGCGCATCCAAGTGAAATTTGCATAGAAAGTAGCGTCATCTGTTGAAGAATTCGCAGTAACTTTATCTACTATACCACGCTAAAGACGCTTTTGGTGTTATATTACGTGTGTTCAAGCATTATAAGAGTAAATAAAGGAAAATGATAAAATTCAAAAGTTTTTGTTTTATTTTTGCATTTCCAAGTGCAATATAGATTTTTTTTCAAACCCATTGTTTTGAAAATAATATCAACACATACCTACTTACACTTTAAAGATAATATATTTAAAATAATGGATTTTANCTTCATTACCACTTGGCACGAAAATTTGAACAAAAAATTAGGATGAAGTTTTGGGTCACTGGAAAGGACCATCGGGCATACCTACAAGATTGATTTTCAAATGTTCAGGACGGAACGACTAAGAATTTGTTTTTTTTTAAAAGGACCGGTCTTACGAGACTGTGAGCATATAACTACCTGCCACCATGACAGGAATCATCATCATCATTTCAGCCATAGGACTAGAGATGAAACGGATAGTGGTTTGGCCGGATACCGGATACCGGATATCCGGCGAGCTGCTAGGCCGGATAGCCGGATATCCGGCGGCCGGATAGTTGGCCTATTGTCTCATTGTATGTCATGACGAGTTTAGCGCCACCAGGTGCTTCGAACGCGTTCAGTGGGTCTAGTAGACAAGTCACACTTTTCGAAAATCGAATCCGTATCCGTCCGAATAGAATGTCAGATTTTGCCACTTGTCTAGGGGGCAGATCAATTCGAGCGATTTCGGTTGCCATCGTGAGTGTGTGGTTGAATAGGGAAAATTTAAATTAGTTTACTTGCTGCGTAATCTGACTGAACTGCATCATGTCATCAGACCATCAGTGAAAAAAAGATCACCTATTTTAATTGGCTATGTTTCGACATTAACAGATATTTATTTATTTAGTACTAGCTTTCCGCCCGCGGCTTCGCCCGCGTGGAATTTTGTCTGTCACAGAAAAACTTTATCGCGCGTGTCCCTGTTTCAAAAACCGGGATAATAACTATCCTATCTCCTTTCCCGGGACTCAAACTATCTCTATGCCAAATTTCATCAAAGTCGGTTCAGTGGTTTAGGTGTGAAAGCAATACACACAGACAGACAGAGTAACTTTCGCATTTATAATATTAAGTACATATAGAAGATTTGTCATTAGAGTGAATAGCCCTAAAAAGAAAAGTTTTTTGAAAGGCCTTAATATGGCTTTTTTTGTATCTTTTTGGACTTTAATTATAAGCCGTTATCATTATAAGCCTTTTTATTGATATTTACCTCAAAGATGAATGTATTTCATTTTATTATAAGAAATTGTCGAAGTTTTTTAATATCCGGTATCCGGCCGGATAGTGAGTTACTATCCGGTTTACGGCCGGATAGTAAATTTAGGCCGGATATCCGGCCTACCGGATAGTTACCGGATATCCGTTTCATCTCTACATAGGACGTCCACTGCTGAACATAGGCCTCCCCCAATGCTTTCCATGTTGATCGATTAGTAGCGGCCTGCGTCCAGCGCTTACCCGCTACCTTTACGATGTCGTCGGTCCACCTTGTAGGTGGACAGGTGACAGGAATCACTTCAAAGAAATTGATACATGTAGGCAGGTAACTGCTACAGTTAGATCATCAGTTCAACTTCAAAAATACGCAATCCAGGGTGGTCCCAAAACAGCTTTCAGCAACTCACCTCAAGGCCGGCCTCGTCCTGCGTGTCGTGGTCGAGCGCGTTGGGGAAGGAGGTCATGTTGTAGCCGATGCCGCGACACATGGGGATGGTGATTTCCTCGCAGCGAGGCTGAGCGGCGCGCGCGCCCGCCACCGCCACCACCAGCAGCGCCCACACCCACATCTTGCTGGCTACGCTTGCCGCATCTGGAATTAACGGGGAAACCGTTTTAGTACACAGATTGTGAATAGTAAATACATAAATATCTGCGTACACTGCGTAATCTAGTCCTAAACTAAGCAACAACTAAGGCTGGGTTGCACCATCTTCCTTTGACTTTATCAAACGTCAAAAATCTGTCAAATTCCATACAAAATACGCTGGTTATCGTTATAGTTACGGTCAAAGTTAGGTGGTGCAACTCAGCCTTAGAACTAACTAGAGAACGGATAGCTTTTTTTGTAACTACTATAACATACATAGAAACTCCGAGACTAAAAAACAGATATCTTGGTATAATTATAATTATTATTCTGGTAATCATTAATTCAGGCAGTCACCAAACAACATGATCGAGGAAGGTAAGCGTGTTGATAAACGTCATCAAGTACAGTCAACAGTACATCAGGTTATTACATTTTTGTAGCAAAATCGCATCTATTACGACTAAATAAGACGCTACCAGTGTTTATGTTGACGTGCCGTCGTATGTACAATATGTAAAGTGATGATTTAATGATGACGGATTTTCGTAGAATGTGGCAAAAAACTGTTAAATTATCTCCTTACGTAGTATTAAATAAAATAGCCAGTAAATGTTACAGCATTGTCCTAGCGCATGTAACATGATTGTCAAAGTCAAGGTCGGCGCATCTTCTAAATCATGGCCTTTGCTGATAACGGTATCTCGCAAACAAGAGCGCTCCGTAATTGTTTTACTGCTGCGAGTAGTGGCGATAACGATAGCGCGCTCGTTAATAGGGAACACCTCGCTCGGTCACTTTTAGGATATAAACAGTAATGACGAAATAACTATTACTTTATTGCTGGAGTTTCTTGCATCAAGATAGCCTGCAAGTAACTTTGATATCAATGCAATGTAGCAACTTCTACGCTTACGCTCTTTGCGTGTCAAGATACTGGAAAAATCGAACCCACCAAAAACATTCTGTAAAAAACTAGCCAAGTCTCGATGGAGCCGCTTGTTTATCTCTAAAAAGTAATGAAATGTAGACAAAGTCGTGCCAAGTCTATGATGGTTCCTTACTGCGATTTCTTTATTATTATACTTAATGTTGTGTGACTTGGCCGTTGAAGGGTACAAAATCATGTGCTCCATGACATCATTGCACCAATCTGTCGCCAGAACCGCTACCCATTGACGATGGAAAATTGCCACTTGGAAAACGTTGATTCAATAACCAGTCAATTGTAGGCTTAATAAAGCTGCGTATTTCAATAATACTTATGTATGATTATCATAATAAAGATTGTTCAACGGCCAAGTCACACAACATTAAGTATAATAATAAAGAAATCGCAGTAAGGAACCATCATAGACTTGGCACGACTTTGTCTAGATTTCATTACTTTTTAGAGATAAACAAGCGGCTCCATCGAGACTTGGCTAGTTTTTTACAGAATGTTTTTGGTGGGATTTCACTTCTTTTTGTAGAAAGTGGCATAATTATTATTTAACGTCGTCATCTTTTAATATTACCGACATTTTTCTTTACGATATTAAACATAAATTAACTCAACGACACAACGACCTTTAAAGGACAAAATCAGAATGATTGGTTTAATAACTTAACCATAGCGAACCTCAAGATATAAGAAACGAAATCAACGAAGTTAAAACTATACGATATTCAACTTAATCGACGGGGGGGTCTAGAAAGGAAAAAAAATCTGGACACCGCGGTGCAGAAAATCGACGCTCAAAGTGCTAGCACCATCTAGCGATGAGCGGTACAGGCGAACACCACGGTGCCGGTGTGGCGCTAGTAGTATTGATTATGAATGTGGTGTTACTCCAGACCTTCGATTTTCCTAGTTTTTATAGTTTTCCCTTTAAGTGGCCATTAAACCCTAACTCTGTACCAAATTTTAGCTCTCTAAGTTTATGGGAAGTACTAGTTCTATTTTGATGATCATCAGTGAGTGAGTGAGTGTCATAAATGCGAAACTTTGCTTTCGCTTAACTTCGGAACTAAATGACCTACAGACTTGAAATTTTGGATTTTAACTATGTGATTATAGCTTACTAGATGACGAAAATTTCTGCGTTCTGGTCTTATCCAGAGGTTCTCAAATAGGGGACTGAAAATGCGCCGAAATGGTTCCAGTAAAGGATGGTACGGCAGTGTTTGCTTCGCGCTCGACTTGGCGGGGGCACTGCCGTGCCCCCAGATAATGTTAGCGATTCTTTAGTAGATTAAAACAGTTTATGATAGTATTGATTACGATTAAATATCGAGCACCTCGAAAAGTTCATCGCTCGCTACTGTAACTCGAGCCGATTTTAAACAGTGTTATTTATTTTAAACGAGTGCACGTTAAATATAGAGCGATGAGCGACACGAAAGGTGAATCAGCCGGGACACATTAATAGTTTTAGGAACTATTTATTTTTAATTACACTGAGATCATACTAATTATACCGAGATAATAATTTTGAGTAACTTTTTTTGTGCCATATTTGATTCTTAACTGTTTCATAGAAACTTTTCATGAATAAGTATGATGGAACGCCATGAAAATGATGAAAATATTATATAATAAAATATGGCCTAGTATTGCCAAAGGAACCACACACAATAAAAGCTAAGCACGGACGAGCGAGCACTCGATATTGCCAACGTGACTGTTGTAAATTGACCTGCTAAATGCCGACATGTGCCATGCATTTATTACACACGGCTGCTGCTGGGCGGGGCGTTTGCAGAGAACTCTACTTTCAAAGCACCCGGTTGCCCAGAGAAAGGTAAAATGGTAAGAACACAAGTACCTACTTAGAAGTATTTTGATAAGATCTTTACTTCTTCTACTAATTAAGAAGTCTAATCTAAGAGCCTTTCTAGGCTCTACAGTAGAAGCAAATTTACGGTAAACAATAGGGTACCTACTTAAAGTAAACATTTTGGCCATACTTGAATCAACTACGCAAACAATGTTGCAGCAAGCTTGTTGTGAATTAACTTTAAGCTTTCACTTCAATGCGATCGTCGCCATATGCATCTCTTGAGATTCGCTGTCCGATTTATGGATAATTAGTTACCACTTGATCCAGTTGCAAACCAAGTTATGCATAACCAGTAGAGTTTTCCTAGCTAAGTGCAGATTATCATATCACTGAAAAATTCCTGATTAATTTCCGCCCACCACGTGGCTCGGTGACGGCGACGCCCCTGTCATTCACCTGCCGTGGCAGCGCGCCAGCGTGCGCCGGCGCCGCCGTTAATGCGCTTTTAACGACGAATCGACAGCACAAACACGTTCGAAATAAACTAGCGCAGTTTGGGACGATGTGACTGGATTCTATTTTACGCTGATGTACTTATGATGCCGTTTATGTCATCGTAAAGGTCAAGCAGATTGAACGACAAGTGAAAGATAATAGGAAAAGTATCTCTACATCAATATGACAAATATGAAGCCGGCTCGGTTTTGTTTTAAGGGAGAGAGCCCCCTATTCATAATTTTCACAGGCATGTTTGTGCTTAAAGACAGTCATGCTTTTCTTTCAACATTAAACGAGTTTAAGCGAATGACTGTCGACACTTTACCAACTCTTACTGTGATCTTAATACAAATGGACTGTGCTAAATACATGAATTGGTTTGTTTCTACATAGGTAATATGTATCTTTGTAAAGTGCATAACTAGGTACTTAAAATTTTACAGACAGGTAAGTACCGGTGTGTCTACTTTTACCCACTATTTGTTTTGGACAATCTGTACAAACATCGCTTGTGTAACCAAGTTTCAATTTGTGATGAAAATCTAATGAGTTTTAAGTTGCTGGTCCACGCACTATTCAAATATAATCAGCTGCAAGTAACTGAAGCGCGACCACCGGTATCTATTCCGGCAGCGGGAGACAATGCCGCTGCATTCGCCGGCTCGTTTCATTTCACGTGCAAGCATTAGGACCTTATTAGCTATAGAATCGATAGACTTTTGATGAGAAAATAAAAATTTAGGAGTTACTTAAATTTTGATACTCCCTATTTCTGAAAAATAAATAAGAGTAGCCCTCTTGAGTACTTTTATCTGTCTCTAGCTGAAACACCATCCGAAACCCAAGAAAAACTTTGGGAAAGTTTCGAAGCGAACGTAAAATTTAAATTACTAACCGCAACGTATGCTCTACAAAATATCTAGATTATTTTTCTCATAATTTTCGTTTGTATTTATGTAAGACGCAATTAAATATTGAATTGAATTTGTAATTATAAAAATAGGAAAGGTGATAAAAGGTCATTAAACTAATGAGGGCTATCGTTTTAGCGCTCACCAGTTAGCGCCACTGTAGAGTAAGGTCCTGTCACTTGCTAGTAGCGAAGACAGTGGCGCCAACTTGTGAGCGCTAAAGTGGTAGGAGGACTATCGTATTTACACTCATCAAGATGGCGCCACTGTAGAGTAAGGTCCTGTCAATCGCCAGGGGTGCCAACTGTTAAGTATAAAAACGATAGCCCTCATTGTCGCACGGGCATGTCGATCGCTTCCGGCATAGTTCGCGGTGCACCGCGCGAGCAGCTCTGGTAAACAAACAAAGGCAGCTAATCGTAAAACTAAGGCTGGCATTCCCGGTATTTCGAGTTAGGCGCGACGCGTGTCGTAGCTATAAATGGGGCTTGTTTTAAAGCGAGTTAATACGTAAAACTACCCTTATAAAATGACTACTTCCAGATGTCCTGGATCAATCGGGAAATAGCTCCCGCAGACTTGAGATTATCCGTCCAACACACTCTGTCTTTCCAGTTTCACTTGCACAATAAAACATTTCCTCAGCCAATAAAATACCTACATATTAGACTTTATTTTAACAAAATGTATCGTGGAATTTCGTCTTAACTGTCTAATTATAATTTGCATCAATTGTCTTCAATTTGTAATGTTTTTGTATACACAGCATAAACCATGTAAAACATTGTTATTCCATAAACACCGACATTAATTACACCAGACAGTACACATT